CCGGGAGCCCCACACATGAGACAAGGGGCGGGGTYAGGGCGCCAAGGCTTCCGGGAGGCCCCGGTCCCTGCGAGACGAGGGCTTGTGGGTCTCGGTTAGATGGAACAGAATCTAGACCCAACTTTCTGGGYGGAGCAGGGGCTTGGAAGCAGGGTCCAGGGGGTCAGTGGAGGAGAGCTGTGCTCCCACCACGTCCCCCCCCCCCCGACTCCCAGATTATGCCATGGAGAAGCTGGGCTGAGCCAGGGGCACACAGCCCCTCCTGGCTTGTCTYTGCTCCTTTCTGGGGGGCTCAGTGATTCTTTGAGCCTGGGCAGAACCCCCGGCACTAACCCTTCTTGGGTAGGACCGGCCAGTTTGCACACMCAACAGGCCACCTCTGCTCAGTCTGGGGGGAGGGGGAGTAAACACAGACTCGGGCCCTAGGTCCCTTTGTGCCGGTGGCAAGCCCTACCAGCTCCTTGGCGGACAAGGAATTTCAGAGCAATGCTTCATCAGGTAACTCTTCACACCAGCCCTCTGTAGCCTGACCCAACACTGACATTGCCACAGTGCCGGCCACCTCTGACCCCAACTGCACAGCCTCCCTTCTGCCTGGAGGTGTCTATGGCAACAGGGGAAGCCGGCCCAGGCTCCCTTCTTTCCTGAAGAGGCGTGCAGTGACAGATTCGCTGGCAGTCCCTAAATACAGCTCTGCAGGACACAAGTTTTCTAACTTAAAACACTGCTAGTGCTTGAGGTGCCACCCTGTGCCAGAGCTCCAGCTGCCTCTGCTGGTTGAAGCTCGTGCCTTTAGTGACCATAACCCTCTCAACCTGGCTCCTTCCCGCTAACCACTGGGGACTCTCTCTCTCTTTTCAGAGGGGCCCCCCCACAGGAAGCCTCGCAGTGACCACCAGGTATCAAGCCTCTGGCTGCAGCCCCTGTGTGTTCTGCTGTGTCCTTCCTGCCCGTGTCTCACCCCCCACACACACCCCCTGCCTTTTTTAAGTCCTGGCCAATTTCTGTGGGATTCCTACAAAATCTGAAAGTTCGGGTAACTTAGCGTCTCTTATGAGGCCCGAGAGCCTCAGGCCAAGTGGACCTCCCCTCGGGGGTGGCTTTCCTTCCTCCCCAGCAGTGCTTTGGTAGTGACATGGCACATCTGAGTCCCAGGGGGTTCTGAGAGACTGTGCTTACGTTGCTTGGGTTCCTCTTACCTGGGCGCTGACCCTTGCACAGTGACCACACCCCACTAAGTGAACAGGATGTGAGGCTCCGGGTCTGGCCCTGGAGAATGGAAGTAGCTTGAATTGGTCACACAGCAGGAGTGACAAAGCACAGTTCCTGGTGACCATGGCCCGGACTTGTCCCTCACAATTCAGCTTTCACAAACATGTGCRAAGGGCACAGCGCTCGCTGCCACGTCCTGCAGGGCTTCATGTGGCTGCCACCTGTACCTCTGGCACACGGGGTGGGACCCAGCCCTAGAAGCCTCACAGGCGCGAGTTCAAGGCCCTGGGGACGGACGCCCAGACCTGAGGAGCACAGGGGCCCTTCTGACGAGTGTGCAGAGGCCCCGGCTTCTCTGGGATTCTAACTTTTCCACACTGTGAAGTTGGACAGTAGGGGCCCAAGTCCTCTTCTCGCCCCACTGAGAGGCCAGACAGGCCCCAGCTGGTGTCCACCTTTTCTTGTGGAAAATCTCAGCTTTGCTCTGGCTACCGCATACTTAAAGCTCGGTGAGGCCCTGCACAGAGCTTCCGAGTGGGACCCCTGTTAGCAGGAAGTGGGGTCCCTGCAGGTAGCTGGGGGGTCTGCTCTGGAGAGGCTCTTAGAACAGAATCTAAGTTCTCCAGGATGAGGAGACCCCTACTTCCTGTGATAGAGTTGTCTAGGGCTTGAAGCCAAGTCCCRGGGCAGGGATCCTGTAGCCCACAGACTCCCCCCTCCCAGGCACGAGGGGACTTGGGCCCTMGCCAGGTCAGACACCATTTCCCAGGCTGGTCCACGGGGCTCGGAGCAGGGAGGGCCCCAGAGCAGCAGCACCGGAGYGACCCATGGCCATCTCTCCACCCTGGTCTTCAGGACCTTCTCTTGCTAAAGAACCGGGGTCGGAGAGGTCACGTTCAGAGAGGGTGCACAGTGCATCCTCTAACGTGGCTGGAGGTCTAGAAGCTTCCTCTGAAGCTGTCCTCGGAAGCTTTAGTTGGCGGGGTCTCTGATCGCTCACCTCGGGGACCCCACCCTCAGACCCCAGAAGGCTGGTGTTGGGATTCCCCGCTCAGAGATCACGAACCTTGCTTACGCACGCCCCCAAGCCTCACCTGAGTCCGTTGTCCCCTGGCCTAGAGAATGGGTAAGGGCTCAGCCTCATGGCCACTCCGTCCAGCCTGTCTGCGCTGAGCAGGTCTTTGGTTATCAAAAGCCTGCTTTCTGAGAGGTCCTAAAATGAGGTRAGGCCTGTTCTGCAAACCAGGTCAGACAGGTGGTGGGCCTGCACACTCGCAGCAACGGTTCACTGCAGGTGGCAGACGTCCCCCTCCCCCCAAAGCCTCTTCACACAAGCAGTCCTCCTTGGGAAACCAGCGTGGGCCTGGAGCATGACTCGGGCGCACGGCAGGCCCAGGGAAGAGGGGACAGGAGGGGTCCTGCYCACTGGGGCTCAAGGCCACCTTGGACTAACTGCTTCTCTACAAATGTTCGTTGAGCACCTCTCTTGTGCCCTGCATGGTATATGCCACACACCGTCCCCCTGTGGGGACTCGACCAGGAGTCTCCACTCCAGCAGGGCACYGTCTTGCTCTGCAGCCAGGGGGCGCCCCTCTGCACCCCGACTTGTTTCCTTCTCACTGCCTTGGTGTCCACTTCTAAAACCTTTCAGTGGACACCCAACATCCCCATTTTTCTTTCGGAAGTACAGAGGGTGGCAGGCGGAGGGGGACTCAGCATGGTCCCCTCCTTCCCAGCTGCCCTCCTGGGCCTGGATAACAACAAGGGGACTCACTACCCACCCCGCCTTTTACTCCTCTCCTCCTATCCAAGTTCAAGACCACAGCGGGCCAGAGCCCTGGGGTCATCGAATGACCAGGCTCGATGGCTTTAAAGCAGATCATCTCTCTGAAAAGAATCTCCTGACCCTCTCAGCTGCGAATGGTAACTGAGCAGACCCCAGACTCGGCTGCTGCCCTGAGCCTGGCGGAGGGGTCTCGTTGTGTCCAGGCCCAGTGCTTGGTCTCTGCCCCCGATGAACACCTCTTCCGACCTCGAGAGGATGGCTTTACTACAGAGAARCGTTTCTTGTTACAATCCACAGGCGGGGAAACGAGACCTCGTTTGTTCCTGCCAGGAGGTCTGGAGGCCGCAGGGTCATAGAAAACGCAGACGGATCCGAGGAGGAGCTGGAYGCCCGCGATGCAGACTTCAACGGAACCAAGGCCAGTGAATAAACTCAGAGTTCTGCCCGAGGGCCACAGGGGGATCGCCAGACCTACCACCGACAGCAGACTCTGAGCCCTTCCCAGCGTCAGACTCRCCACACCCCACAACCACCAGGGAAGAAAGCTCCCCCTGCCATCGGGGTGTGGGTTCGGCCTTTAGGACCCCAGGAGAAAAGCCCCAGACGAGACACAGGAACGGCCCCCACATCGCTGGACCGGGCCAGTGTCGAGTTTTAAGAAAAGCCACAGTGACCGGTCACCAGCGCCTTTGTTCACATGAAATGGGGAGAAAGTTGCCATCCCGGGCGCCCCTGCCCCCCATCCTGTCTGCTCCCAGCTCGACCCCAACCTGCGGACCCCTCCAGCTCCCRGAGTCCAGCCTTGTTTGAGAACTCTCCCCCTCCTGGCGGCCACACTTGACACACACAGTTCACCACCAGCCCCGTGCCTTCCATAGCCACGTGAAGCCAACACTGTACCTTGACTGTACTGCCACTGTCACCAATAAAAGGTCATAAATCACGAGAACAGGGTCGGCTTTTCTGTTGGGCATCTGTTTGGTTTTTTACAGAGCAAAGAAATGGGTCTCTGTGAGGATTGAGTGAGGGTGCCCCAACAGRGTGGTAACTCCCCCCAAAATGGGGACACTGAGGCCTAGGGAGGAGAGACCGGTGGCCCCAGGTCCCATGGCTGGCAAGAGGCAGCGAGATGCAGTGTGAGGCCGTCTGAGGAGGGAGGTGGCCCGGGGTCCCGGAGGGCTCTGTCCCTGCCCTTGACCAGGACCGGGGAGACCATCCTCACTGATCAGAACCCACGAGAACCTACGGGTTGTGCATCCTTGATCCAAGCCCCACATCCTTTTCAGCACCAGCATGGCAACAGAAGTAGAAGCTCCAAGCGCGACCCCAGGTGAGGTCGCAGGCACAACGCGGGCCTGGGAGCACACCTTCAGGCTGTGTGGAAGGCCTATGTGGAACATGGTGTTTGGGGGTTTTTTGGGGAGACTTGGATCCATCCCCAACATACCTCATTTCTATCTGCAAATATCCCAATTTTTTTTAAAGACCAACATCCAAAACACTTCTGGTCCCAAGCATCTTGAATAGGGGACGTTCATCCGTCATATGGCAAATACAAGATTTCTTTGATGTTTTTAAAGTTGACTATAAGACTGYCCTCTGCCCATCGGGGGAGTAGTTGACCGTCTCAGTCAATACCTTAGCCTCTGTGGCTCCGGGCTCTGTCGCACAGTTTTTTTTTTTTTTTTAACCCTTAAAAGCACCAAGACCTTCTTGGCAGGTTGGTCCTACAAAGCCCAGGGCCCTTCCCTTCTTCCAGTGCTTCAGGCACRTCTTGCAAAACTTCTCTCACACCAACCATACCACAGACCGACACAGAGGGAAGAGAGGCGAGGACAGGAACCCGGAACCTCAGCAGCACACCGGGTCCCAACACCCTTGCAGGGGGGCCCAAGCGTCGCCCAGCATTCCCAGCAGGCTGACCTGCASGGAAATTTTTAAAAAGCAGATTTTTTTTTTCATATTTTGTGACTTGGTTTAAAAAAAAAAAAAAAGTTTTCACAAGCTCACAAGCCAACGTGGAGGCAGATCCACGAGGCATGAACCAGCTGCACATGGGTCCCTCTTGGTTTTATTGTTCTTTTAAAAAATAAAAGTCCATCTTTCACTGACACAGGTTAGGACGCTTTCGGGGACAAAGTCCAGCACGGAGGCCGAATCCCCTGAACTCGGGCAGCACTCGAGAAGCCGTCCTCATCCCACGGTGATCCGGCAGGAAAGCGGGCCACCAGGCTGGGCGGGTTCCCGYGGCTGGGTGTGCCTTCCACCCATGTCCGAAGGGGGCGTGCAGCGCGGCCAGCAGAGCAGACTCGCCTCGACCCGGATCCCACGGCGGGTCTCCTCCCACCACAGGCCCACCGCGACCTCGCGCTCCTTTCTCATTGGAAGGCCACCCTGGTTATCTTATGATGATCCCATATTTCCAAGTCCTGTTCTCAGGGCTGTGTCACTGCGGCCACTCCACCCCAAGGTCCCAAAGCAGATGCCCACACGGGGGCAGAGGACTCGGGAAGACCAGGATRAGCATTTACCAGAGGACAGACTTCCCACGGACCCTGATCCACCTGAGAATGACTCTGAAAGTCGTCTAACCTCAGCGAGAGGCCGGCGACCGCCCCAGAGGCAYGGGACACGGTTTGAAAAGGCACATGTGTCCCCCGTTCTCCACTCCTGGACGCAGGCTCAGGGCTGATTTCAGGGCCCTGTGAGGCCCGGGAGGGTCTGTCCGTGAAGACAGCTCCAGGCGACAGGGACAGGGAGGCGAGCCCAGGGGAGCGCAGCGCCCCCTTGGGGGAACCCAAACACAAGAAGCACCGCTCAGGGCCACGGGGACTCGGCACTGACATGGGGCGCCCCATCACCCACAGTCTCACACTTCTCAGGGGCCCACTATGTCCCTGCCTCTGGGATGTGCACACTGACAGTGACACTAGGGACAGAGACATCATTTCATGGGGATGACACCGGGGCCCCAGGTGACAGCCTTGGTCCTGGGTTTGGGCCACGCAGCACCAGCAAACCACGGTGACTGATGGCTCCCGTTTCTCAAACTAACACCAAAAGCCTACTGGGCAGGGGACGGYGACGCACGCTCCGGCGGGCTCCAGCTCTGGGCTCCTAGAACAACAGCTTGACCACCCCCGGGGCGGGCGGCGGCGGCGAGGAGGACCGTGAGGGCGGCTTCCCGAGGTCCAGACGTTTTCCCAACCTTCAGACAGAGCAAGCCAGAGTCAGATGACAGGACAGAGGTGACACGGCGGCTAACAGGGGCCTAGAAGGACCTAAGAATGCCAAGAGAGGGGGCACGTCTCACGGGGTCTCGATATTCCCTCCTGTGACATGAAGGACAGACACTGGCCACCTGGCTCTGTGTCCTCAAGCCCTCTCTCAGAAGACGCCTGGAAACACCCGCTTCCCACCTGTCGATTAAGTTGTGTGTATGTGGCRGGGGGGCACTGGGACCTGAACCCAGGGCTTGCATCCCATAAGCTAAAACTCCAGCCCCCAAATTTAAAATGTGCAGAAGTAAAAATTAAATTTTAAAACAAAATCTGTGCAGGGCGCAGTGGTGCACGCCTGTCATCCCAGTGGCTCAGGAGGCTGAGGCAAGAGGATTTTGAGTTCAAAAACAGCCTCAGCAACAGTGCGGCGCTAAGCAACTCAGTGAGACCCTGTCTCTAAATACAAAATAGGGCTGGGGGTGTGGCTCAGTGGTCAAGTGCCCCTGAGTTCAATGCCCAGTACCCACCGCCCCTGACAGCCCCCTCCCCGAAAAACAAATCTGCTTCTAGATGCTGATTCTGTGCACGCCACAGAAACCCACTGAGCTTCCTGCCAGGTGCCTGCCACCTGCCAGGTTCATCTGGGGAGGACCAGGTTTACATCCAGGACGGTGGTTCCTCCTGGGGAACTCCTGTGTCTGGAGGTGGCCCTGGTTTTCTTCAGGCAAGAAAATCTGTGAGGCTGCTGGAGGTCAGACTGGGCCTCTCACCAGGACTCTAGCCTGGCCAGAGCGCAGTCAGTCCCTTCAGATTCCTGAAGGTGCTACAGGCTTAGAAGAAAGAAAATCCTCTRAGAGAAGCAGAGCAAGCTCACAGGACAAGGGATCCTCCTAGGACATTCCCAGGGCGTGACCCCACGCTGGGGCTGCAGAATCAAATTATAGCAATGGCCCTCTTTGTGGCCATTTGCTCAAACCAGAGGTCACCTCATTCRGTCTCAAGGAAAAGGAGGGCAAGGTTCACTGAAATGATCCTACAACTTAGAAGAGGGGGCAATGGGTGGGGTCAGCATCTCCCACCCGGAGCACACGGAGGCCCACCCTACCTAGAGCACAGCAAAAGGTACTGACCCTTTATCACTCAGAGGTCCGCCGCTGCTGCTGGTCCGTCTGTCCCCGCCGTCTCTGTTCTTGCTCCCCCGCCCTGAGGCAGGGCCGCCTGTCCGGTTTGGGGACTGGTCATACACAAAGTTCCGGCAGGAGGCGAGTTTGGACTCCAGAGCCTGGAGAGAAGTGAGCTTTCATCTCTCAGGGCAGGAACCCCTCTCGCCCACAGAGAAGAGGAAACGGTGGTTCCTGAACGGTGCTGCGCTGGAATTCCCAGGGGTGGGCCAGAGGAACCCAAGTAGCTCTAAGACTTAGAACCTCTTGCCCYGAATACCCAGGAGCTTCCTGGAGAATGGCTAACTGCTTTATTGTCCAACTCYGCCCATAGGAAACATGAACTCAGCTTCCAGTTGGACACTCTTCTGTTGACCTCAGGGAGCCTGCACAGAGTGGCAGGAGGGTTCCACGGGGACTTGAACTTGCAGTGGAGAGACCCTGAGGAAACCGAAGGGCAGTGAGAGCTCCCTGGCCTCTTTGTATTCTAACTGGGCTAAACATTCAGAGACCTGCTAATGCAACAGAAAGAGAGGCCCAAGCCACGGCCAAAGGAAGGAGGGGCMGGCTTCTGTGAAGCCGTATCCACCAACACACACGTGCTGCCCAGTGACCAGCCGGCAAGACTGAAGTCACAAGGCCTCTCGGGCACCTTCTTTAAAAATGAAAGAAACAGGGCTGCAGCTGCGGCTCAGTGGTAGAGCACTTGCCTCCCATGCCTGAGGCCCTGGGTTTGATCCTCAGCGCCACATAAAAATAAAGATACTGTGTGTCCAGCTRCAACTAAMAAAAATTCTAAAAAGAAATAAAAGAAACAACTACCAAGATTCCCTGTGCTATGGCTTAAGCACAATAGAATCCCTCCCTGTAATGAATGTAAAACCTGGAAGGACAAGTTCTTAAGAGGTCCATTAAACTCCCCGAGAAACCAAGGAGAGAAAGCCATTTACAAATGGCCCTCAGTTTTTACATAGTAAGAAAAAAAAAAAAAATCAGCCTGAATCGAAGGGAAAAACGGTTCAAGGAAAAAAAAGATACAACCTGGGCGAGGTGAGAGGGAAGGCCGGCTCGGGGCTCGGGGCCTCTGGCAACTGCTACAGGAGAAGCCGACCTGCTCAGGGATAGACCAGCCCCAGGGGAGAGGGCCTGGTGAGAYGGGCCCTTTCAGATGTCCCGAGAGTGTCCAGGGGTGAGGGCCTTACCCCTACTTTCCGAAGCAGGTCCCCCACGATGTTGAGGGCTGAAATCCGGGCTGCAGGTGTGAGGGGGGTCCCACTGTTGGAGTGGTCCAGACCTGGGTGTGCAAAGAGAAGAGCGTGTCACACACCAGCCTTCACCCGTGTTCTGACACAGATCTGAGGCAGTGGGGGAGGAGGGAAGCGGCTGCCTTCTCTTTCACCAGGGGCAGGTGAGTGACGTGCCGAGACCTGCTGACGACCGCCTCTGCTCCTGTGAAGACCCCACCGAGCATCTGTGTTCACACGTTCACTTTGTCCAAGTCCTCTTGAAACCCTAGGRTTCCACACAGCCAGCCCCGGCACCTGTTCCAGGCAGCTAGCTCTCACATTAGCTGTGTAAATGTGACATTTACACAGGAAGCGAGTCGGAGCACAAAGCGCTCTGCTCTGCAGAGACCCCTCCCCAAAGTGGCTCCGTGGACCAGCCGCTGGTCAGAAATGCAAAGTCACCCAGACCAGCCAAACCTGAGGTGCCCGCGGAGGAGACTTCAACGCACCCCCAGGAGTCCTGCTCAGGGCTCCTGAAGAGAGGGAAGGTGCTCCAGGCAGGACTCTAGGACCCTCCCCATCTCTTCGTCACCAGGGACAAGCTATGGGCCCTGGAGCCTGCCTGCCTGGTTCCCACCCCAGCTCTGCCATCGACTCCCGAGGGGTGCCAGGCGGCTCTGGGACTCAGGGCCTCGGTCTCCACTCTCTCCAGATGGGGACAGCTCTGATATTAAGGGCCGAGGCGAGTACTGTGAGGCCACACGCAGAGCCCTTCAAGCTCGGTGGCCAGCAGACCTGTCCTTTGGTCCTGGCTGTCTGTGGCCTGATCAGGGTCTCCCAGCTGAGCACTCAGCACGGGGCAGAATTCAAACCTCGGGTTCTGCCGCTCAGCACAGTTTCCTGGGTCCCCTTGGGATGGAGGAGCTGCTGGTCCCACGAGGCTTTGACTTTCGAGCTGGGGGCCTCACTGAGTGGCCCCCGCCAGCCTCTAGCCTACTCTCTTGCCTCAGCTTCCCAAGCTGCTGGGGTCACAGGCCCAGCCCACAATGCTTTGTGTCCACGATGCTTTTCACACTTCTTTATTGGTCATCCAACTGGGGGATTTCATATTTGAAAAGGTCTCTCTCTGGTGAAGAATGGCCACATCTACGGGACGGAGCCCACTTCCTGTGGCAGGAGTGAGCGGTGGCTGCCCTCTAGACAGGGTTTCTGTCCTTCACCACGGACCCCGCCACTCCCTACTGCCTCACATTCTGGACACTCCCCTCACTCACCACTGTGCCCTGGCGTGCCCAGTGCCCCAGACTGCCCTGCCGTCCAGCCCGGCCAAGTCCCCTCACCCGGGACCCACCCAGGTTCGCAGTGGGCCAAGCTGTGTGAAACCACCACCCTGCGGATCCCCGTTGCCTCACCACGTTTGAACGTCCCCGGTGTGTTTAGGCCGGAGCTGGGTCCTCGATGTGCTACGGGCGTGGACGGCACGGAGCCCGTGGCCTGCACAGCTGTGTCCGTCCTCTCAGTTTCTGCCGAGCTGGGCATGGGCGTCCTGGGCTTCTCCTGCTTCTGCTGCACAGCCAGCTCCTGCCGCAAATCTGCACCAGGAGAAGAATCCAGAAATGGGAGTCCTGCTTTGGGGCGGCCCACAAGGAGAGGGGAGAAAACTCCAGGAGGAAGCCAGCCCCAGGTGGAGGGAGACCCTCACGACCCTGCCGAGCAGCTTGGCCAACTATGTGATCTGGTTTCTGAGTTAAAAAAAAGGTTTAAAAATGTTTAAAACTGTGGTAGCGRCACATTATGGCTTTTATTGTTAAAGAAATTCAATGCAGCAGTGCACCCAGGGTCCTAGTGCAATGAGGGTGTGCGTTCCCCCAGAAGCACTGCTCCCTCCAATGCCCCGTGACTCCTGAGTGGTCCCAACACTCGGGACATCTACTCAACCCTTTTCTTCTGGGTTGCAGCATCTTTCCCCTTTTATATTTAAAACCCTCCCGTGTTTTACTGGTGCATCACGACCACATACAACAGGGGGAGTCACTGTCACACATTCTAGAGGCACACAATGCGACATACACTTTGGTCAATCTGGCTCCTCAGTATTTCCCCTCCCCTCCCTCCTCCCGCCCCCTGGTCCCTCCCCTCTGCTCTGCTGGTCTCCCTTCAATTTTCATGAGATTCCCCCCAACCATTCTTTTCCTTTTTCCTTTCGAATTTCCACCTATGAGAGAAAGTACAAGACCCTTGACTTTCTGAGTTTCACAGAACACTCTCAAGTTCCATCCATTTTCCTGCACAGGACATTCATTCTTTTTTTATGGCTGAATAAAACTCCATTGTGTATTTATACCACTTTTTTTTTTCATCCATTCATCTAAAATGGGGGATTACATATTTGGAAAGGTCTCTGGTGAAGAATGGCCACGTCTGTGTCGTGAGCCCACACTCCTTGTGGGAGGAGTGAGCGCTGGCTGCCCCTCTAGATAGGGTTTCTGTCCTTCTCCACAGACCCGGCCACTCCCTACTGCCTCACATCCTGTTTAGTATCTAACCTTCGTTTCATTTTAACAACTGTCTAACGTTCCATAAACCAGACCTAAGTAATATTTTCAGTCACTTCCTGATGGTGTAGCAGTAACTACAGTTGACATTCCTTATCCAGAATGCTGGGACCAGAAGTGCTTCAGATTTTGTAGTTTTTTTTCAAATTTGGAAAATATTTACATAGATTTCACTGGCTGAACATCCCTAATCTGAAAATCTGAAATGGTTCAAAATCTAAAACTTCAGTGGTACTTTTTAAATGTAACAGTTGGGGTTTTTCGTTGTTCTCTTAACTCCCCTACCTACTTAGTACATATCAGAAATCAAATCAATCTTATAAACAACTAGGACTTCAAAAAAACTCTCGTGTGCCATCTTGGATGTCTCATGAATGCATGCAGTGGTGAGTCCAAAAGCCTTAAGTCAGGAACCGCCACACTCACRTGGACGAGGTTCAGAGTTCTAAGCCACATGAAGCCATTCCACCAGGACGACTTTCCTCCCCATGAAACTCTTGTGCTCCTACTGAGGTCCAAGCCAGCTTGGCTTAGCTCCTGTGTCAATTACAGACTAAGAAGCATCTTTCCTGAAATGAATTCTGCTGCCRAGGCAAAACCCAGAGCAAGGCCCTAATCTGTGAACCCTAAAGCTATTTCTGTGAATACCGAAGGGGGTTACAGATGATCCCTAAATACTGAGGGCAGCTGACAATTCTGAGGTTGGAGAGGGACCAAGGCAAGGGACTGCCCAGGGTGGTCCCGGTYCTCTGCCCGGCTAACTGTGTGCAGAAAGGGGGACGGGTCTCCAGGGAAGGCAGCGCTGGGCAAGGCCAGGGGACAAGTACTGTCAGGGTGGAAGAGAGGACCACACCCGTGAAGTCGCAGGACAAGGCCCAGGCCCTCCTGACCTCTGGCTTCGTCCTTCAGCCGCTGGACGGACTCTAGAAGGTTCTCCTTCTCATCAAGTTCACTTTCCAGGAAGGCATTTCTCTCAATGGCTTGATTCAGGCGCTGCTCAAAGTCTTCCAGAGACATGATCGTGGCTCTAGATAAGAGAAAAGCAAAGCTGTCCAGGAGGGCAAGGGGCAGMGTCCACCGGTACCTACAGACCCAGGAGACACTGCAGGTCAGATATACCTGGGCCCAAGTCCCAGCACTGGGCTTCCTACATGCCTCAGGGACCCAAGCCGCAGACCGAGGCAGGTCCCTTAGCTCAGGGGCTCAGGCTGCTGCCTGAGGAATGGGAGTCACCCAGGAGCACAGAGGTGAGTCAGGTGCTGTGCACACTGCCCCAGCCACCAGCCAGGGCCTCAGCAGAGGACCCGACCCACCCAGTCCTCGGTAAGTAGCCAGTTCCGCCTTCTCCTGGAAGTTCACAAAGCAAACTAGTATAGAGAACTGCCTAATAAACATGGATGYAATTCAGCAACACTCATTTAAACAGGCAGACGAGACAGCGCAGTTACTTTAGAAAGTTCTGAAGGCCCAGCCCAGGCCAGCTGCCCTGCCAACAATCCCTGTGAACAGAGAGGACGTCACCCTGGGGCACAGCAGTGAGGGGGCCGAGAAGGGCCGTGATGGAGGGAAGAGTTGGCTCTGGCAAGCTGTGGGTCCCCACTTCCTATCGTGTGAAGCAGGCATGGCAGTGTGTCCCCAGGTGAGAGCTGGGGGATACAGGAAGAAGAGCACCCGCAGGAGCGCCACACCAAGCGCCAGTGATTTTGTCTTTGCGGTGCTGGGGAAGAAGCCCAGGGCCTCCCGCACACTAGGCAAGCGCTCTCCCCCCAGAGACTTTTATTTGTGACCCTGTGTTGGTCTCCAGAGGGCCTTTACCGTCCTGCTAACTATAGTCCATGGTGGCTGGAAACACGCTTGGCATGGAACCAGGAACCAACACCAAGCTCCTCCACAGAGGCCTGAGTGTCCTTGTCCCTTTGCCTGCAAAGCAAGCTGGGATTCCTTCCCTCCTTCAACGTCTACCTGGAGTCACACCGTACCCACCCTGGGAGAGTCTTTGGAAGAACTGGGATAAATTCACCAGAAAAGGCTAATTCAAAACAAAGGGATCGCACCCAGGAGCACAAGAAGAACAAGTTAAAATGCCTTCAGGATGGCGTCACATGACCATGAATGTGGCACGTCTGGGAATCCTGTGACAATGAACACGCAAGGACACGAGACCCCGCGGAAACACAGACGTGCTGTTCATGGAGCGGAGGAGGTGATATCAGGAAGGAGTCGGCTCTCCAGGAGCTCATGACAAACCAGCTACCATTTTCACAAAGATACAGGGCTGGGGCGGAAGACTTGAAAGATCATATGATAATGAAACAAGACTGGTTGGAGAGCGGCTGGGGTGTGGCCCCTGGTGAGGCCCCGGGTTCAGTCCTCCGGGAGCTGGCCCTAGCAGGCGGAAGACACGCTACCCTAGAGCCTCAGTGATGAATGACGGCAGGTCCTGGTGAGAAGGACAGGCGGCCTGGGGGGACTTCAAGTCCAGAGGTAGAGGCAAAAATAACCATGGCACATGGTCCAGCAGCACCACACACCCTGGGGAAAGATGGCCAGGTCAGGTCTAGGCTTAGGCGGCCGCCTGGAAAAGGGGGGTTGGATTCCAAACTCTTGGTGCAGCCCAAGATAAATGCCATTGGCGTCAGAAACTTAAACTCAATATTTGCTCCAAAGCGACTATTTGGCTTCTGGAACGACAGAGAACTGAAGACCTCAGCAGCGTTCCTGCCATTTCTGGTCCAGCGTCCGCAGTCTTGTGATGTGCGTGACCAGCAGCACAATGGCACTGATAATACTGGCAAGCCATGTCCTTCAGGTTCACTGTGACTACTGCAGAATTTGCTTTCAAATAAAAGGTCAGCATCCTAATGATAACCCAAGTTAAAACTACCTCCTGGGCTCTATATGTTTGAGACTCTACCTGTCGACTGATCAATTGTGGGTGTATTTACTAGAAGAGTAAAATGTACAAGGATTAATGGCTGGAAGCTGCTACTGTCATGTACTGTTAAGTGCTTGAAGAGGGAGAGGGAAAGGGTTTTCCGGAAAACAACAGATTTATCAGATAAAAACACGCAGGAGATAAGATCAGTCCATTTTAATTTCTGTGGAAATTTTTGGTGTCTTAACACTTATGTATGAAATAAAATAACTTTTAAGGGTTGTATGTAAATTTAGCTTCTTCTAGTGAGGCCCCCAGTCTTTCAAGCCATCCTTGCCCAAGGTCCCCTCCCCCGTGGAAGGTGAGTCACTACTTGTACAGGTGTGCAGCATCAGGACAGGAAGAAGGACCAGCCGACGGTGGTGCTGTTGCTGCTACAGAATGTCCTGTTTCCCAAATGGGACTGTTCAACGTTCCTAATAAAATCTTCACGTTACAGTTCCTGTGAAACAACAAAGCTTGGCATTCTAGAGATTCACCAGTCCCGTCATGGTGCCTTGGGCTGCTGCTACTTTACTGAGAGAGAAGAGAGGGGGGACAAAGAAAAGAAGGAGAAAAAATGCCACAAGAAAAGCGGCTAAGTGCTTCTGAGTGCAGAAGGCCCCAGGATTGAGCAAGGAGCAGGGCTACCCGGAAGCCAAACAGCCGACGCACCAGTAAAGACACCGCGGGCAAAGCCGGGGACCAGGGCCAGCTCCCAACACTTCCAACTCATATCAAGTATATAAGAACATCCTGAGAATAATGAAAAGCAAACAACAACAACAAAAAAACCCCACCAACCAACCACCCAAAGACAGAGCTGGAGCTGGAGCTCGCTGGAAGATGGCTGCCTAGCACGAGCGAGGCCCTGGTCTGACCCCCAGGACAGTCCAGAGTAAGGGAAATGACATAGTTCTGCAGTGTATGAAAAGAAACTCAAAGACACTTAGGATTCAGAAATCAGCCTGTTTCTCACCTCTTAGGAAGAAATCCTAAGCTTGAAAACTACTGTGAAGCTATTTCTTAAACAGCCATTCATATACATCCTGTCATTTCCACCAAATCTCATTGATGAAAGCAAGTCACATGGCCATGCCCAGTCAAAGGGTAGGGAAGTACATTCCACCCAAGGCAAGGTGTGCTGGAGAGAGGTAGGGAGACCCAGCAGGGATGCTGGGAACCTACTCGGGACCCACCAGGTGGAGAATAACCCAGCAACACCTGCCAAAATCACAAATGCATATATCCTCAGAAACACCAGGTTAGGTCCTGGGACTTTATTCTACAGTCCATATCTGTGAGTAGTCATTTGACACAGCAGTGCTTACCATTGTAAAAGACCAAAAATTCCAARGGCGATATCCATCCACTGGGGACTCAGTAAATAAATTACTATGGCATCCTACCACATGATACCAACATATTAGATATGTAATATTCCACTTGGGGGGAAAAGAACAAAGAATGCTGTGTCCTACAACAATAGACCTCCAAGATTCTGAAGATCTATCGATCTATCTCCAAGATTCTCCAATGCGTAACAGCAYGTGCACCGCACTCTTCTATGAGTTAGATAGAGAAAGGAGATAAAAAGAATGTCGATTTTTATTGACTTGAATTTGCATTAAAAAGAAAAATCAAACTACTCCTTTGTCTATCCTTTCTGAACTGTGTGATGCACTACCTGAGGGGGAGGACCATCAATGGTCCCAATTCCTCTTCGCTCTCTGCACCCACACTCTTTGATGCAGCATGGCATGTAACTTGCTGTGACCAGCCATACGGAGGTGGAGATGACAGCATGCCAGTAGCTTCCACCAGTCGAATGTGGCTTTGCTTACTACAAAACCACAGTGCTCAAGTCCCCAGGGTATTGGTGGAGCCATTCACAAATGGTCTATTGGACCAAACAGAGAATCCAGAATTAGACCCCAGGATGCACGGGAGATTAACATAACATCAACTACAAATCAAGGGGGAAAAAAGACGGGGTGTTTAATAAACAGCACCATAAAAATGGGTTATCCACCTAAATAAAATAAGGTTGATCCCATATCTTATCCTAGATATAAAAAACAAACTCTAGGTGAATTAAGGCAGTAAATGTAAAAAATTAAACAATAAAAAGATTTTCTAAAAAGAGAAAGAGAGGAAACAAAGCTATAAAAGGAGATATAACTGATGACCTGGAAATGGAAAATATTTGTATGGAAAATGATGGACAAAGTCAGACAAAAGATTATTTTGAGCCAGGCACAGTGGCTCATACCCGTAATCCTAGCAGGTCAAGGAGGCTGAGGCAGGAGGATCACAAGTTCAAGGCCAACCCCAGAAATGTAGCAAGACTCTGTCTCAAAATGAAATATAAAGGGCTGGGAATGTAGCTTAGTGGTTAGGCACCCCAGGGGTTCAATCCCTGGTGCCAAATAAAAAAGAAAAAGATTATTCTGGAAAAAAAAACAATTTTTCAATGCAGGACAAAAGGTTAGTACCAAAAATGAACAAAGAACTCTTACAAATTGACAAGAAAGGGGGTCCCACTTCTGATAAAAATGAGCCAGTTTGTATCAGACCAAGCCTCCTACAGATTGCAAACTATAAACGCTGGGGAAAATGTGCAAAGACAACTATCTAAAGGCACTGGCAGAAGCAGAAGGCAGCAACACTTGGGAGAAGAGAACAGCACTGGGGACATGACCCATTTCCAAGCTTCAGACCTAAGGCCCCACAGAGAAATCCAGCCACAGGAGAGAGCCTCGATCGCTGCCCACACACTCCCGCCACCTCTCCACCCCCCGGCGGGTCCCTAAACCACATGTGCATGGGGCAAACTCAGAGCATCCAGTAAGGGTTTAAAAAACAAACAAAAATGGGCCTGGGGATGTGGCTCAAGCGCGCTCGCCTGGCATGCGTGCAGCCCGGGTTCGATCCTCAGCACCACATACCAACAAAGATGCTGTGTCCGCCGAGAACTAAAAAATAAATATTAAAAATTCTCTCAATCTCTAAAAAAAAAAAAAAAAAAAAAAGATTTCAGTTAGTGCCCATCAGACGGGAGACAGTTTGGAATGTAAATTCAGCCAAGTTATACTTGAAAAAATAGACCAGAGAACAAGATAATAACAGAAAATTCCACCTAATATGTGAATCACGATGTCCAAAATGTTACCCAGAATTACTAGACTTGTAAAATGCAAGAAAAATGTGATCCAAGTCAGGAGAAAAGGCAATCACTGGAAAGCAAACCTGAGACAACCCAGATGTTGGAAACAGCAGAAAAGGATTTTAAAATAGATATTGTAACTATGCTCAAGGATGCACAGGAAGAAATCTCAGTAGAGGAATAGAAATTATATCTATACACATATGAACCAAATGAAAGTTCTTGATGTGAAACATAATACATCTAAAATCGAACATTATTTGATACAGTTTAATAGCAGATTAGAGAAGGGAACTCTGTGAACTTGAAACTAGAATAGTACTGTGCAATTTGAGAAGCCAAGACAAAGAACCTAAAAATCACACACTCTCACACACACGTTCTCTTCCCTCTCTCTCTCTTAGACCTAATAGTATCAAAAAGACACGAGTTTAACTGGTATCACAGAAGAACAGGAGAGAAAGAATGGCAGAGAAAAAAATTTTGAGGAAAGACTGATCAAAGCTAAATTTGGCAAAAGACAAATGTACAGGTTAAAGAAGCTCAGCAAACCCCCATCAGCCTAAGTACAATTAAAACCTCAGCCAGGAGCGGTGGTGCACACCTATAATCCCAGAGGTTCAGGAGTCTGAGGCAGGAGGATTGCAAGTTCAAGGCCAGCCTCAGCAACTTAGTGAGACCCCGTTTCAAAATAAGAAGGGCTCAGGGTGTGGCTCAGTGGTTGAGCACCCTTGGGTTCAATCCCTGGTACCAAAACACACACACACACACACACACACACACACACACACAGAGCGAGGTGCCTTCTAGTCCACCCTGAACACCAGGAAACAGAATCTGAGAGCAGCCAGAAGGCAGCACTTGACACTGGGCAGTAACGTAGGAATGACCTCCAACTGTGATCAGAAACGGAGGCCAAGACAATGAAATCACCTAGAGGTGCTAGTCGAAAACACAAAACCAAAGTCCTGTCGACTCGGAACCCACACCTAGTGAAAACACCCTTCATGGATGAAGGCAAAGATATTTTCGGATAAAAGCTACGCCACCAGAAATCCTAAGGACGTTCTTAAAAGCTGGAGGGGCGTGGAGTCAGATGGAAACAGCTTCAGGAAGGAAGGAAGAGCACCAAGCACCAGAAATGATAAATATGTGGGAGACTATTTTTCCATCCTCTTAATTTCTTCATATGATTTTTTAAAGCAAAAGTTATAACAATGTAGTATGAATTCCTCAGCACTCCTAGACGTATCAGATCTATACAACAGATTTGTAGATGCAAAAACGGAAGAGACACAATATTAAGACTGAAAAACTGGAGATGTGTACAGTCATCCCCAAAGCAACCACTAAAACAACAGAAGGAACTCTGGAAAAATCAAAGGGCTCCGTGTCTCAGTAGGAGTGTGGGCTTCATGAATGGGAGCATTTTTCAAAACTAATTGAATTGTACACTTGAGATCTGCACATTTCATTGTAATTTATATATAAATTATTTAATTGTACATATTTATAGGGGTATAGAATACTTTTAATATTTTTAAAAAGAGTTTTCTTTAAATGAAAAAGTGCCTATAGAGAGAGTAATTATCCCATAAATATTGTGTTCTGCTAAACCACAGAACATCAGTTTAGGGAATACTGTTTTGTTAATGTGTTCCTTTCCTGCCTACCTCAGGACCTTAGCACATGCTCATCCTTCTGCCTGGAATGCTTTTACCTTGCTTCCCTTCCTGGATAACGGCTATTCATGCCTTCAGTCTTGGCCTAAATGGCATTTCCTGTGGGAGGCTTTGCCTGACCATCTCCCACCAATGGACAAATTAATTCATCCTATTACAGTCCCCCAGCTCCTGGCCTTTCAGCATTTCTTGCTGTAATTAGTGAGCTCATGCCTGCCTACTGTCCGTTTCCCCCAAAGGGCACTGGCTCTGCTGGGTCACTGCCCAGCTCGCTGCCCAGCTCTCTGTGCCTGGTGCCAACGTGCTGGAGTAAAGGGCAGGAGGAAAGCCACCCCCCTCCCCGTCCTCTCCCTCCCGACGCACCGTTTTGCTCTTTCCAGGTCGTCGTTGGCCTGCTCCAGCTCCCGGATGTACTTCTGCAGCTGATCTCTAATGGCTCTGGTCTGCGCCAGGTCGTCCTCTAAGGCGGAGATCTGCCGGTAGCCCTCAGAGTGCTGCAGCTCAAACTTCTCCTAAGGATAAAACCAGAGAGGGTGAGCCACGCCAGTCTGTCTTCCTGGTGCCTCCTTCCAACGCTCCGGGGACAGGAGCTCCCCTGGGAGTGGGCGCTGGTTGCTCTGTGTGTCCCACCCGCACCCTTCTTCACGGGGTCTCTCTCCCTCCCGTCACCCCCATCTCCTGCCTAGGCTCAGTCAACAGGAGCTCCCTCCAGACTCTGGAATCCTGGGAGTGACAGAAGACCGTGGGGACAGGTGGCAGGCATGTCCTGACCTAGTGCTTCCCGCTCCCTCCCACCTCCCACCCCCCCCACAGCATGTGGTACCTGCCCACTCCCAAACCTGGTCCCTACAGCCCTCAACCATTTAAGGTGTCCATGGACAGAGGAAGCCTCGCCCAACGTGCGTCCTGCACCATCGAGTGGGGGGACCACAGGTGCTTGTGCATCAGGATTAGAGGAGGGCATCGGGCAAGCAGTGTGACAACGTCCTTTGACAGTCCCCTACAGCACAGGGGAAGTTACGGGAAACTTTTGGACAAGGAGGGCGGGAGATCAGGAAATGGAAGGAAAATGATCACTAGGTACCAGAGGAAGCTTGGAGTGACTGGCTGGTACTTTCCAAAGTCAGGGAATCACGGGTGGCGTCTCGGGGACTGGCTGTGGCCCACTTGGAGCAGTTTACATGTACTGCGTGTTGATCTCAGCGCCAGCCTGAGGTGTGGGGACTGAGGCTCAGTTACACAGCCAGCCCAAACCCACTGGCCGCAGACGACCCAGTCAAGACTGAGCCCACCACTTGAGCTGGTGGTGTTAAGAAGACCCTAGCCAGACGCGGTGGCAGATGCCCGTGATCCAGCGACTTGGGAGGCCAAAGTGGAGGGTCACACATTCTCAGCCAGACTCAGCTACTCAGTGAGACCCCGTCTCTAAATAAAAAGCACCGGGGTTAGAGCTCAGGGACCAAACACAGTGACACTCAACAGCTCTAAGCCACTTCATTTCAGGTCACTGACGTGCCGACCATGCTTTCTCCTACTTTTGCTCGTCTTTCAAATTCCTTTCTGCATCAACACAGCCTTCCCACACTTGCTTCTGTATTTTATTTATGTATTTGATTCTGTGGTGCCAGGGATCAGCCCAGGTCCCCCATGTTAGACAACGGCTCTACCCCTGAGCGGCACCCTCAGCCCCACCCCCTTCCTGGATTCCACAAACACATGAGAGAAGACACGTCCCACAAGAAAGGCCCAAGGTCCACTGGGAAAGTTGAAAACAAAGGCCAGCTTCTCCTCCACTCGGTCCAGTACACAGAGCTGTTGCTAGACACGGTCCGGATGCGCTGGGGGGTGACGTCATGGTGCTCGGGCCACAGAACAGCCGGTTATTCACAGGGTGGTGACAGGAGGGCATTCCATACCCTCCCGCGGGCCGCCGGGGTCCCTCTGCTGCTCCGTCCCTGGCTGTGAGCAGAGCGAGGGCCTGGACAGGCCGAGGCGGCCCGGCCAGTTCCCAGGTGGGGATCTGACCGCCCTGCACCCTTTGCTTGGAGCCGTCCGTCTCTAAGCAAGCTGGGGTCCCAGGTCACCACCGCGACTCCACTGCAGGTTCCGAGAGGATGCAGGGAGCGGACTTCTCTACCCCCCAGATTCAGAGGGTGTCCTCTGAACTGCGGACATGGCAAGCTGTCCTGTCCTGTCTTCTTGCGCCTTCACTTGGGGCTGATCAGAAGGAGCCGTCAGCTGACGGGGCCTCAATAGCTGCTCTGTCTGATTCCTGCCAGGCGCTGCTTCAGCGCCATGAATGGGCCACTTGTCCAGAAGCCYGTCTCGCGAGCTTAGGTGATGGACAGATGCGTACTGGGGGCAGCGCACTCGTCCTCGGAGGTATGTTTCCTCCCTGGGAGGCTGTGCGTCTCCCTCCTGCCAGTGGTTGTGCTGAAGAGGGCTTCTGCAGGCTCAGGTTAAAGCAGCTGATTACTTAGTAACCAAGGGACACTCGGCCTCCAGGGAGTCCCGTGCTCTCCAAACCACAGGGCGGCCTGCAATCCTTCACTCTGTACAGCTTTTGTCCCCGAGTCCTCTCCAAGTTAAGAACCAAGGCCACGGGCAGAGGTCAGGCTGTCACAGGAGGGAGGGAGGTGGTCCCGGTGCAACACAAACAGACCACCGACACTTGGCCCTGGGCACTGGAGGCAGAGGACGGGCAGGCGGGGCTCAGCTCCCTGCTGGTGTGGGCGGACGCAGGCCTGGCGTGGCCAGCTCCACTGCTTCTCCGGGGAAGTCAGAGATCCAGATTTTTCTACACACCTTAGATTGGGATGTTAAATATTTTTTAAAAACCTAAAAATAGACATTTTACCCTTGAGAGGGAAAACTGTAAACAAACATCTGAAGTCTGGTTAATGCGAAGCCGGCCGCAGAACTCAGGGGAAGATGTGCACAATCTGCAGCTGACTTTGAAATGCATCCGAAAATAAGCTGGCAGGGGGGGGCAGACACAGAGGAGGCAGGATGGCAAGGCCACGGGAGAGACCAGGAGGCAGACACACAGATGTCCCCTGGAGAGGTCTCCCCTTGCCGGGTTCTTGGAACCTTTCAAGGTAAATGCTGGGAAAAAGTAAAGGGTCCAGCAAACATCCAGGGCCCGGACGGACCTGTGCGTCGATGGCCAGCCTGGGCTCTCTGGTCTACTGCACCAAGTGGGGACTTCACTGTTTAGCCTCCAAGGTCTTGGGGCCTCTCCGGTCCCTTCTCTGAATCCCCAGGGCATGTGTTGGTCTTGCTCTTTCCCATGCACAGGAAGGCCAGGGTTCCACCTGCCACTCACCCTGTCCTCTCTGACACAGGTCCCAGGGAACTTCTCTCACACACCCCAGCCCCTAAGCACCACATCGCTGGCTGCACACAGAGACAGACACACACCGCCCCCCTTCCAACCCCAGCTGAAGTCCCTCTCAGCTCCACATGAAGCCTTCTCCAACCCACGCAGACCTTCCTCGTAGAAGCTCTCACAGCAGAACGATGGGACAGAGCGCCATCTCCCTAACTGCCCAATGTGCCATGCAAGTAGGATTAGGTCAGAATGAACCCCACTATTAGGTATGCCTAGAATGCACTCATAAAAAAAAATTGAAAAAGAAAAATGTTTTTAAGTTGTAGATGGGCACAATACTTTATTTATTTATTTGGTGCTGAGGATTGAACCCAGTGCCTCACGTGTGCAAGACAAGTGCTCTACCACTGAGCCACAACCCCAGCCCCTAATAAAAACTTTTAAAAAATGTTTTAAAATGTGTTTGGAGAGAGAGAAGCGGACAGACACGTACAGACATGTCAGGGCCCTGCCCCCAAATCACTGAGAAGTGGAATCTCAGAATGGTGGAGCAGAGCTGGGGTACACAGGATGGGACTGCCCAGGTCTGCCTGGCGTTTATGAAGCCGGCTTGGTGGTCCTGACTGGCAGCCAGGCTAAGAGCCAGTCTCTGGGGCACAGGATGCCCCCGACAGTCATCTGCTAAGTCCTATAGAATGCACAGGAGGCATCATCACCGTCAGAACAGTGGCTCCCCGGGCTCAGCCACATCTGGAGAGAATTTTGGCTGTTTCAACCCCAGAGATAAGGAGATGCCCGCTGGTACGCGCTGGAGGGAGGCCAGGGTGCCCTTAGACACCCACAATGCACCACGTGGCTCACACATCCAGACGGCAGCTCCCCTTCTCCACAGGGACACCTCCGAGGCATTCAGCCATGCCCCAGACTTCAGACAGTCTGCGACCCTGTGTGGAGGTGTTTTATCTCACACACACACAMCCCTAGGATGAGGTTTAATTAAGAAATTAGTAACAGTAAAATAGAATAATTATAACAATAAAGCAGAATAAAAGTTACTCAAAACTATTGTTTTTGTCTGGAATTTTCCATATGATACATTCTGAGGTAACTAAAACCATGGAAAGTGAAACTGCAGATAGGGGGTGACCACAGGGTCTGCGCTGGGAAACGTCCCCTCGCGCTCTACCGAGGTACCCGTTCCGCAGGCCTCTGCCCACTAACGACACCTGTGAGCCGCAGGTGACCAAGAAGCACTAGAAACGTGTGACTGAGGCATCGAGGGCTGGTTCCCATTAACTCCCATTTCAACAGCCACCTGTAGCTAGGGTTACCATCCTGGTCAGCACCACCCTGGGCCTCATGATCATCAGCAACTCTAGTGACATCCAACAGCCACAGAGAGCTCCCTGCCATGTGCCCTGGGAAATCAGCCCAGGGCTCCAGGAAAGGCCTTGGGACAAGGGTGTGACTTGCTTCCCATAGAGCTCCATCCAACAGGGACACAAAGTGCACTGACCACCCCTCCCCCAGGACTGCAGGAGAGGGACCTGGTCTTGGCCCACACCCCCAGCGCCCCTCCTCCAGCCCGTCCTTGCTGCAGGCCTGCCCCTGCCTGAGCACACCTCGCCCAGCCCTCACCTTGACCGTCTCCAGCTCCAAGCGAAGGCGGTTGTTCTCTGACAACAGGTCCCGGTTCCTGGACTCGATCTGTTGCAGCTGTGTCTCCAACTCAGCTTCATATTCTCGGCTTCCCTCTTGGAATTCTCGAAGTTCCTCCTGCGTATTCTCTGCCCTGCAGCAGAATCGCCCAAAGTCAAATGATGATTTATTGAACACCTAGTATGTGCTGCACTGTGCCTGTCACTGCAGGACACGGATCACCTCTTCACTGACAGTACTTCCATCTTACACACAAGATGTGGTTTAGACAAGATGAGTAACTTGTCTAACCATCACACGAGAAATCAAACAGAATTGGGAACTAACTCCCATGTACCTGACTCAAAGCCATTTCTTAACAAWCTCACCATTCGCTCAGTCAGTCAGCATATACCAGCAGGAAGCAAGTATACTTGGGATTTTGTATCCTCTGCAGATTTATTTCATACATGTATCTCCACCATAGGCCTGACCCAGCCCATCCCAAAAGTCTGTCTGGCTTCTCAATCCTTAAAATTCAAAAGACTTGTTCCCTTCAAAACCAAACCTGAATAAACTTTAAATCAAACTAAGAATAAAGAAATGAGAGGGACTGGAACAAGACCTCATGTGGAGATCCTAAGATTCCAACAAGGRCAAGCACTGGACTCAGTCACACAACTCCAGACGTGCCCACTGAACGTTGGCTTCCGATTTTAAAAATCTGCCAACAACCTATTTTGTTAGGCACAGGGGAAAGTTCTTTTCTAAAAACCCCATTTATAGCTGAGTGCAGCGGCATCCAGGAACTGGCTGTCGGTCACAGTGGCCCGAGTTTCCACCCTCGCAGGTGGTGGGGCGGTTAGGCACAGCCCTGCAGCAGATTCCAGCTCTGCTCCTCGCTGGCAGTGACCCTGGGCAGGAGGCTGCCTTCCCCGAGGCTCTCTTCATCTATAAAACAGGCGACAGCGGCTCCTTCAGGGGGCACTTCTGAGTGTGAGGTGGGCCCTTCACGGGGCAGGTGCATGACGGGCCAGCAATGAGAACTCTCCCAGGAGCAGGAGGCCAGCTGGGCTCTGCAGGTCTCACCTCTGCTTGTAGGTCATTGCCAGATCTTTCCAGTAGCTCGCTTCTTCCTCCTCGGAGCCAAAAGTCTTTCCCGAGTCTTCCATGGCAGAAACAGGGAAGGGATCACACTTCCTGGGGCATGGTGTCTAGGAGAGAAGGTTTCAAAGTGACGGCCCGTATTTGGGTCATCTTTAACAACAATGACAAATTCTTGAAGTTGATTCTGGATTAAGTGATAAAATATTGCTCCCAAACAGAAACTAAATCCAAGCAAAAAACAGCCCAGCTGTCACATTCCACGGGTTAAGATTGATGTATGTCACTCCACGAATCTTTACTGAGCACCTACCATAGGACCCAGATAGCCACACAGAATGTCCGCAAGACCCCCGCTTCCCCTCAGGGGGCCGTGTACGTGGAGGAGATGTAAGGTACCATCCGTGGTGAGTGCAAGAACACATGCACAGGACACCCTCACGTGACGCGGACGTCTATGTAGAGCACATATGTTGTGTGTTTGGACACACACAGGATCAGAGAAACCTCCACCAGTGAAAATGAGAAGTGTTTCTGCAGTGACCAGCATGCTTGGGGAGGGAGTCCCCTACTCAACCTGAGTCAGCAGGGGGACCTCCCAGGACAAGTGCCGCCTGAGCAGCAGGTGAAAGAATGTGAAGGTGCAGGAGGAAGAGGACACGAAACAGAAGGAGAGAAAGTCTGTTGCGGGGCACTGAGGAAGTCAGGGAGGCTGAGGTTGAGGTTGGAGGCCTGGAGGATTAAAACAGAGGAGCTAAACCTGTAGGCCTTTCTGACCTGTTAAGAAACCCAGGGGCAGCTCTCTCTGCTTCCTGCTGTCATGATTGGCATCACTCTCCTCCACCACGCCCCCACCCCCACGATGCTCTGCCTCACCTCAGGCCCAGGGCAATGGAATCAGTCAACCACAGACTGAACCTCTGAAACTGGAGCCCCCAAATAAACTTTCCCTCCTCTTCTAAAAAGGGCAGCAGCAGCAGCAGCCAGGCAGGGTGGTGCACACCTGTGATCCCAGAGACCTGGGAGGCTGGGGCAGGAGGATCACAAGTTTAAGGCCAGCCTCAGCAACTTAGTGAGAGCTTGTCTCAAAATAAGAAATAAAGGGCTGTGGATGTAGCTCAGTGGTTGGCAGAGCACTCTGGGTTCAATCCCTAGTGTCACCAGGAAAAGAAAAAAGAAAGAAATATATCAGGAACCAGCACAGTGGTGCACGCTGTAATCCCAGCAATTTGGGAGGCTGAGGCAGGATTGCTTGGGCCCAGTTTGAAGTCACCAGGACAGCATGGTGAGATCTCATCTCAAAAAATAAGCAACTTTTTTTTAAAACCAGGATCCCAGGACTTATTACATTTGGGCCGGGGGAGGAGATGGAGGTGGGTCTAGCTCTGGCCACGGGTACCTCAACTATCCCCATCACCAAAGATGGAAAGTACCAGGAGGAGAACGCTGTGTGGGTGGGTTGCGGGGGACAAACCCCGACTGGGGTATTTTGGTTTTGACTCGTCCAGGACACAGTTAGATGCAACAGCGGATCTGAAACTCAGGGCTGAACTCAGCCGACAGTACAGCTGGTTCTCCCCTTCTTCTTGGGACAGAATCCTCAGAGTCTCACGTGGACCACGTGTGGCACCTGGGGATGCCAATGCTGGAAAGGAGGGCAAAGAAAGSAAAGAGAGAGGAGAACCAAGGAGGAGGAGCTGTCCCAAGAGAGGACAGTGCAAGGGGACATTCCATAGCAACCAGGACACAACAGAGAAGCAGATAAGAGCTGGAAAATATCCAGGACACTGAGGGACATGCCGGTCACAGCAGCCTGAGCCTGAGTTTCCACGTTGTGCAAAAGAGAAGGAAGCAGAGCACAGGAGAGAGAGCCTGGCAGGTGACAGCAGGTGGGGCATGGAGTCAGGGGACCAAGGAGCTGGAGGAGGGAGCTGGCTCCGAGGGCTCGGGCTGCTCCAGTCTCCACCAACCTGGGCTAATGGCTTGTCAGCTCCCTGTGGCTAGACCTCCTCTTTCTCTGATGTCACAGCCCATCTTCTGAGTTGGAGGCCTTGAGCTTGCCAAAAGTTAGGAGTCCACATATGATGTGATCAGGGTCCCTCCCTCCCTCGGGCTCCTAGGGGTCCACCCCGCTGCAGACATAACCCACAAGCCGAATCTTTGTTAACACATAAACCATTAGGCTCTTCTCTCTCCCTCCTAATTTTTAACCCTTCCATAATTCAGAGAAAACATACCACTTCCTCCCCACTCCATCCCGACGGGGAAGTGTCTGAGAGCTCGATGGAGGTTGAGAAGACGGGTATGGCCAGAGTGGCTGATGGACAGATTTTTTCCCAGCCACTCATCCTTCCCGCCATCTTGCTGTGACCGTGTCCCAGAATTCCCCTGGGGAACGCACCCCACTCTTACTGCATGTGGTTTGTGGATTTGATATCATTCTCTGGCTCTGGGAGACAACCTAGTCCTCTGGCATCAGTGACTGGCACGGGGATGGCTAGACCCAGGTGAGCACTGTCACTGCTGTGACACTGACTGGTACATGAGCTGGGCCCAACCCAGGCATGAGCCAATGAAAGAGGGACCGGACCCAGTGGTTGAACCCGTGGCTGGCGCGGTGGCTGGACACAGCCAAGGATGGACGGGCTGAGCCACAGGAGCCATGGAGTGCCTGCCTTCCACACAGCTCCCCAGAAGGAGACGCTTCCCACCGGGGTTGGTCAATAGTAAGTGGCAAGCTCAGGACAGCCAGTGCACATCTGGCCGTCACCGTGGAGAGCCAGGCTGATGAGAGTACTGCTGCCACCCCTGCACTCCGTCTCAGAAGATTTAAGGACAGGAGAATCAGTTCCCTGTGGGTTGGCTCTCTGCCACAGACAAGACCTAATCAATATATGGAGAGAACATTCTTATTGCTCAAAGTAAAAACAGGTAGAGCATTGATGAAAGAGTAAAGGGTAGAGGGTGGCTTGGCTCAGATCCTCAGCCAGTCGCTGACTTGGCCAGGCGCAGTGGCTCACACCTGTGATCCCAGCAGCTCAGGAGGCTGAGGCAGGAGGACAGCAAATCAAAGCCAGCCTCAGCAACTTAGCAAGACCCCGACTTATTTTAATGCTAGGGACATAACTCTGGGGTAAAGCACCCCTGGGTTCAATCTCCAGTACCAAAAAAAAAAAAAAGTAATTGACATGGTAAGAAGGCGTAAATCCAGACTGAACACTCTCTGCTCCAGCTTAAGTTCAAAGGAGCCCAGTTCTCATCTAACATGTAGTTACCAAACCAGTTCCATAACCTCAAGAGCACAGAGCTCATGCATCTATAGATGAGCGCCATGTGCCCATTAACATACTGGTGACCCCATGGAGGCCAGTCTCAGCTATGTGGCATAGAAGACAGCACACAATTGGGTGAGGTAGTACCTACCACAGACTAACTATTCTGACTGTTCAGAAAAAAATCACTCACAAGATCCCAGGTGACCAGTCCCCTGCTTGCTTCTCTAAACATCTCCTCTCTCTTATTGGTTTTGTCCCAAGCACACTGTCTTCACTCTTGCCTGAACACACCACGTTTGCTCCCACCACAGGGCCTCTGCACTTGCTCTTCCCTTGGCCTGGAATGTTTTTGCCCCCAAGTCTCTGTCCAGCAGACTTCCTTCTTGCCATTCAGCTCTCCAGTGAAATGTTGTCCACAAAGAGACCCTATTTAAATACTCTATCAACACTCCCCTCCAACTTTCACTAAGCTGCTAACCGCTGCTGCATCTTATTCCATCACTTTTGAGTTTTGTTTATCTTCTCCATGAGAATGTCAGTTCTTGTACAGCAAGCTTTTCCATCCCCAGTGCCCACAACAGTGTCTGCATTCAGTGAATGGGAACCAGGGAGAGATGGAGACTGATAACTGGGAAGGGCTGTGAGCAGAAGGAAAGGCAGCAAGCAGGGGCCTGAGGGAGGAGAGAGGTGCTGAAGCTTGCTCACACCTGTAAACCCCAGACGCTATCAGAGAACCTAACCCACTCTGCCCAGATGCATCTGGGAATGGTAGTGAGAAGTGGCTGGAGAAGATGCAGCGTGGGAAACCCGCCCACCCAGGGTCACGTGATGAGCAGTAGCCCACGCAGTTACTGGAGTTCAGAGGCTCCTCCTGCCTGTTTACAAGCCAGTTTTAGAAAAGGGCTTCTTAAGACCTTGATCTTGGCCAATGAGGCTTAAAATTGAATCCTCTGGAAAGGATGTGAGATGTGTTTGGAAGTGATGTGATGGTGAGTGGGTGGGTCTAGTTATAAGAAGGCCAGAGAGAAGGGTCCAGCCTTGACCTTCAGGGACTGATGAGAAATCACACAGACCCCGGACTACGTCAGAGCCTGCACAATCCTGTATGTCAACTAAAGGACAAGGGGCACAGGAATGGATTTCAACCCAAGCCCCACGCATTCTAAAAGCAATAGTTAGGGAAGAGGAAAGAAATTCTGAAAAAGTGGGAAGAAGTCTAGTGTAAAGAAGCAACCTTCTATATATATATGTATGTGCGTGTATATCTACACACACACACACACACACACACCAGGGATTGAGCCCAGGGGTGCTTAAACACTGAGCCACATACCCAGCCCTTTTTGAGACAGGGTCTCAGTAAGTTGCTTAGGACCTTGCTAAATTGCTGAGGCTGGCCTTGAACTTGTGATGCTCCTGCTTAAAAATATATTTCCTTTTGCCATTTGGAATCTGGCTTGGAAAGTCCTATGGCTCTGCTCTCTGCCACAGAAAGCAGGCTTGGTGACTCACGAAGGCTCTCTCCTTCCAGGATTATCTACCTGACTTTTTACCTTGGCCTTCTACTTGCTGTAGCCCGGGCATTTAACAAACTCCTTTCAAAGGACACTAGCCGCCTCAGGCTGTTCTGCCCTAAGAGGTAGGCAGCAGCTGAAACGGATGGTAGAGCAGGAACATGGCACGCGCTGGCCATCTTTCAAGGGGCAAGTTAGTGGTAGAAGCAACCAGAACCAAGTCCAAGGCCTTGCAGGAGTTGCTGACACACCGACTGGAGGTCAGATTCCCTCATTTCATTTGGCCTACGGTCCTTTTAAAGACACTATAGAAGGCAGGTGTTGGTTCATACCGGTCTCAGCATACACAGCTCTGTACCTTCTATCTTTTTTGGGGGGTGGGGGGGTACTGGAGATCGAACTCAGGGGCACTTGATCACTGAGCCACATCCCCAGCCCTGTTTTGTGATTTATTTAGGGACAGGGTCTGAGTTATTTAGCATCTCACTTTTGCTGAAGCTGGCCTTGAACTTGTGATCCTGTCTCAGCCCCGAAAGCCGCGGGGATTACAGGTGCACCCAGCTTGTAACTTCTATCTTAAAAGTGGATACTACACTTACTTCACCTGTGTGCAGATCTTCCTGTCAACATGTCCAGAAGCTCTGTGGACCAATCTGATGGGGACCTCAAATATACATGCAGCATGCAAAAAACAAACTAGGATCCAGTGGTACAGAAACTGTTTGGCATCACTTAGTACTCTACCTCCTATAAAAATTCTATAAAAATTCATTTCAGCATTTTTTTGCATGATTAAATGGAACCGGAATGTCTCAAAACACACTGGAGACACACACCTCTGATTTCAAAACTCTGGAAAAAATAAAGTGGTCCCTCTTGGCTTTCCTCTGAGCCAAGAAAGTCAGCACAGCTGATCAGGATCAATACACAGGTAGAAACCATCAGAAATTAACTGGCTGCCCTTCTCCACCCAAACCCCACCTCCTTCCCGAACAAAACAAATGCAAGAGCTGAGGGAAAAGGGAGGGAAGAGAGAGAAGCTGGCAAGTGTTCACACATGCACCAAGAGCCTTGTTACCACGCAGGCTTTGCACTTTGCAGAAGTGACATCACTGGGGCAAAAATCAGTGAAGAGTCAGCAAGCCTGGTGTCTCTTTGTGCCTTCAAGGTCTATAATGATCTACCTACAAAAGTACTGAAGCATGCAAGGACAGGTGCTCAGGGATACACCCTGTCATTCACTAACATGGAAAACTGGAGAAACCTAAGTGTCAGCAGAAGACTGATGGAAAACTGCAGTTGTTGAGAATTACATGTACGCCTACAGAAGAAAGCTCCTGGTGTGTTGAAAGAGGGTAGTTCTTGTTTATCTTCCTCTCTCTGCCACAGGTTAGAAAAGGGTCTGGAAGGAAGTGCCAGGGTAGGGGTAGAGCAGGCACCAAGATAACTACTTTACCTGGCACACTTCTTTACACTAGACTTTTACAGTAAGCATATCATTTTTGAAATTTTAAAAAGCTTATGCTAGGGGGAAAAATAGCTATTGTTCCAGGATAATTTTACTCTTTTGAACCAAGATGCCAGGGAATTTTTCCTACTGTCTTCCCCTCCTCTTTTCCTTTTAATCACTTCTTGAACGCCTGCCTACTATGTGCACAGCTGGGAGAGGCCCACAAAGCAGTAATAGCTGCAGGGACAAACTTTCTGGGCACTGGCAGGATTAAGTTAGGAAACTGTCTTGCAAAGGAAGGGAGTGTAATCTTTCTGGGTTCACAAGTTCTAAGGCAAAGAATACATTCTGGAAACAAAAATAACGTCCTAACAGAGTAAGCCAAGTTAGGATACTATTATCCAAAATGGGATAAAATACACAGTTCAGAGACCCGTGAGACTTCAAGGGCACAGATCATCAGCATCTAATGATCACAAAAGACGAGCTGAGAGGAAAGATGAAGTTTCAAAACCGGTGAGATACCAGCGAGGTAGGGGGAGGGGCAAGGGTGGTCAAATAACAAGAGGCTCTGGGAGTAGCGGGGTATTCAATTACGCTTCAAAGCACCCTACTCAAGTCCTAAAACGCCATCCTAGCCCAGAATACATTGAAACAAAACCAGGCTAGAAAATGACAAACCTGGGCACAGCACACGCTGCCAGGGCCCTTCCTTTAGAAAGGAAGTTAAAAGGGGCCTCGGGCTAAAAGTAGAAAGAAAGAGGCACAACCTCGTACGAACCCTGGACAAAGAAGACTGGGGCGCTCGGGCTCTCGGGAGCCGAGAACCTGAGATGACTTAGAGAAGATAAAGTACCTGCCCCAAAGCAGTGTCCAGGTGATGGCGGGGTTTCCCCGGACCTCGGGGAGGCAGGTAAGCCCAGCCAGCATTCAAGCTGCGGAATAAGCGTTTTTCACCCTTTATTCAATCCTGCCCCAAAGTGCTGTCCCGAGAAATCCGAACCGCCCCGCTGCAGAGGTCTGAGAAAAGCGGGTGGAAGGAGACTGCTCCAAAGGAGGGAGGTGCAAAGGAGGGGGTGGTTTTTGGAAGGAAGCCTGCGCTCGGGGTGAAAATGGGGTGGGGACATGGGCACGAAGGCGGAGGTGGCGCTGGGAGTGAAGGAATGAGGGGGACCAGGGGCCCGCAGGAGAAGCAGGGGCGGGAACGGGCGGGTGGCGGGATGGAGGGGCGGAAAAGAGACGAGGGGCGTCTAGGAGGCGACCTCGAAGGAGGGAAGAGCGGTAGGGCCGGGCTGGGGAACCAGGAGGGCGAGGTGACCCAGGAAGTCCCCAGGGCGGGCAGGGCAGCAGGGCTGGAGAGACCAGCGCAGAAAGCGGAACGAGGTTGGCCACCCGAGGAGCCGGGCGCGAGGGGCACGCGGTGGGGGGGCGGAAAGTTAGGAAGCGGGGCTCCGGGAAGGCGCGGTGTTCCGGAGCCCGCGGAGCCCGGGCAGCGGGAGAGGGCGCGCAGGGTCCCTGCAAGGCGGCGGTGGGGTGCGGTCCCGCGGGCGCGGGCGGGCGCCGGGCGGGGCCGGAGTGTGGCGGCGGCGGCCCCGGGGCGGCCCTCTCCCCGACCCGGCCGCAGCTCCCACTTACCGGGCTCAGGCGCCGAAGACCCGGGGGCCCGGGCGGCGAGGGTGGCGCGGCTCGGGTCCTCGGATCTCCGCCCCGGCGCTCGCGGCCGGCGCCGCCCATTGGCTGCCGCGCCTCGGGTCCGCGTCCGGCTCGGCCAATCAGCGCCGAGCAGCGCGGTTTGGAAACTTTTTTCCCAGGCCCGGGCGCGGCGGGGCCACGCGGCGGCTGCCCTGCGCGGGAGGGGCCGGCTGCTGGGCGGCGACTGGCCAGCCGTGGAGAAGGGGCCGGCTGCCCTCCCCAGCACCCGGGGACGGGCTTGTCCTCGCGGGCCACGCACTTCAGGAAAATACGCCGGCCTCTTGCACACCGACTGCCTTCCCCTTCTTCCCCTTCCCCCCAATCTGAAAGAAGGGCAAAGACCCAGGCCCGCCGAGGCCACCAGTGTTCCGTGTCCTTTCCAGTCCTTTCCACCCAGAATAGAATCGTCAACTTCATTGTTTGCTTCAGAGGCAGCCCAAGAGCTTGACTTTGAATCCTAGCTCTGCCCCTTGCTAGCGGTGTGCTCTTGTGCAAGTTATTTACGCTCTCAATTTCTTCTGTAGAAGGAGGTTAAGAGAACTAAGGCAGTTAGCATTTGTAAAACGTTTAGGTCAGTCAGCTTTGCACATAGTATGTGCAATATACGTATTTGTTAAATGACTGGGGTTTTTGTAAAATTATTATATATCTCAGGCACACTAACTTCTTGACAAGCTTTTTTTTTTTTTCTTTCGTTTAACTCTCGTGACAGGTTAATTGTTCACTAACAAATATTAATCAAGTACAATATTGTGTACTAGGCACTCTTAGAGCACGATGAACAAATCAGACAAAGGTACCTGTCCTCCAAGTGCTTATGTTTTTAAAAGAGAAAGGCATTAAACCAGTAAGCGAATAAAATAATTTCGGGTGTCATGATAAGTTACGAATAAAACAAAGTTGTGATAGAAAGGGGATGAGTGTGGTCATTTCAGATAAAATGGTCAGGAGAAGCCACTTTAAGGATGTGATGATGGAGATGAGTCTTCCCCACCTCCCATGATGAGAACCACACTAAAACGCTTTTATTGTACTTATTTTAAAAGATAAGAAGACAAAGGTGGGGGAAGTTAAAGGAGTTGCCCAAGGTCCTACAATTAGTAACTAACAAATCAGCATTCAAAAYTGGCTCTCTTTGATTCTGTTTGATTTTTCACCATAAACTAGAGGCAAAAAAAACTAGAATCCCTCCTGCCTCCCTGCTACAATTAGAATGACCTTTCTCTAATAATTCTTTAACTCCTTGCTAGTTCCTTAAAGAATCTCAGACACACAAAAGGAAACCCCAACACCTACATCAACAGGGTAAAGGAAAGTACCAAAGTGTTTTTCCAGAAATTTCCAATCTGGTTCCAAACACTAACAAATCATTTGCATAGGGCTTGACGCTCAGTCTGACGCCTTTACCTTCTAAATTTTACTTGACCTTTAGAACTCTAAGGTTTCTGGGCAGGAAGTAATCACCCAGTTCCTAGACAAGTTGAAGCACAAACTGGTGAGGTATTGGTCTTGCCTAAAAGGAAATGATCAAATTATTTGCACTAGTTGGTTCTTATTTTCCCAAAGTTTCCATAAAGACAGGGAAGGATACTGAAATGATTATCRTTAAAAGTTTTATTTAGGACAAAAAATTGGGGAAATGGATTTGTCATTAGGCAAAACCTTAAAATGTTTGGTGGACTCTAAAACTGTTTCCCTCTTTATCTAATTAAAAATAATAATAATACTGTTCAAATCAGTATACCTGGTTCATTTCAGCTTCTTCACTGCCAAACCTGGGGGCAGGTTTGCTTGAGTTTTTTTTCTTTGCAGCTTTGAGATATGACTCTGTAACAGAGAGCTCAGTTTCTCTCCTAAGAGTCTTCTGTAACAGTGGCCCCTTCGCCTTGTGAATATAGCCTTCAATGCTCTAAGGTTTACTTTTTTAAAAAATATTTTTTCTCTCTTCTCCCCTCTCCCCAACAAGATTAGGGGGACAGTGTTATCTTTTCTTCCCCTTGAACACACCCATTACAGTAAGGAGAAGGCTGCTGAAGATCTGGGAAATGAACATCTCCCAAATTTACAAATGAATTCTAACAAGCTAACTGGGTGACCTAGGACCCCCCTACTGGAATGTAACTCTTGAAAAGTTCCTTTAAACCCCCCCCTGTCCCTCTTGATCAGGAGTGTCACAGCCTTTGGGACAGGATTCCCTTTGTTTCTCCTTTGCTAGTAAAGCAATAAACCTTCTTTTACCTTTTTTTCCTCAAAATCGTGTCCTCATTATTAAATTGGTATTGGTTGGCATTGGGAACAGGGACCGAGCTTTTGGTTACACTTCCACCATAATTTACCAATTCAAGACACTCAACCTAACATAGGCAGGAAAGCAGTTACTGAGGAGAAACCCCTGTAACAGCAGCTTGGATAACTGAGAAGCCAAATCAAATGCAAAGTAGCCACTCAAATAACACAAAAATAAGTCTTCATCCTTGTTTCATAAATGTGGAAGTTATTATTTGGATAAGGAAAAACTTACTARATAGAACTAAATTAATAGAGGCTATCTGTACTTAACATATATCTTAAGAGAAATTACTATTTCCTTGTTTATGTTTGTTAACAAAATCTTGTTCGGAAATACTCAACTAAAGTTTACAAGGAGGGGTGAAACCATCTAAAAGAGTAGCATATTTGTTTGATACGATGGAAAAAAAATCATAGAAACACGGTGGTTTTTCACGTTTCAATTCCCACTTGGAAAAAACTACCCAAACACAGACACAATGAAGATCTACTCAGCAATATTAATAAATACCTAAGCAGGCAGATGATGTTTACTTGCTGTGTGCCTTCTGGAAAATTAAATACAGGCACAAAGGGTTCTTCAGGGACATGTTGGATCTTGCCCTTCACAATACATGTCTACAGCGACGGATTAATCACCACTACATACGAATGGCCCAATGAAACTACCTCATCCTGAAGACTTCAGTTAAAAAAAAAAAAAGTTCTCATTTAGTAATTTCTACTTACTGATTCTTTTGTAAAGTTAATTTGTTTCTCAGCAAACTTAAAAGTAGAATGTTTTGAGTAATATTCTGCTAGCACATTCTCAACTGTGCCTAGACTCAGATAGATAATACGTGCTTTGTTTTTCTCCTAATTTGCAACAGGAAATACCGAGCAGCTGGCAGTTTTAGAAATCACCATGTTGGCCTGATGAATCTTAAAAAAAAAAAAAAAAAAAAAAAATCACATCAAGTGAAAAATCGTGAGGTGCCACTGAAAAAACACACCCACAGCATGTTTATCCGCTAAAACAAAAAAGTGCTGTTAGTTTCACAAAGCTTTTGTAACTGTAGGGTCTCCTTTTCTGTCCACTGTCAATGGAAACGTTGTATTCATTTGTAACGAGCTCTGGATCAGGGCTTTTAAAAACACGATTTTTTTAACTGAGGTCGCCACGGCCCTCTTTTAATTGTTGGTGACAGTATCCAGCGTTAAGTCTTTGCACGCGCTTTATTGGTGCCAGCTGGGTCGAAACTGCGAGCAAGCAACCGAGGACTTCGCAGGGAGCCCGGGCGGCAGGTTTTCTGCTCCTCTGGCCACTAGGCTGCACTAGTCGTAATTAAGGACGCTGTGAAACATGCGCCATTTAATTTTTAAAAATAAGTAGGACTGTCACGTGACCGGGCGGGGGCGCAAAGCCGAAGCGACCGAGTCTTTCAATGAAATCCCGTGCACATCGCTTGCCCCCCCCCCAAAGACCTTGATTCTATTCAATCCCGTTCGGCAGGTTTTTCCTCGGTTCTGCCCCACAAGCTCCCCCAATTCTCCGCTTTGAGGTCCCAGCCGCCTCCACCACCTCAGGGCAGGGGGSAGGCCTTCTTAAGCTGGGGGTTTCTGCGGAGAAATGCCGGGCAGCCCCCCGGGAAGGTCCCTATTTAGGGGTTTATCGGGAGGGGACTGAGCCTGACGAGGCTGCAGGGCCGCGAGGCCCCGCCCCCCCCGGAGGTTCCCAGCGTGCCCCGCGCGGCGAGGACGCGGCGGCGGCGGGGGCGGAGCGAGCGGCAGAGAAGGGCGTCGGTTTTGCGACAGGGGCGGTGCGGAAGCGGAAGTGGAAGGTGCGCTTGGCGGCGGCGGCGGGAGCTGCGGAGTCGGGAATCAAAACAAAGGGCCTGGGGGGGGCGGGGGGAAGGCGGCGGGGCCGGAATGTGAGCGGAGGTGGAGCCGGCGGCCGAGGTGAGTTTGCTGTCAGCGCTGGGACTGGACCCTGACAGGCCCACTGCTCTGRGGCCGCCGGAGGTGGACGAGGGGCAGTGCCCCCCCCTTCCCCCACCTATTGCTGGTGGGGTGAGAGGAGAGGTGGCTAGTCCGAAGGGAAGGAGTGGGACCCGCGGCACGGGCTGCTTCCAAACAGTCGGCTGGTCTCCCCTTCAAGTTCCTTCASTACTGTCACTGTTATGCAGACGTTCCCCTTTGGGGTATTTGGCTCCCCGTCCGCACCTGTCTCCCTGCTCCCTATTGGGCCCTCCAGGTGAGAGGAGCAACCTTCCCAGAGGGGTATGCAAAGTTGGAAAGTGAATAGAAAACGTTAGGAATGGGTGTTTTTGCAAGCCTCCCGAGCATTTTGCATTCAGGTGGGTCTTTCAACAACCCGTAGGGTGGTCGCCTTGGGGTTTCAACCACTCCCCCTATAATTGAATGCGACCTCCTAATACCCTTTTTAGAGTTTCCCAAGCACCTTTTCTGATTTTACCAAGAGATTTTCAGCTATGTTTTTATGTTTTGCACTTCCCAGCATCTCTGAGCGATAGTCTTCTGCTTTGCATGCAGAGAAATTGAAAATTAAACGTTCTTATTTGACGTTTATTGAGCTCATCATTTGTTCAACAGTTATTTCTTGCTATATGCCAGGCACTGTGCTAGATGCCGGAGATAATAATGAATAAGAAAACATCCCTGGAATGTTGTCCTAGAGTTTACATTCTAATGGGACTAAAAGAGAATAAAATAGCAGGTAAAAAATAAGAATAAAGTAGCAAGGAGAGATGTGAAAAAGAAAAAAAATGGTGATGGAGTGGTGTGGGAGCCCAGGACAAGATAGGGTGATAAGGGAAGGCCATTTGCTAAGTGTTCCAAATGGATTAGCAACTCCTGTAATCAGTCCTCTGAGCAGGGTACTTTTTTTCCCTTTGTTTTCCCCTCCCCCCCCTTTCTTTTGTATGAAAGGTAAGAGAAGGGACTGTGAGGGTAAGAGAAGTTGTGAGTTGCTCAAAGGTGGTCAGCTAGGAAGAGGTGGAATTGGGGACAAATATACAGCGTGACATCACATCCTGTACTCTCAGGCCACTATCTGAATTGTTCAAAGGCCATGAGAGAGAGAGAGAGAGACTGAAGGGAGATTCCAACTTAAACAGCCCCTTCTTTGGCTACCTAAGTTGCTTAGTATCATTCCTAGAAATATTGGAAAAATTTCAGGGTGCRGGCTGTCAGCAAGTTTTTACTTTTATTTGCTTGTATTAAGCAGTATTAGAGGCAGCTTGGTGTGGTGGTAAGAGTTGGGCAAATCTAATTTTGCCCCTTTCTGCAGTAATTGTGTGATCTCTGACTAGCTACAGAATCTTAAATTTCTATTTCTCCCTTTATGAAATAAGACCAACCATTCCCTTTCTGCCTCACAGAATTCCTGAGGGGGGAAAAAGTTTATGTAAGTGGATCCATTCCTTATTTTTCATCATTATATTTCTTGTGCTTTAATAAAATATAAGCAAATATTTGCTGAATGAGGAAATAAGGTTAAGTGAAAATGCTTTATAAATTCTAGTTCAATTTGGGGTTTTTGCTTTGAAGAGTTTTGAGAGAGCATATTAAAATTGTTTATAYCGGGAACATCACAAATTGTTAGGGCACATAAGACCTGTATGTAGTGGTAAAAACAAGTATCATTATTTGATATTAGTATTGGCATTTCCATCTCTCTCTCTCTCTCTCTGATTAACCACTTCCAACTCTAGTGGGTAAATTTTGTGATTTCTTAATTCCTTCATTCAACAAATATTTACTTTGTATCTACTGTGTAACAGGCCTGTTTGTGCTTAGTACAAGATACAATGATGAAAATGGGTATTGAGTGATTTACTTAAATCATTTTATCTGCAATGCTTTGGGGTAGACCAGGGAAAAAATTAGCCACATTTTACAGAGGAGGAAACAATGTGTGTGTGTGTATGTGTGTGTGTATGTCTTGTACGTGCCCTGGGAATTAGACTCAAGGCCTTGTTAAGCATGTAYTCTAACACCACACTCAAGCCCAGAAAGAGAAACTTAATGAAAATTTGAAGCTTTGCTAAATAGGCCAAATAATTAATATTTTAGGCTTTGTGGCCCGTCCCTGTCACAACAACTCAACTCCGCAATTGTGCAAGAGCAGCAGACAGACAGCATTTCAATGAATGAGTATGGCTGTGTCTCAATAAGTTAACTTAATGGCCACTGAAATTTGAATCTCATTTAATTTTTTTTTCAGGAATTAAAAAAATGTAAAATACATTCTTAGTTCACAGGCCATTTAAATTACAGGCAGTGGGCTGGCTTGGGCACACAGGCCAGACTTCTGCTCTATGTGGTCAGTTCTCATGTACCTTAGACACAGTATTTATATAATTTCTCAGCTCCTCCTACCATGTAGATGTTAACATCTCTTGGAAAGAACATCTTATTAGAGATAGAACTAAGAAGTTGTTTACTGTATGCTTAAATAGAATTTCTGATAATGAAATTAATCCCCTGAAAATGTCCAGTATAGGTAAGAAAGGTGGTTGTTGAGACATCGTGGTAAGGACTTAGAAATGAAGTTTAGTCTTCCTCACCATTGGCCAGCTTCCTCCATGAATGGTGGGTGTGGATTTATTTGATCTGTCTTTATTGTACTGTTTAAGACTTGTAAAAGTGTTGTTACAGTGGAGCAAATACAGCACACCTGTGACTTGTGGTTGCTTTAATTGTTAGATTTTTTTTGTGTGTGTGGTGTGTCATATTGGACTTTCATCATAAGTAAACTGAGAAATTGGTTGGATTTATTCTGTGCAGAATAGAATTCAAAGTTCACAGTGCTCATATCAGAGACATAGTGGTAGAGGCTGATATCGTGTTATTTCTTTTAATACAATTAGATTCTCTATTCCATCATCTTCTTTACTYTTCTAGGCAGAATTTGTGAGGGGAGAGAGAAAAAGAGAGAGTTAAAAATAACTTTTTTAAAAAGTCCGCTTAGGGCAAAGAAAGTTGACTCTAGCCAGGTGAAGAGAAGTCTCATTCAGGAACATGAAAATGTCTAAGATTAGGCTATTTTTTCAAGCATGTCAGTGTTTAAAGAAAAARTAGGACTCAATCAAAACTCATTCCTATTTGAAGAGCTATCAAATACAAGGAATAGCAGTTTATAGATTTTATAAAAATCAGATTGATGCTTTTAGATTTTAAGCATAAGCAATCAATCAAGTTTAACACATTTTAGTAGCTTGTAAGGTGCTATGATATGCATTCTTTTGTTCTTTCAGATTTGAATCATTGACAGCCATTGCGTGGTACATGTTGCAGTTATATTTAATATAAAATTTGTCCTTATATGAAGAAATAACAATGAAATGTCACTTGCTCYTAACAGGGTGGAAGAATGAAAGAAAAGAAAGATGAAAGAATGTTGAACCACTTTGCATGGCTGTATGATGGAAGGAAACGGAACTGAGAACCCCTGCAGTAGAACACTTGGATGGCTTCAACAAGATAATGATGCTAAGCCATGGCTTTGGAAATTCTCTAATTGCTTTTCTCGTCCTGAGCAGACGTTGCCACTTAGTCCCCAAACGGTAACTATGTGCAAGGACTTAGCAAACTCCTTGTGTGACTAGATGAGAGGTCCATTTGGTCTGGCACCAGTCTCTTTCCCTGGAGTCTGTGCCAGGTGTTCCTGTATTGCCCGTTGTAGAATGTTGTTATTCCTGATGCAATGAGGGTGTAGTTTTGKTTTTTTGKTTTTTTTTCTTCATTCCTRTATTCCACTCTGAGTGATAGTAGAAACTTTAAATATTAAAGTTAAAATTTTGGGAAGATTTGTTTCTTAATATAGTCCTAAATTCCAAAGATTGTGTAGTAAAATCAGAGGAAAGTGCAAAATAAATTGTATTACACTGGAGCCTTCTGAGGGTTTTGAGTCTCATGACTTAGGAAACATTGACAAGACCGTATTGGCATTCTTTTTTATTCAGGATTTCTCCTGAATGTGTCTTATGAATTCTCTGTGGTGGTGGTAGTTCTCAGCATGAAACCCAGGGACTCACATGTGTGGAGCACATAGCTTACACTGAGCTGCGTCCCYAGCCCTGTGCTTGCTTTATTTTTTCATAGTGATTTTGACATTTTCTGATTTCATGCACTCCTGTTACCACTTATTTTCCTTTTTTCTATTGTACTTGGGATTCAAATGAGACTTTAAAAAAATCAATTTGGTTTTCTATCTTCTCTAGGTTTTCACTGTATGTTTTGTTGTTGTTAATGATGCTTTTTWCTATATAGTTGTCTTTGTTGCAAGGCATCAAGTAATTTGGGTCATTTCCAGAGTGCATCGGTTTAAGGACAGTTGACAAGGAGTGTTGGCATCTCAACAGGGATTCCTGGGTTGTGATCTGGATCTGGTCCTTGTAGAGGTCACCCAGTTCAGAATTGCATTCTCAGCATTACCTCAAACCGTGGGTTGGTCCCAGGGATGCTTCACCACTGAGCCAAATCTCAGCTCCTTTTTRTATTTTATTTAGAGACAGAGTCTTGCTAAATTGCTWAGGGCCTCACTAAATTGCCGAAGCTGGCTTTGAACTTGTGACCCTCCTACCTCAGCCTCCTGAGCCACTGAGATTATGGACATGCGCCAACTGTGCCTGGCTCAAAAGTTGTTTTTGACAGTGGCATGCAGAATGGAGTAGGTTTTAGGCGACCAGCTCATCATCATATTGCACATAAGAGCCTGATATACAAAAATTGAAATGCTAGTGTATTCATAATTTCTAGTCTGAACTATAATTATCAAGACACACTGCTTGTTGCCTGGTCAGCCCATTGCTGTTATCCCCCTTTARGGAAAAGTGTAACTGAAAATTCAGATTCCTTCCGAATGAGTGTAGAATGATAGTCAAAGGGCCTTTCTATGCTCTGATGGATCAGCATGCTTCAGTCAYTACATGAGGCCCTCCTCTTTGGGTTAGGGGTTCTGCATTCACTCCATAAAGTTGATTAATTAGTTAGATCCCCTTTCAGGGACCCAGTATTGTGCTAAGTACTTTATATGCTCAATCCCATTTCATCTTTCAGTAACTGTGGAAGGTGCTCTTTATGATTCCCAGTTTATAGATGGGGAAACCAAAGTTTAGAGAGGTTAAGTAACTAACCCAAAGTCACGCAGCTTTGGAACATCAGATTCAGCTTCAGGTCTCTTGACAGGAATGCCCTGCTTGTAACTTCTGTCATGTACTGTCCTCCCCTGTATTGAAGTTAGATGGGAGACTGTCTCTTTTTCCTAGATGGTTTTCTAAGTACTAGTTCTTTTGCCGGTTTGATATAATGGTTGTCATTCTGGCTTTAGGTCATGACAACCTATCATTTCTTAAGTGTCCTTGACAACAGAGCTGGACCCTTGGGAATCTTACTCTTCTTCTTTAGGGGACCCTACTAAAACCCCTGATGCACTAAATGCAGGAACTATTTGGTGAACCACTTTGCTTGCAAGCTATCTTTATTGAATACAGTTTGTGACATTATTGTTTTCATGCCACCTGTCATCTTTCGAAAGTCCTGTGAGGCAGAGGAAGTTATAAAAGGGAAGTCACTGAGGYATAGATGGTTAACTTGCTTTGCCGACCACCCCCTCTTTGTTTTGGTACTGGGGATTGAACAACCCGGGAGTGCTTAACCACTGAGCTATACCCCCAGCCCTTTTTGATTTTTTTTGCTAAGATGCTTAGGACCTCACTAAGTTGCTGAGGCTGGCTTTGAACTTGTGATCCTTCCTCTTGCCTCAGCCTCCTGAGTCAGTGGGATTACAGGCTCATGCCACCACACCAGCAACAGTCTTTATATTAGTTGTGTTTTTTCTGTCCACATCCTGGAGATCTTTCCAAAGAACACCCCTGGTCTTAGCCGCTATTCCATTTTGTTGGGATATGACTGAGAGATGGAAACAGAATTAAACACTATTTCTGTTTTTTAATGGAGTAGTATATGAGTTGACAAAAGTCACTGACCTCATAAAATTGACTTCTGTTCAATTTTCTTTTCTCAGAAAGAGTACATGGAGAACAAGAAAGTTGCTGTGGAATTAAAGGATGTACCATCTCCCCTTCATGCTGGCTCTAAGCTCTTTCCAGCAGTCCCACTTCCTGATATTCATTCTCTTCAGCAACCTAAAATACAGCTTTCAACTGTCCCCAAAGTAAGCTGCTGTGCTCATTGCCCCAATGACTCCTCCACTTCGCCAATGCATTTTGGTGGTGGTGGTGGCAGCAGTGGTGGAAGTACTGGTAGCTTGATTCACACGGGCACACTCTTAGACTCACAGAGCACCAGGACGGTCACATGTCAGGTAGGGTCAGGGTTTGCTTTCCAGTCTGCGTCTTCACTTCAGAATGCCTCAGCTAGGAGCAACTTGGCAGGCATTGCGAGTGACTTTCCCAGCACRTGTCTAGAGAGTAATCTGTCCTCCTGCAAACACCTCCCCTGTTGTGGAAAGCTCCATTTCCAGTCATGTCACAGTAGCATGCACAAGCTGCATCAGTTTCCAACTCTCCAGGGCTGCACTTCTGCTGGCTATTTTCCCTGTTCTGATTTCACAAGTGGGGCTCCAGGGCGTTTGGAAGAGCACATTTCACAGTCGGAGCTAACGCCTCATTTGTGCACCAACTCTTTACACCTAAATGTGGTACCTCCGGTTTGTTTAAAGGGCTCACTTTACTGCGAAGACTGTCTAAACAAGGTTTGTATCTTTTTATTTTCTATATTGGGTGCAGCTGAGGTTTGAGGAATGACTTTTCTGTAGTGTATTATTGTGCACAGGGTGGATCTCCCCATGAGCATGACCTCTGCTGGTCCTGAAAGATGCAAGGGTAAAATGGGAGAGCCTTTAAAAAAGTGCAGAGTTGTTTTTTTTTTTTTTTTTTGTAGCTTATGCTTTTAGAGTCCTTAATTGAAATAAGTCTGTATCCAACTTAAGAACTTAGTTCTGCAAAAGCTCTGGGTTGTTGTATTTTTAATGGCAAGGGCACAGCTGATTTCTTGTAATTTTATGTGTAGTCGTGAGTTTCAGATAACATAAGTTACCCCATATTGTCTTTGTAATAACATGGAGGACTCTGCCTCAGTCACAGAGTTCAAGGGAAAACTACTTGCCCTTAGTCAAGTGTGTGAGGTGAGGTCTCCAGTGCAGCAGACATGTGCACCAGAAAGCAGAGGCATAGATGGTTAACCTGTGCTGTCTGCCCCGATCATTTCAAGTCACTTGTTGAAATGAGGCTACGAATTGATAGTTAATCATTCTGGGAAAGATTTGAAAATACATTTTATCAGAGTTTAGGTGGAAAGGTGAAACACTTAGAATGTGTTTTCAGATGTGTGTAACTCTAGGTTCTGAAATGATGTATCTGAAACCTCCTCCTTTTTTAAAAAAATTTTAAAACAGCCGGCAAGAAATAGTATAATTGATGCTGCTAAAGTCTGGCCAAATATACCACCTCCAAATACTCAACCTGCACCTTTTGCTATCCCTCTGTGTAATGGCTGTGGAACCAAAGGAACAGGGAAGGAGACCACGTTGTTATTGACGACCAGTCTAGGCAAAGCTGCTTCGAAATTTGGTAAATGACAGTATGGTGTAAAATGTGCATTTTTAAGTAGTTTTCAGTAGCTGGTACTAACGTTGCATCTAATCACCTTTAAAAGATCCCTTGTGGTTCTAAAACTGTGTTTGATTTTAAAGTCTATGCGAGTCTCCCCTTCCATCTCTTGGTAAAAATCTTCTTATTACTATAAACCAGTAAAGTCATTTGTCCTTGATGTTGTGTGGATGCTGTTTGAGATCCTAAGTTATTTATAGAAAAATGGGAAGTCATTAGGAGATGTGGGGTCAATGGGTTCATAATTGAGCCTACTGCTGTATATACCCTAAAAGTTGTAAAGTCAGTATTTACAACAATTTAGTAATGGCTGATATTGAACAGAATTTGAAAATCTAAGAGTTCTCAGTTAAAATCATTTCCCTCAAAAGTAGTTCATATGATATTTTTCAAAGACATTTTAAAGTGTTAAATGGGATGTTAAGCATTCACATTTCTTTGTAATTTAAATTCAACAGTAGTGACAGCTTCACCTTGGTCATCTCTTCAGTGTTCTTCCTCACTGAGTAGGTAGTGAGGCATGGGTGCCCATGGGAATCCAGGCCTGGAGCAGTAGTATCCAACCTGTTAGGTGGCTGGTGTTCAGAGAAGCGTCACTGGTCAGCGTGAGAATGGCTCATACTTCAAGATAGATTTACTGTGAGCTTAAAGTCACTTGACCTATAGATTTGTTCTCTCTCGGAAAACGGGAATGATCTTGGAGAAGTACTGTGGCACCTTGGTTGCTTTTTAGGTCAATCAGTCTAGTTGGCATTGTAAACTTAACATCCATCAGTAATTTAGCTTTTCTGCCACTAAGAATGTTAGGTAATGACCTATTAATGTATTTTAATTTGCCATTTTATTTTTCACAACAWGTAATTAAAGTGTCAACATTTCTTAAGGGTCACCGGAAGTCACAGTACCCGGACAGGTGCTGGAAAACTTGCCCCCCATTGGAGTTTTTTGGGATATTGAAAATTGCTCAGTTCCTTCTGGCCGGTCAGCTACCACTGTTGTACAGAGAATCCGTGAAAGATTTTTTAAAGGTCACAGAGAAGCAGAGTTCATCTGTGTGTGTGACATCAGTAAAGAAAACAAAGAAGTTATTCAAGAGCTGAATAATTGCCAGGTAAAAAAAAAATTTTTTTTTAGTATTTTAAATCTAGCAGCCAAGTATGGTAGTGCATGCCTGTGATCCTAGCAACTCAGCTAAGGTAGCAGAATCACTAGTCAACTTAATGAGACCCCGTCTCAAAATTAAAAATAAAAAAGGACTGGGAATGCACCACCACCACCAAACAAACATCTCATTATTCCTACTCAAGTTTTCAAATAAAATAAATTAGCAAGAGATTATTCATAAAGTGCTAGAAATCACTTAATCATGTTTAATCTTTCAATAATGTTATTTATGGTTACATTTCAATGGTGTCTTTGGGTTTTCTTTCTTTCTTTTTTTTTTTTTTTTTGGTCCCAGAGGTGCTTACCACTGAGCAACATCCCCAGCCCTTTTTATTTTATTTTTGAGACAGRGTCTCGATAAGTTGCTTAGGGCCTTGCTTAGTTGCTGAGGCTGGTCTTGAATTTGAGATCCTTCTTCCTCAGCTCTCTGAGTCACTGGGATTACAGGTCTATGCCACTGCACCTGGTTTTCTTGGTTTTTTGAAACTGCTATGGAACCAGACACATAAGATTTGTTACTTGAAAATTTACAGACAAAACTAAGGCCCTGAGTAGGAAAGCAACTTTTTAAGACTGAGGTTTAATCCAGATTGTCTGATCCTGAGCTATACCCCAGTTTTCCATTCCTGGCAATGATAGTTTCTTTCCTCAAGAATTATCTACTAAAATATGGGCAGATGTGTAGCAGGTTTCTTAACCTCACCTCATGCTCATCTGCCTTCATTATGGGTCAATGCAGGTAACCGTTGCTCACATCAATGCTACTGCAAAGAATGCTGCAGATGATAAGCTCCGGCAGAGTCTCCGAAGGTTTGCAAATACTCACACTGCTCCGGCCACTGTGGTTCTTGTGTCAAGTAAGTGTAAAGATAACTGCGGACTTTCGTTAAATTCACTGAGGGAGTTAGAGAACCAGATACACGGGAAAGTAAAGTGAGGCTGAAACACGTAGGACATGCTAATGCTTATTGTTGTGGATCGTTTGGAAAAAAATTGAGCCTGAATTTTTTATTGTCTCCTTGGAACTTGAGTTCTTTTTTTCCCRCGGGGGTGGGGGGACCACTGGGGATTGAACCCGGGGTACTTAACCACTGAGCAACATCCCTGGCCCTTTTTAAATACTTTATTTTATTTAAAAATAGGGTCTCGCTAAGTTGCTTAGGGCCTTGCTAAGTTGCTGAGGCTGGCTTTGACCTTGTGATCCTCCTGCCTCAGTCTCCCAAGTGGCAGAACTTGACTTCTTTCTTTCTTTTTTTTTTTTAATATTTTTTTAGTTATACATGGACACAATATCTTTATTTTGTTTATTTATTTTTATGTGGTGCTGAGGATCGAACCCAGGGTCTCACATGTGGGAGGCAAGCACTCTACTACTGAGCCACAACCCCAGCACTGAGAACTTGAGTTCTTAATGGGACCAGTTTTATAAKTGTGATTTGGTCTGTTCAGGTATTTTTAACCCGGGCCCAGGATTATTAACTTAAAAAATCCAAAATGAATGATTTCCAAATTTGAGTCTCCCCAACATATTGATGTTTGCTTCCTAGTAATGCTAAAAGAAACAAATGTCTTAGAACTTCATGTAGATATGTGGTAAAATTGTCCTACTGTGTTAATTTTCTGGTAGGAATTGTGCTTGTGTTCTTTAAAAGGGGAAACAATTTTGAATAGAAGCCAGCCGGTCCTTTCTTCTAAATGGGTGTCACTGGAGTTGTTTTTGTCACACGTTTCTAACGTTTGAGGATGAGTTTGGTCTGTAACTTTTCTTTCAGCTGATGTCAACTTTGCATTGGAACTTAGTGACCTGAGACACAGGCACGGTTTCCACATAATTTTGGTTCATAAAAACCAGGCGTCAGAAGCACTGCTGCATCATGCCAACGAGCTAATCAGATTTGAAGAATTCATTTCTGACTTGCCCCCCAGGTTACCACTAAAAATGCCGGTAAGTAAGTTTGTTATTTTTACCATTTTCCAAGGTTGAATTATTGAGGCTGAAAGGCCACCTTTACCAAAGGGTGTTCATATCCAGGTAGGGCTGTTCTTTGCATGAGACCGATCAGATTTTGAAATAAGGCTAGGAAATCTTCCACTTATTCTTTACAAAGAATGGATATGTATGAATTTTCCTTTTATTTTTTCAACTGTCATAGGGAATTATTTGTAGATTTACCTTACCAATAGTCATTTGCACTGTCTCCAAAGCTAGCAGTGTTTTATATCTAATGGATGGAAATAATGGAGTATTATGGTAGAGAATATGGTGAGAGCTCACCCATACTTGTGTGTTTGGCATCCCATAAACATGGTTATTATACATTTTGTAGGCCTGTGTTTCCTAGGCTCCAGCAGGCTTTCAAGCCTATGCTTTCTGTACTGTGTGCCTGTGGTGCCTGGGCAGTAGGGGTGGAGGTAGCTGCTGCACCTGTGATCCAGCTAAGGTGCCTGCTGGGAGAGTGGGCGCATATTTCTGGGAGGAGCAGCACCTCTGCAGACTTGATAGGGACAGGACTGGGTACTGCAGAGCTGAGCTGTGTTTAAGTGTTTGGAGAATGTCTGTGTAACTTTTAGAGAAATAGTAAGAATGATGGAGAAGAGCTGTATGTAGGTGACCCAGGCAAACGGGCAATCCCATACGTAAATGTACTCGAAATGCAGCTTCCACACAATTCAATGACTGTGCCTTAGAAAAGATCTCACCCAACATCCTCACTTCAGGGAAGAAGAGTAAACACTTAGAAAATATGATCTAGTCATTTAAATAAACTTAAAAATAATAGTTTCACATTTATAGTGTTCTAATGACTTTTTTTAAACATAAAAATGTTATATTGGATGTCTTCCCATGTCAATATATGTTGATTTAAATCACACATTCCAAAAACCAGCAGAATGTCTTTTAACAACATACTTTAAGCATTCTACCTCTTACTGGACATTTTGTTTATACCCAGTTTTTCACCATCTCCAGCAAGTTCATCCATGTCATCTTTGAGTTCCTGGGCTATAGTTTTATAGGGTAAATTGTAAGGTGTGACTGTTGTGAGTCAGAATTTCACTGTCAGGATCCACAGTGTCCTCCAGGAAGGTGACTGTGCTACATTCTTACCAAGAAGTGGTACAAAAATGTCTTTACCAGTCTTATAGGTGAAAGAAATCATCTTCCTATAGTTGGCCTTTTTATAATCAACAGCAAGGTGCAATTTATTTTTCCTTTCATTTTTGTTTTCCTTTTATTATTGTTGTTGGTTCTTGTTATCTTTCCTGTAGATTGTTCACATATGCCCATTTTTAATGATTTCTTTTATGGCTTTTGGATTTAATCTCCATAATTAAGTTTCTTCTTGCATTTTTGTGGTTTTGTTTGATTCTTTTTTTATGCTTGGGATTGAACCCATGGCCTTGTACATGAGAGGCAAGCGCTCAATCAACTGAGCYAGAGCCCCAGCCCAGGTTTTGTTTCTTAATATATACATTGCAGTTCTCTAGAAGGGTCATGATCACACAGTGTCTGGTAAAACTTCCAGGCTAGTCACTGGCTACTTGCTATTGTGACTTGACAGGCTCTAACTTTGTACTATATCATTCAACAGTTCTGTTTAACAAATAAAACAACTTTTAAAAAGGGTTTTATTGCACTATTATTTACATAGCACAAAATTCAATATATACAGTTCAATGATTTTTTTAAAAATAAATTTCCTGAGCTATACAGCCAGTTTTAGAATATTTCCATTATTTCAGTAAGATCCCTCATGCCAGTTTGTAGTTAATCCCCATTCCCACCCGAGGCTAATTTTTTTTTTCTGGACATTTTCTTTTTTGTTCTCCCTTTATTTTTTTATTTAAAAATTATATATATGTATATATATATATATGACTGCAGAATATATAACAATTCATATTGCACATACAGAGCACAATTTTTCAAACCTCTAGTTGTACACTTCTGAACATTTTTATAGAAATGAAATCATGCAGTAGCCTTCTACCCAGCATCTTTTTTTTTAATACTTATTTTTTAGTTGTAGTTGGACACAATACCTTCATTTTATTTGTTTATTTTTATGTGGTGCTGAGGATTGAACCCAGGGCCTCGCACATGCTAGATGAGCGCTCGCTCTTCCACTGAGCCGCAGTCCCAGCCCTGTACCCAGCATCTTTTTAAAACAATATTCGGCCACCTTGTCGGCACTGCGCAGGGTTATCCTCTCCCACCGGAATCACTCTGCGCAGGGTTATCCTCTCCGTCTGAATCACTCCGCCTCCCCTCCTCGGTGGTTAGCTGAAGTTTGGAAGTTGCATATTCTTTTTTGAAACAGAACTTGGGCCCTGGAGCTGAGCTGAGGTGACACTGTTTCCTCTGTATTAGCAGTGCCACACTCTGCTCTATGTTTATAACCTGCCCGCAAACAAAGACGGCAAGAGCRTCAGCAACAGGCTCAGACGCCTGTCCGACAACTGCGGTGGGAAAGTGCTGAGCATCACGGGCTGCAGTGCAATTCTGCGCTTCATAAACCAAGACAGTGCGGAGCGGGCTCAGAAGCGGATGGAAAACGAAGACGTCTTTGGTAATAGGATCATTGTGTCATTTACTCCAAAACATAGAGAACTCTGTGAAGCAAAGAGTTCAAATGCAATTGCTGATAAAGTGAAGTCTCCCAAAAAACTTAAGAATCCAAAATTGTGCCTCATCAAAGATGCAAGTGAACAATCTTCCAGTGCCAAAGCCACGCCTGGAAAAGGCTCGCAGGCGAATTCTGGATCTGCAACAAGAAGTACAAACGTTAAAAGTTTACAGGTAACTTGGATCTCTCTTGCTTTCTTAAGCTTATGGTAGTTTGGCTTCTTTATTTTCATGCTTTAWGTGCGTGCTGGCTCTTGGTGTGTCCTCTTATTTTAGTTTTGATAAAACTCAAAGTCAGTTATTTTCTGTGCAAGATCTAACACATCTTGGGGACTTAAAACCCACTGTCCTTGTGTCTCTGAAGGAGCTGTGCCGCATGGAGTCAAAGACCGGCAACAGAAGCTGTGAGCCGCAGCCCGGTCACATGAGACTGGCAGCGACCCCGCACTGTAACCCCAGCGCCGTGGTGCCGACGCCCAAAAACTCCGGGATGGCCGAATTGCTCTACAAAGGCAATCAGAAGTGTGTGGAATTACTCTTTCTCAGAGTTGCGTCTTTAATGTGAAGGGAGACATGTGACCTTTCCTTTCAATTTTTCCCTTTTATTAGAAAAGAGAACCTCAGTGCTCGAAGTGTCACCAGTTCTCCCGTAGAGAAAAAAGACAAAGAGGAGACTGTCTTCCGAGTGAGCTACCCATCCGCTTTTAGTGAGTTGATGGCGTCAAGGCGAGTTAGTCCTCTGCTCACGTCTCCGCCCTGGACTCCTAGGTGAGTCCAACTTCCTGACCAACACAGGTGGTCACGTGCAGGAGCAAGGATCAGGCACTAGTGCGTGTGTTGAAGAAGTGCCGGAAGCAAAAAAGATAAGTCTTCCAGCACCCCCTGCCAGCCCCATTTCCTTAGGTCGTGGCTAACATTCTGGGGCAGTACTTCGCCTTTTCCTCTCCCGGTGGAAATCTTGGTGAGCAGAGATCGGAGAGCAGCCTGCCTGGAGACCCTGGCTAGGGAGGGGAGGCAGCCAAGATGTCCCTGCATTTGTTGTGTTGAGGAGAGAGCTCAAACGAGGCATATGTTGGGTCTTCTTATTTTTATTTTTTTGGTACTAGAGATTGAACCCAGGGCACTTTACCACTGAGCCACTTTCCCCAGTCCTTTTTACTTTGTGTCTTGGGACAGGGTCTCACTAAATTGCTAAGGCTGGCTTGAATTTGCAATCCTCCTGCCTCAACCTCCCAAATTGCTGGGATTACAGGCTTATTAGTGTGTCGCTTTATAGAAAGCTGCTTGAAAAGTAAGAGTCTCTGTAGACCACTGTTATTGTCTACCATCTCCCTTATTTAAGTTTACAAACCCTTACCAAGTAGTTCTTGAGACTTGAGACACAGGGAACCATGAAGTGTRTCGTATTCTCCTGGGCTCCTTCTGACTGTACATTTGCTCTCCTGAGGTGGTGAAGAATCACTGTAGAAAATGACTGTGAACCTATAAAATTACACATAAAAATTCACATGAATGTTTTCCAAAGTGCAGAAGTACTGCAACATCTGAGTCAGAGTATTTAGATTTTTCACAGCCACAGAGGAGGTTAAAGACTGAAGTTGGTAACACAGGTTAGTTTCCTAAGGGTAAATGCCCAAAGTAGGACTTTAGTTCATCAAGGTTACCTGTAATTCCTGCCTTTAGCTTTAAATAACACATGAAAGAATATTTGAAATTGAATAATTTATTGGTTATTTAAAAGGGTTCAACAGATAGTACCTCAGACAATCGTTCTAAATCCATGTATATTTAAGATAAAAGCACAAATGGGAAAGTTCTTTTCTATGTGTAGCTTCTTACAAAGCCTCAATTTTAAAACCCAAATACATTTTTTTTTAAACTAACCTCACTGTGTGTTTCCAGCAGGAGTATGTCTCCAAACTTCTTAAACAGAGCATCCCCACTTGCTTTCAGCGTTGCTGACCCCAGCAGTGGAGCCGACCGCCCAGACCCCTTTGCAAATGGTGCTGACATCCAGGTCAGCAACGTGGACTACAGGTTGTCCCGGAAGGAGCTGCAGCAGCTCCTCCAAGAGGCCTTTTCTAGGCACGGCAAGGTAACCTGTCCCTCTTGCTCCTTTACCCTTTGGTAAGTCCAGAGAAATTATTTTGGCACACGTAACCACAGGCAGGATGTGAATGTGACTGGATGGATTTGAACTTCTTCCTGTCTCTGAAGTCTGCTCGGGTTGTGCTGTATGCCCAGTTTCTAGGTCACGGCCCCAGAGGGCAGGAGCTCTGGTCGTGAGAAGCACTTGTCATAGACAGGCTCTCAATGGCACTCTAGAAGACAAAACATTGATGGGTCTTAGCTCTGCCTACAAAAAAACAGAGAAAGCATTCTTAAGTAATGTTGGCTATTTTTCTTTATTTCTTATTGTCCCTGACTCAGCTTTTAAATGCAGTTTGCTAAAAATCCACCTTTTCTAGTCTGGGGTTTTTCAGAGTACAGACTACCTGGAAGACCCCTTCTGTGCACTGGCCTCTGAGTCTGCCTCAGACAGCTGTGTGTGCCAGAGCACATGGGCAGACCAGCCTGGTGTGCACCTCTGAAGTCACCCCATCCTGCCTGTCTTCTGGCTAGCAGAAGTACAGTGTTCACACGGGTTTCCTCATGTCTGCCCTGAAGTCCACAGATGTGTTTCTAAATGGCAGGACCTGGGTAGACATGGTTCCATTTTCCTTTTCTCTTGGTAGGTGAAGAGTGTCGAGCTCAGCCCCCACACGGATTACCAGCTCAAGGCTGTTGTGCAGATGGAAAACCTACAAGATGCCATTAGTGCAGTGAATAGCCTCCACAGGTGTAAAATTGGCAGCAAGAAGATCCTGGTCTCACTTGCCACAGGAGCTGCTAATAAATCACTCTCTTTACTGAGGTAAGAAACAAGGCAAACAACCCACCATTTATTTCAGGAAGTAACATTTGACCCAGAAACTGTTTTGGAAATCATAAAAATAGATCTTATCACGTTCTCAGTTGTGTTGTGATGAATATGTATGCAGTAATGCTTATTCTTAATGTATATAGTTAGAAATAAGCCATTGTGTCTTGTTCAGTCATTAATCATAGATGAAGTTCAACTTAAACTTGACAGGCAATTGGGAGTAAAATAGTATGCCACATATCCAGAACAGGTTCTAAAAGTAGAATTCTAAAAGCTTATAAGCCTGCAAAGTCTAAGATGTTTCCTTCAACTCTTGGTAGAAGGTCCATTCACCTTGCAGACTAGATCTACACAGCTCTAAGTTCTCAACTTGGCATATGTCCTTAATATCACACAACCACCCTGCCCCAGTCAGTACACTTTACAACTGTGTCGATCTGGGGAATCCTGTGGCTTTATTTATTCTAATGTTTGATTCTCCTTTGACTGTCCGTGTTTTAAAACAGGAAGCTCTCCAGAGTGTCTGTTTGGATCTTTAACTTGTATTTCACCATTATTTTAAGTTATTTGTTTTCCTTAGAATAAAAACAATTCTCATTTGAAGAAAATTTGGAAAGTTCAGAAACAAAAGCAACAGGAGAGAAAGTCCTATAATCCTGTGGCTCGAAGCCAGTCACACTTAACATTTGGGCATTTTCCAATCACAGTTAATGTTTGGGCATTTGGGATTTTTGTTGTTGTTTTTAACTTCCCTCTGAGTGGTTTGATTTATTTATTTTTGTACCTTTTGATTTTTGAACAATAGTTGAGATACTGTTGTACTGAGTTATGTTATATTCACATATATAGGAATTCTGATCCTGTGTATATAATGTATAAACACCCTGGCAGGAGATAATTCAAGCTCTGAATTAGCAGCCAGGTGCTTGTCCTACTGTGAGCAGTCTGTCTTTCTGCTCCATAGGTGGGGAAAGCCTGATAAAAATCCTAGTGTATAATTTAATCTCTCATTGGCTTATCCCTAAAATTTTTTCTTTAAATTTTTCTAGAAAATGAACCAACATATCAAAACTGGTCAAGTTACTTTGCATACACTATACATTGTGTTAATTTTATGAATTTTTTTTTAAATATGCTTTGTAATGTAGAAGACGTGGTGTACTTTCTAATTAATTAAAATTTTGTCTTACAGTGCAGAAACCATATCTATTCTTCAGGATGCTCCGGCCTGTTGTTTGCCTCTTTTTAAATTTACAGATATCTATGAAAAAAAGTAAGTTGGTTATTGTTTAYCTACCCAGTCAGTACTGACGGGTGACTTGCGTGCAGAAACCATGGTAGCAATTCAGGGAACTGCCAGCCTCCTGGAGGAAAGGAAACAGTGTTGTTCTGATTTAAATTTTGAATTTAACATTCATTTTAAAAACTTATTTTTAATCAAAGTTAGACTTATTCCCCAAACCCTTTTCTTTTTTTTTCCCTAATCTAGTCCTTTTAGGTTTTTTAAAAATTAGTTTTATTCTCAGCAGCAGATAAGACAGAGGAGGGGGTGTTGTTCCAAGGATGTGTGGAGAGAGCACTGCAGGGAAGGCAGGGGTCTGAGGCTACRTGTGGTCTGAGGGTGAAGTGGAGATTGCTGGTGGCTGCAGAGCCACCACTGTGGAGTCCTGTGGGTGACATCTGGGAGGACAAAATAGCAGGTGCAGCTGTGGCTAACCTGGCTGTTTTCCTCATGGAGGAGCTGGGACCACATGGGGCACCTGTTCTGGGAGAGGGGCGCTGGTAGAGGGCAGTCAGTGCAGATGGGATGGTAGGGCACTGGGAAGGAAGCACGGGTAGCGTGGTTAGTGTGGTTGAACTCACCTCCAGCCAAGCCCCGTCGTGCTTAATCACCTAGCGCTCACCTCAGCCCTGGGGGGTACACATTGGCATCACTCCACAGGTGAGAACACCAAGGCCTGGGTTGGGTTTGTCTTGCAAGGGTCACGTGATGTCAGCTTAGCTCTGTCTGCCTCCAGAGCCTGGACCCAAGTATGCAAGTTGCAAGTTAGAGGGTGACTGAGTTGTCCAGTCTCAGAGAATATGGGCATGTAGTTGGGGCACAGGGGAGTGACAGTCTCTGGAAACGAGCATGCTTGTGACAGCAGAGAGCAGGTGGTGGCAAGAGGTAACAGGGATTTGAAGTGAGGAGGGCCACGTTGAGAGAGGTCATGTTTGATAACTTTCCTTCTGACAGATAAGGCAAGGGTGTTTACACAAACTGGGCAGGCATAGTGGAGAGGCTACCAAATGATATGGTCCTTGTACTGGGCACTGAGCCAGAGAGGAATGACTCCAAGGATACCAGGCATCACTCGGTTGGTAGTAAATGAATTCACAGTGATAATAAAGGTAGACTTTTTTTTTTTTTTTTTTGGTACCAGGGATTGAACCCTGGTACAAAAGGTTAAGTGTGGCTCTTAAACTCCAAGCCACATCCCCAGCATCCCCAACCCTTTTTATTTTGAAACAGGGTCTCTAAGTTGTTCAGGGCCTCACTAAGCTGCCTAAACTAACCTTGAACTTGGGATCCTCCTGCCTCAGCCTCACAAACCACTGGGATTATAGGCTTGTGCCTCCATACCCAGCTAAGTTGATCTTTGATGAGAGGAAGAAGCATATTATTTTTAACCCCTGCTGTCCTGGAGATTGAACCCAGGGGCARTCTACCACTGAGCTGCATCCTCAGCCCCTTCTCTTCTTTATTTTGGATGGTGTCTCACTGAATTGCCAACGTGAGCCTGGAACCTGGCAGTCCTCTTGCCTTGGCCTCCCAGTAGCTGGCATTGCAGGTGTGCCACTGCCTGGCCAGGAGACACTCTTATGGGACAGTGTTTTTGTACAAAGAGCAACATTCTAAGTTAGCATCTCTCTCGTTTTTAGGTTTGGACACAAGCTGAATGTGTCAGATTTATATAAGTTAACAGACATAGTTGCAATCCGTGAACAAGGAAACGGGCGGCTGGTGTGTCTCTTACCCAGCAGTCAGGCCCGCCAGAGCCCCCTGGGGTCTTCCCAGTCACATGACGGCTCCTCCACGAATTGCAGCCCAATTATATTTGAAGAATTAGAGTACCATGAGCCTGTCTGCCGACAGCATTGTTCAAATAAGGACTTCAGGTATGCACTTGTTTTCCTTAAATAATCCTTTTATGTGAGACTGTGGAACTTCTCAAGTTAATTACCCTGTGAATGTTTTAGAACTACAAGGATTCTTAACCGTTTTGTTTTCTCTTCTGCAGTGAACATGAATTTGATCCAGACTCCTACAGGATTCCTTTTGTGATTCTCTCTCTGAAGACGTTTGCACCCCAGGTCCACAGTCTTCTCCAGACCCATGAGGGCACCGTGCCTTTATTAAGGTGAACTGTGTCATCCCGCTGTGGGTGTGATGCCTGAGCTCTCTGTGTCAAAGAAAGTCTGGCCTTTCTGACCACACCACACACTGTGGAGTGYTTTGCCCTAGTGTTTTTAGCCTTTCAGTTGAATTGTATCTGAAGTGGGATCTACTCACTCAGTACTTCAGCAACAAAATGTGTGTTTGTGCTGATGTTTACAAACAAACAGGACAGTTTATTCTCTGGTGGAAAGAGATGTATGTAAGTGCAGTAATAGAAATCTGCACAGTGGCTAGGAAAGTGCACACATCCTCAACTACTTGGAAATTTTAAGACCTGAAAGAGAAAGGTGATCTTCAGGAGTCCATTCAACCACTGCATAGAGGGCTTACTACAAAAGCCAGTGCAGGACCCAGCAGCCCTGATGCCCCTGCTGCTGAAACAGAGTAACTGACCAGGAACTCTGGAGCCTTAGAGCTAAGACCTGCTCCTGGAAAACTGCCCAGGAACTTCCAGTACCATCAGAATGCATCATGAGGCCAGTGTCACCACAGTTGCCTCCTTGGGACCTAACTTTAGCATTCAAACCCAGACGTGGGCTTTTAAACAGAAGTTACTTAGTGACTGACACCTTAACCTGAAGCCTCCTGTTTAGAGGGTGCTTTGCTTTTCTGTTATTTTATTTCACCCTCTTCCCCTCCCACTTCAGCTTTCCAGATTGCTATGCTGCAGAGTTTGGTGACCTAGAAGTAGTGCAAGAGAACGAAGGGGGCGTCCCCTTGGAGCACTTCATCACCTGCATCCCAGGTGTGAACATCGCCACCGCGCAGAACGGCGTCAAGGTGGTGAAGTGGATCCACAACAAGCCTCCACCTCCGAACACCGGTAGGTGTCCACGACCCCAACTCATAGACCCTAGCCTTTTAAAAACAGGTTCAGRTGTTTGAGGAAAATATCTCTTGACGTGGGTTTTTCTTTGAAACTCATTTTGGTTGACGTTTCTTGATTTGATAAAGGTGAAAATAACTTTGAACAACAAGGACTTAGGACCTCAATTTGGGCAAGTTTTTGAATTATGGGCATGCCCTGTGTTGCTACTGTCAAATGCCACTACCTGTGGGTGGCACTTTAAATTGTCCCTTCATGTGTATGTGCACTTCCTTCTTTATGGCCACCAACATGTCCTCCCTTCTCCTCCCACTTCCCCCAGCCAACAGGGGACAAGGCAGGTCAGTCAGGGAATTCTGCCCAGGCGGGCAGCTCTTGGAGGAGAAGGTGTGTGCCACAGTCCCTTACCGAGTCTCTTCTCTTCCCCCTCGTCTGAAGCTTGCTCAGGGCTGTGGACTGTCTGCCTCTCCTTTCTCTTTCCTATGCTGTGAGTCCACAGCTTCTTCCACCTTCCTATAAAGATTTCCATGGAATTATTATTATTTTTATAATGTTTTTAGTTTTCAGTGGACTTTTATTTTACTTATTTAGCAGTGCTGAGAATCGAACCTAGTGCCTTACACATACTAGACAAATGCTCTACCACTGAGCTACAACCCCAGCCCTGTGTTTTTTTTTTTTTTTTTTTTTTAATTAAAAACTTTTTCACTCAAGGTAGTATGTATGACCTGTTCCTTACTCAGTTTTATGTCTTGGTAGTTTTGTAACATTACTGCTTTCCATGGTTTTTGGTTAACATTCTCAGCTCCACTCTGGGTTAGTTACCCTCTTTGGGGGCTCCTTACCGAGTGTTACAACACTGTGGGAAAGTATGTTCCACATGACCAAGGTACACATGGATCTTTGAAATGCACCCTGTGTGTAAACTGGAAAACTTCTCTGCTTTCACTTCTACTGTAAGTAACCTTAGTGAACTATGCTTTACTCTGGCTACTAAACTTTGAGAATTAGTAGAAAGGTTTGCCAGCCTTAAATCAGTTGGACTCGCCAGTTGGTTGTGTGGGACTGTGGACAGAAGCAGGCATGAAGTGGTTCTTCGGGTTCCCTTYGCCTGCTCATGGTTGAACTCAAGCTGGAAACTAGAAAGTTCATTACCTTCTTTTCAACTGATGAAATGCATCCTGCCTCAGGCATGTCATTTCTTTCTCTAGACCCTTGGCTTCTGCGTTCAAAAAGTCCCGTGGGGAACCCGCAGCTGATCCAGTTCAGTAGAGAAGTGATCGACCTGCTGAAGAGCCAGCCGTCCTGCGTCATCCCCATGAGTAGCTTCATCCCGTCCTACCACCATCACTTCGCAAAGCAGTGCCGGGTGTCCGACTACGGCTACGCCAAACTGATAGAGCTGTTGGAGGCCGTGCCTCACGTGCTGCAGGTAAAAGTGCTCAGGGGTCGTTTGCAGACAGGAATGTTTCCTCATGGATTTGGCTACTCTGGGCAAAGAAACAATATAGATAGTAAGCTAATGTCTAAAAAAATCAATTCTGATCAAAATAGCCTGTAAAAGTGTTGTCCAAAGTGCAGGAAGCATACACCAGCTGGCTCCTCAGGTGTTGAGGACTGTGGACACCCTCCCTCTAGTCTCTGTAGACTGACGCCATCCCTACAGAGTTCTCTCCACAGTTGTTCACTGCTGTAAGGGAGCTGCTGTGGACATCCTGGTATTTATCTGTGGGTGCCTCTGTGAAAGTCGAGGGCTTAGCCTTTCTTGTGAGTGAGTTGGAGACTSGTTATGGGGTGGGAGCGAGGCATTGCACCCTGTGAAGACTTTGCCCATTAACTTAAGCGTCAAGAGTAGTTTCCCATTTTTAAAAAGGACTTGAAAAGCTTTTGCTGTCTTTTAAAGTCCAAATTAGCTGTTCAGATTGACAATATACTTTTCATTCTGTGCTCCTGACTTTGGGAWGTGCAGAACCAGCACAGTCCAAGGCAGGCGGTTTTCTTGTGACTGTTGATGCTTTGCTGATTACTTGAGTGTTTCACATGGTGGACATTATATATGAAGGGAGTTACTCTCTGAGGGTAGCGGCAGGAATGTGCAGCAATGAAGCCAGTATCTCCTGTGATGTAAGTAATCGAAATATTTGATTTGCAGATTCTTGGAATGGGCTCCAAACGTTTGCTGACCCTCACCCACAGGGCTCAAGTGAAGCGCTTTACTCAGGATTTACTAAAACTCCTCAAATCCCAGGCCAGCAAGCAGGTCATTGTGAGAGAATTCTCGCAGGCTTATCATTGGTGAGTTGAGGAGAAGTAAAAATTGAAGGCAAACATTTCAAATTACTTTTTCTTCCCCCAGAGTCTAAGTGGTTATCTAGCTTTCCTATTAATCACTCTTGGAAAACTTGTAGTTACTGTCATGATGATTTTACTCATTCTTTACCATTTCTGGTGTTGTACCTAGGTGTTTCTCAAAGAACTGGGATGTTACTGAATATGGTGTTTGTGAGTTGATTGATATYGTATCAGAGATTCCAGACACAACCATCTGCTTGTCCCAACAAGATCAAGATATGGTGATTTGTATCCCCAAAAGAGGTACATGGTTCACATTCCCTGAACACACTATCCTTCTCAGTAGGGATTTTAAAGTGGAATCGTTTAGGTTTCCCCTCTCTTTCATGGTTCCTGAGGATTCCATGGAAAGTGCAGTTTGAAAATTGCCATGTACCTGGCTGTCCTTGTGTTCCTCAAAGTAGGTTCTTGTCACAAGGGAAAGCACACTGTTTTTTTTTTTTTTTTTTTTTTTTTTTTGGAATTCACTCCAAGGGGAAAAAGAGTGTAGTGACACTTTCTTAAAATGCAACCCTCTCCCAGCTGTGGCTGTGTAAGCTGCAGTGACCCAGCTCAGGGTCTGTCACCCGGCTGTTGCTTGTGTCTTCTTAACTCTGAGCACTTTACCATGCGCAGCTGAGCAGAGAAGAAAACTTGAGTGTTGTGTTTTGTCTCCTCAATTTGGATGATTCCAGTTGAGATCTGGGAGGTGGGATAGTTAAATATCATCACGCTCTCCCACTGTTACGGATCYGTGATGCTTAAACTGGGCTTCTGCAGAACACTGATGTCCATGAATTCTAGAGCTGAGTAATGTCAGTCTTTCTCCAATTCTAATTTAAAAATTAGTAGAAATAGCCAGGCACAGTGGCATATGCCTATAGTCCCAGCCATTTGGAAGGCTCTAGATTACCTTTTTATGCAGAGATCTGTTGGAATATCATGTTCGCTCAGGGTGGAGGAGGCAGTGGCATGCCCATAGGCAACGCTGTTTCTACTGTCAGGTGCATACGTGTGTATTCATGGCAGACCATAATAGTGTCACGCCTTCCCAGTGTTCTTCCCTTGAACTCATGTGAGAACCACTGGCAAAGAGGAAAGAGTCCATGTATTTAAGTTGTGTGTATTTGGAAGGCAAAGATGTCTGTCTTGTAGACTCAAAATAGGACTTACTGCAGCGTGGGTGTTAAATCCAAATGGATTGAAAAAGACTGTGACCTACATTTTGTTTTGTTTTTAAAGAACGTACTCAGGATGAAATAGAAAGGACAAAACAGTTCTCCAAGGATGTTGTTGATTTGCTGCGTCACCAGCCCCACTTTCGGATGCCCTTTAATAAGTTTATTCCTTCCTACCACCACCACTTTGGCCGGCAGTGCAAGCTCGCGTACTATGGGTTTACCAAACTACTTGAACTTTTTGAAGCCATACCTGATATTTTGCAAGTGAGTGAAGACATTCTATTTTCCTGAACAGTGTATAGGGAATTGTTTTTTTTTATTTTTAGGATCTATTTTCCTGGGAAGTGAGGATTTATGAAACAGTATGACAATCTGAAATATTCCCATCAGATAAGCTGTATTGTCAGCTCATTGGTATTTTTGGTTAATGTGGTTTTCTTCTTAATAAAGAATTATGTTTCAAACTCTCTAGGATAATTATTGAAAAAAAGATCAGGTAGTTTGGTTTCTTAGGCTGGATATTCTCTCATGAGCTCCATACTTTCCAAAACCCCTGAGATGGGAACTGGGGATATGGCTCAGTTGACAGAGTGCTTTCTTTGCAAGCACAAGGCCCTGTGCGCGCGTGCACACACACACACACACACACACACACACACACACACACACAAAAATGTGCTGGAGGTGGGGTAAGCGTAGGAAATGACAGCAATGCTAAGCTGCGGAGTTGATTTCTGTGGTTGATTTTATTAATACTGTTGGACTCCTAAAGTGCTTTTAAAATTTTTTATTTTCATAAAATGTACATGACAGAATTCACTTTCATAACCTTGTTTTGGTATACATTTTAGTACTAAGTACATTCCTCTTGTGAACCAACTTCCGGAATTTTTTCATCTTGCAAAAACCGAGCCTCTGTCCCCCTTAAACAACCCTAACATTCTTTTTAATTCCTAATTGTATATATTTTTTTGTGCTGTTAAGTTTCAGAGTTATACTTTGTTCAGTCTTCTTCCTCTTCTCTTCCCTATTTGTTTCCCAAGGTATTAGAATGTGGAGAAGAAAAAATCCTTACTTTGACAGAAGTAGAAAGGTTCAAAGCTCTAGCTGCCCAGTTTGTAAAACTTCTGCGGTCCCAGAAAGATAACTGCCTTATGATGACAGATCTGCTTACAGAATATGCCAAGACTTTTGGTTACACGTTTCGTCTCCAAGACTATGACGTCAGTTCAATTTCAGCTCTGACGCAGAAACTCTGCCATGTTGTAAAGGTAAAGGGGATTTTTCATGGAATAGCCCTTGTGGCACAGTCCTCATTGGCATGTTTAGCATTTGCGTTTTTACCTTGTACCACTTGCTGTTGCTACACAGTTGTTTTGTGTGTTATTAGTGCCTTATTAGGCTTGCCACTATAGGTTTCTGGTCTTCCTTTTGTGTGTTTATTAATGGCCTTGTCAAGGTAGTTCCTCTTTGAGTTGATGGGGTCACTTTTTATCCCATGGTGTGCATTCTCAGCAAGGCAGACCTAAAGTTGAATCCTTCCAGACAGATTTTTGTCTCCAAGGTTGATAGGAAGCTATAATCATGTATCTCTTCTCTCCTCTAAATCCCCACTCATTTGGGAGTAGATCTGGGCAAGCCGAGGCTCAGAATTGCCTTCATTGCTGCTGCACGTATATCACAGGGCAACTTCCTCCCCTTGCCTGCCCTGAACTGCCCCTCCCAGGTCGAGGCGGAGCAGCTGTGCACTTTCCAGGCCACCTCCAGCACAGGACCAGGAAAGTCACCACCAGGRGGAAGAACTAGGAAGGAACCAGGAAGTCGGGGCACCCCAGGCACAGGTCCAGGAGGGATCTGGTTGCATTCAGTGAGTTGGCRGAGGTAGACCAGCACAGGAGGTGGGAAGGAGTGACCAGAGGGCAGGACACAGTGGGAGAGCGGATGTGGCAGAGCCAAGGAAGAGGACTAGTCAGCAGTGTCCCGTGCTTCTGGTGTTGCTGGGGAAGGTAGTGACAGCGTCGCTGAGATGTGGGGATAGAAGCCACAGTGAGCAGGTTGAGGAATGAGGAGGGGAGGCCATGGCAGTGGTCTCCACACTTCCTGGTGGTGGCGTGTGAAGGAGGAGGCAGGGAGGAGCAGCTGGGACTGTGGAATGGTGAGGCCAGCTGAGGGCGGGCTGACTTTTGATTGGGGGTTTTGAGTCTTGAGCATGTTTGAGAGCCGCTCAGCAGGATTCACTTGAGAGGAGAAGAAGAATACCAGGGCAAGAGAGAAAGGTCCACTGGGTGGCATCCTCAGCAGGAAGGACGGCTCTGACCTTCATAATTGACGAGACGGAGGGGTGACGGGGAGGCTGATGTAAGTGCATGTTTGTTGTCAGGGAAAGGATGGCATTTTCCCATCCCATGGCTACTGTCTAATCAAGTGGAAGGTACGATGAGTGCTTAGCAGCGGAGGAGAGACCAGCTCGTGATGGAAAGGTGTGCAAAAGGCCTGAGTCGTGGAGAGGGAGGGCGGCATGACCCTGAGGTCAGGTGGGGCCGGGGAGTGCTGWGAGTTCCCTGGAGTTGGACTCTAGACTGCAGAGTTAAGCATGGGGTRCAATTGCCTGGGTGCAGGCCCAGGGGTGCTCAGCAGACCATCGACAGGAATATGGATGAAGGAATGGGCTGCAGTGCCAAGGTGGTTGGGAGAGGAAGGTGAGGAAAGGACAAGGACATGACTCCTGGCATCCCGGAGGTACCGGGGGTCTGTGGGGAGGTTGAGGAGAGGTGCTGAAGGTAGAACAGTAGGACCTGCTGGGGTCCGCCCATCGTTGGTGCCCTGGAGGGCTCTGGAGGGCTGAATGGCCTTTGGGATGGGTCTGCAGTAGAATTGGGTACCGAAGGTGGCCCTGGAGATGAGAAAGTTAGGGGTGGAAGGCCCTGGTGTGGGCCCAGGGTGCTCAATGGCCTGCACAGTGGGAGGTGTGGGCTCAGCTGGCTAGGGAGACTCCAAGCCGTGGCTGCARACTCATGAACGAGGTCAGCTGGTGGGAAGGGTGCAGCTCTGCTGCCCACTGTCACCTGTAGGCAGCTGCTGGGGGTGCTGCATCACAGACTCCCCAAGTGGCCTGAGATCTTCAGATGAGCCTGTGAGTGTATTCYGAACCTTGGTGCTTTCCAAAGCTCCTGTGCTGATTCTAATGCATACACGAGAATCAAGACAGAATCTAAATAGCTTCAAAGGAGCAGGGTTGGGTGTGGTTTGRTTTCTTAAAAGGCAGCAGTGATATAATGGTGCAGGCACCCAAGAAGATGACTCCCAGCCCCTGAATTTGTATCTGCAGATTGATTCTGTCCTACCTCTGAGCAGAGAGTCTGTTCGGTTCCATACYGTGGAATGGGAGTCTCCTGCTCAGCTGTGAGTGCACCCAGAACCAGACTGAGATGCACGGTTGTGAGGCTGGCTCCTCACTGCCACCCACCTCTCTCTGCCCTTCAGACTCCAAAGTCCCAGAGTGGACCATCTTCTTATTCCTTGGCCCTCATTGTGGGCATGGAGATCTTTGACACTTACAGGGAAGCCAAGTAAATGGAGACCACCTGTAAGAGTAAATGCTGGTCAGCCTTAAGGGTGTCTAAGTCGCAGGACCTTCACGTGGACACTGACTGTTCTGCTTACAGTAAAGGCCTGTAGGYAGACTCACCCCCACCCAGGGCCTGCTCATCTCAGACTCCAGGTGCCTGTTTCTGAACATGTTTAAATATTTTTTTAGTTGTTGATGGATCTTTATTTACTTATTTATTTATATGTGGTGCTGAGTATCTAACCCAGTGCCTCACACATGCTGGGCAAGCGCTCTGCCACTGAGCCACCACCCCAGCCCTCTGTACTCGTTTTGGTCTCCAAATGATAATGGGTATCTTTTCCACAAAGTTTTCCTCCCAAGGCACTTCATCACTTCAACCTTTCATTTTCTTGAAAATCTAAAATAATTGAGGAATAGGTACGTGAGATGAAAATGCCAGCTTTTCAATTAGAACTGACTAGAAAAACAGCTTGSCTTGTGGTCAGAGGGGCCCTCTGCCACTCCTCAGTCTAACTGCTCCCCCCACCTCTCCTGTGAGCATAGCARCCCTTTACACACAAGCCTGAGCCAAGGCTGTTAGCTGCAGTCTTGCCATGGGGACAGAGGAGTGGGAGGAAAGGCAGGAGGGAGTAGGGTGGATGGACACCAGCTTCTCTGTTATCACTCTGAGAGAAGTGGTGGTGTATGTGCAAGGTTTTGGTTAGGGTCCAGCAGAGAGGAAGAGAGCAACTTCTGCTGCGCTCTCATCCACAGAGTTGGGTTGATATCCCAAAGAGGCTCAAGCAAACCTACTCACTTTATTTTAGTTTGAGAGAGAGAAAAAAAAAAAAGTTTGTTCCTCTATTGCTTTCATTAACCAAAATGGAATCAGCTGAACTGGGTAATTCAGCTAGGTCATGTCTCCTAAGTTCAAGTCTGGTTCTTGGTTTTCCCCCAGGTTGCTGATATGGAATCTGGCAAACAGATTCAGCTGATCAACCGAAAGTCTCTGCGGTCCCTCACTGCCCAGTTGCTGGTGTTGTTGATGTCTTGGGAAGGAACCACCTCTCTTTCCGTCGATGAGCTCAAGAGACATTATGAAACCACCCACAGTACTCCTCTCAACCCCTGTGAATATGGATTCATGACCTTGACAGAACTTCTGAAGAGTTTGCCTTATTTAGTTGAGGTATGTGTGTGAGTGGTTTTGACAGCTAATGAASTGCATCTTTCTGGATGATCTGTTGGTCTAGATTAATGCAGTGCATAGAGTAGAAAGGGACTCCAGAGATCTTCAAGACTGATGCYCATTTTATACCTGAACACACTGAGGCCTGGGGAGGCAAGGAACCCTGCTGGGGGAGGGGTAAAGTCAGTGCAAAGGCCCTGCACTCCCAGTGTTTTCCCCAGCTGGATCTTGCTGGTGCTGCCTTCCTGAGTCAGGTGGCATGTGTCAGAGGGTCAGGGGCTTAGCAGTGGAGGTAAGGGTTAGAAAGAAGGTTGGCTGGCCAACCACCTGGGCAGCCTTCCAGCAGTGGCACTTCAGGGTTGGAAGAATTTTAAGATAATATTTTATTTAGTCAATTTTATTCTCTGTAGAWTTTTAAGACAGTATTTTATCTAGTTGGGCAACAAACATAAAAACCTAAATGTGGTCAGAGGGGCCCTCTGCCAGTCCTCGAGCAAGTAGGCGAGATCCTAGGGAAAAAAATCATCCAGCTCAACTCTAAAGGAAGTTAAGAATCGGGCTAATCACTATAAAAGAGACTATAAAGATCCTTCAACTTTCACCACTGAACAAGGTGCCAAACTCTGTTAATTGTGTATTCTACCAACATTGGTTCTGGATAACACTAATGATGCTTCAGGACACAGACTTTGATGACCAGTTAAGTTTGGGAAGTATCCCTTCTCTTGGAGATTCCAGTGCATATTGAAGATTCTGAAAAGGTTCATGATTTTTTAAAAAAATCTGCAACTCAATAGGAGAGAAACGGTTTTGTGTGAGTGTGCACGCTGCTTCTTGTCTTTGTTACGTTTTTAAAGAACGCTGACACCCTCCTGCATCCCCATTTCTTGTAAAGCCAACGTGGAAGGTGAGGCTTAGTGCTTCTGCAGCCTGTGCAGCGCCCTCCGAGGCTGCGCCCCTCCTCGTGGCCCCTTGGTTGGAGACTGCAGTTCCTGGGCTTCCCTCTCCACTCGCTCGCTTGCTCTTCTGGGCCTGTCCTGTTGGACGTGCAGAAAGCTGAGTTCAGGCTCCAGCCTCCTCCTAGAGGAGCTCCTGGAATGACACCCCCTGCTCCTTTGCAGATTATTGCCCATCTTTCAAATTGACTTTTTTTTTTTTATTTTCACTTGGAGTCTTTGCCCCCAGGGGACAGAGCCAGTCGCTCGTGAAGTTTCTAATCCTGTCTTTTCTTTTGGACCAGGTTTTTACTAATGATGAGACAGAAGAGTGTGTGAAGCTCACAAGTCTCTATTTGTTTGCAAAGAATGTGCGGTCTTTACTTCACACTTACCACTACCAGCAGATTTTCCTTCACGAATTCTCCATGGCCTATACCAAGTATGTTGGAGAAACACTGCAGCCCAAGGCATACGGCTACAATAGTGTGGAGGAGCTCTTGGGAGCGATCCCACAGGTAGGAGTCTTCTCAGTTTCTTGGAGAGCCTCTTCCTGAAGAGCCACAGGTGTAACTTGTGAACAGGGAARGCAAATGCTGCCAGAGTAATAAAGTGGCAGCATCTTGAAACGGTTGTCTCAAAACATCCTGTTAGTGCGAGATTAGTGATGCAGTGTTTTTCATTGATTCTTCAAATCTTAAAGCTCCTGTGTGCCAGGTAAGTAGCCCCAGATCCTCCCCTTGGAAAGTGCTGGTAATGGGCGTAGACGCCTGGCAGGCAAGAAGTTGGTGTAGACACTGCAGCGACAGCCTTGAGCAGAGGGCCTGTGCCCCAGGTGCCCGAGGAGGGACATGGCGGCACCCACTTGCTGTATATGGGGGTCCCAGGGCAGCAATACCAAGGACATGAGCGAGTTACTATATGAGGAGGAGGGGAGAGGGCAGTCCAGACGGGTAGCACCAGCTGATGGAGCAGCAAGCAGCAGCACAAGATGCCGGGACACTAACACCACGTTGGAGGGCTGGGAGCAGCCCAGTGGTAGTGCTCATTGGCCTAGCATGGGCAGGGCCCTGGGTTCAGGCCTCAGCTCTGCAACAAATAGAAATGGAACAAACCTGTGCCAGGGCCTGCCTGTGAAGTAAAGCTCAGTTTGGAGGGTTTTGCTCCTCTAGGTAAGGAGCTGGATTGCATGGGGGCTAGGAGGAGCCAAGCTGTGTTCAGAAAGCAGCTCAATGGCTACTGTCCATGGTGGGATTGAGTAGAACAGTAGCATAGGAGGGAGTTGGCCATCACAGAGGTCCCTGGAACTGCTAGACAAAGGTGAGTCAGGGTGAAAATGCAGGTTGAGCATCCCTAATCGGAAAACCTAAAATCCAAAATACTCCAAAATTCCAAGCAAAATTGAGTGCCAACATGAGGCTGCAAGTGGAAAATCCCACACCTGACCTCACATGACAGGTGACACATTAAAAATATTATATAAAATAATTTCAGGAGCCAGGCATAGCGGCACATGCCTGTGATCCCAGCAAATCAGGAGGCTAAGGCAAGAGGATATCAAGTCAAGCCAGGGCAATTTAGACTCTCCAAGTAAAACAAAAAGGGCTAGGGCTGTAGCTCAGTGGTAGAGTGCTTGCCTCGAGTGCTAGGGGCCCTGGATTCAATCCCCAGTGATGCAGAGAAACAGAAACGGAAAAATCCTTCAGGSTATGAGTATAAAGCATACAGAAACATAAATAAATTTGTTTTACTTAAAATTTTTTATTGGTGCACTATAATTTTACATAATAGTGGAACTCCTTATGCCATATTCATGTGTGCACATAGTTTATTAGTACCATTCTTCAGTAGCACCCTCTCCCTCTTCTCCCCTCCTCCTCCTTGATCTGCTTACTCTACCGATCTCTCTTCTGTTGTTATTATTTCAGTTAATACACTATAATTAAATATGTAAATAGAATCCACTGTGGTATATTTATACAAGGACATGGCATAATTGGTAGATTTTGTTCCCAGGCCTTCCTATACCCTCCCTCTCTCGCCATCCCCTTTCTCTACTCTGTTAGTCTCCCTTCTACATAAGCAAACTGTATGCTTAGCTTCGAGTCCCATCCCCAAGATGCCTCATTACGTACACACAGATATTCCAAAATCCAAAGCCCTTCTGGTCTCAGACATTTCAGATAAGGGACACTCAGCCTGTAAGGAAGCAGAGGAAGTAGTAAAGACAGATGAAGACTGCTTAGGAGCCGAGACCAGGGACTTGGTGCAATCACACATGGGCCTGCAGCCAAGGGTCCCACCCCCACCCCGAGCTGACCAAGGAGGTGAACAGCACCATTAGGTGGGGTACTTTGCTTTAGGATTAGGATCAGAAACTTAGCTTAAAGTTCTGGGAAAATATTTATTTATTTATTTTTTATTGTGTTTAGTTTTTGGAAAAAATGGTAAGAGCTCTCATGTGAGACCTTTCTTAATCTCTGTGCCCAAACTGGTGTTTGAAAGGCATTCTTTTCAAGAGTCATAAAGAATATTTTTAAAGCTGACTTGATTTTCTGACTGCTCCACTTTTTCTCAAGGGGCGTGTCTGTCTCTTTCTGTTGCTTTAGAAGCTAAAGAAAGTTTATAAAAATAGTTCTGGGCGTTAGTTTGGTTTCTCAGTTCTAGAATGTTAAAGCAGGCACAAGAGGCCCACCCTTCCTGAATGCTAGGGCGTGTTCCCTCCTTTTCCACTGCTTAACCAGGAGTATGTCTTGTGTGCAGGTGGTCTGGATAAAAGGACATGGTCATAAGAGAATTGTAGTGTTAAAAAATGACATGAAAAGTAAGTAAGCACCCGTCCCCTGCCCTACACAATCGTGGTTCTCTCACTGACCTTTCTCTGATGGGTGCTCCTTGTCCTCTAGGCCGGCTCAGTTCACTTAGTCTCTCGCCTGCCAATCCTGAACATCAGCCCGCAGACAGTGAGCGAATCCTGGAGGTGCCTGAACTGTGCGCAGCCTCGGAAACCCCGCTTGGAGCAAGTAGCACTGGTACGAGAGGAAAGGTGGATAAAACAGAGCTGTGGGGTCTAGGAGAAGGTGCCGGTGGGCGGAGTGGAGGAGGGGCAGCAGCTGCCATCCCACTAAGTAGCCACTCGTTCTCCAGAGCAGTCTTGGTGTTGCTGACAGACAGCCCACATTCCATAGCTTTGGCACCCCCGTGATAATTGTCCCCGTTCAGGTGTTTAAGTTATACTGATGTTTGCTAAAGTGAAAAGTCGAGACTATCGGGATAGAGGCAAAGAGCTCCACTCTGATACAGCAGGGACAGTAAGGGGTCAGAGCTGAGGAGCAAAGTGGGGGTCAGCACACAGACATTTACTAAGAGAAGACATCGAGGCCAGGGCCCTTGCTGAGCTGCCTAGCAGGATTCCTTCCCTGGGGCTTGGGCCTGTTTTGACAGTGACAGAGTGTCACTGAACTCTGCGCTCACAGGGAAGCTGGGTTGCACAGCTCCTCACAGGGCTAGACACCTGGCTGCAAGTCATCTGCTAACGTCCCCGCCTCTCTTCAGCAAGGAGTCACCTCCCTTCTCCAGAGAAGAGCTGAAATTGCAGGTGGAATTAGCCAGGAAGTGACAGGAGCAGGCCCAGGTCTTCTGAGACTGAGCTTGTGCTCATGTCCCTCCTCGGAAGCTACTTCAGAGCTCTTTTTCCCAGTGGGGCCTCTTGAGGGGCCAGTGTTCCTAAGAGCACAACTCTCCAGGAGGTGACTGGCTGTGGCATTTCAGTAAGACCAAGGGTCTTACTGCTGATGGCTTTTTTTTAAAAAAGTTGAGTACTTGAGCGCTTCCTAACTTGCTTCGTCTTAAGACTCAGCAACCCTCATGCACAGACTGGGCATTGGCCTGTGTACACCACCACCTGCTCTCTCTGTAGGGCCTGGTCAGACGGAGCAAGAGCTTCTCCGCCTGGCCAGCAGCTCCCCTGTCGACCTCCTGTGTGCACCTGTCCCTTCTTGCCTGCCGTCCCCTCAGCTGAGACCAGATCCTGTCATCCTGCAGTCTGCTGACCTCATTCAGTTTGAGGAACGCCCTCAAGAGCCTTCTGGTAGGTCACAGAGTGTCTGGGCTGCGTTTCAGAAGCAGAACCACAATGCCCATGTGTGAAATGGCTGATGAAGACGGGGAGAGGCTACCACTTCAGGTGTAACAGTACCTGGCTACTTGGAACTTGCTTTCTTTGTTGGGGTTTCCCCAGAATAGGCCTCATACCCCAAAGCTGCTCAGGGAACGTGAAGCTAGGGAACAGAGGTGGGCTGGAGGGGTGATGTCTCTGGCTGTGGAAGCACTTGTGGAGGAGGATGGCAGGTCCCATCAGGGAACCTCCAGGCTTTTCAGAGGTGCAGCTACTTGAGCACACCTCGCACCAGCTGCCTGCGTGGCCTGTGGCTGGGACCCAGGGGGTGCCGGGGCTTTTTTTTTTTTTTTTTTTTTTGTACCAGGGACTGAAGTCACTCGACCACTGAGCCACGTCCCCAGCCCTCTTTTGTATTTTATTTAGAGACAGAGTCTCACTGAGTTGCTTAGCACCTCGCAGTTGCTGGGGGCTGGCTTTGAACTAGAGATCCTCCTGTCTCAGCCTCCAGAGACACTGGGATTACAGGAGGGCACCACTGCCCATCCAGTGCTGGGGCTTTTTGAGGTGTGAAGAAGCAAGGCATCTGCTTGCTTCAGCCCTGGAGTCTGTCCAGCAACCTGAGGATAGAGGGGAAGCTGACCTGGTCAGGTCCTGACTGACAGCCGGCCTCACCATGTGCAGTGGGGTTCCGCCTTGTGCCAGCCTGTGCTGAGAGCTGACGGTCACTGCTGACCCTTAACAGACACTCGGGGAGCCACTGCTCCCACTTCACAGCTTAGGTGACCTGTGGCCCAACTAGAAATGCAGCTGGACACAGGCTACTTGGCCAGGAAACTGTAGAGCCAGGATTGAACCAAGGCCTCCTCAGTGTCACCGGCCCCCTGTGAGGAGGCCCAGTTGCTCTGGAGAAACCCTTCCCTTCTTCTCTCTGGGTATCCATCCCTCCCATTGTGAGTACTGTTTTCCAGGGRTCCCCAGGGATGGCTGCTGCTGGGCTGGCCTCACTGTCCTTAGTCTTCCTCAGCAGCATTTGGCACCAGTGAGGACAGAACTGAAGCTGTTTATCTGGAACACAGGGAATAGGGGGACACATAACTGCCTTCTGATGAGGCATAAACTCAACCGTATGCCTGTGACGAGAGGAAAGAGTGATTTGGAGATGTGGGCAGTCCTGTCCACCTCGGTGGGTACCTGCCAGGAGCTGGGGTTCTGTCCCTTCTGTCCCTCCTACCTTGTATGAAGCCTTTGGGAGCAGGAGCCTGTGTCACATGCAGCAGGAGTCTGGGGTATGCTGGCACGTCTTCCTCAGGCCACAGGGCTTGGGTGTGCTGCAGGTGGGTCGCCTATGGCTCGTCCGCAGAAACAGGACTATGAACATGCAGGGAATCAGCTGCCCTTCCCTTCCTTGGTTTTCAGGGTGATTTTGACTCAGAGTAACTCTCCCTTTTCTCCTAGTTCAGATCTATTAGAATATGGGTTGTTCCGGAATAGAATGACTCCTTGCTCCCTGGCACTAAGGCCCCTCCAGGCTCAGAGTTCCCGTGTGGCTGATGGGTCCTTACTCCCCTGACAGAGAATGGATAGGCAGGGGCATCCTAGCAGGAAAACGTGGCCCATCGAGGTGCAACCAAAACCGACGTCTCTAACACTTGGTGGTCCRCGAGGAGGGGAGGGCAGTTAGACACGTTTGAGTGTGTGACACGTAGCTAATATGTAAATTGTGGCCTAGGCGTGACATTTGGTGGATTATTTTTTAAATACCTTTTGAGAAAATACAAGCCAGAAACTGAAAACCAATACTTCTGTATGTCCTAGAATTAAATGTGTTTTTTTGTGTGTGTGTGTTTATAGAAATTATGAATTTAAGCCAAGAAGAAAGCATTGCAATTCCAGTACCAGGAAGGAAGGAAACGCTGCCCTGTTACTCCAGCCCCTCCGGCGTCCCAGCCGCTGCCCCAGAGCTGCCTCGCCCCTCAGGAGCCCCAGAGCCGCCACTCAGCAAGGACCCTGTGGAAAGCCCCGCCAAAAAGCAACCCAAAAACAGAGTGAAATTGGCAGCCAACTTCTCCTTTGCACCTGTAACCAAGCTTTAATTCCCACTGGGAACATAGAGTTAGGATGGGGAAAAACTGTCTGATTCTGCACACAAAAATGGGCTCAAAAAACAGCCTTTTATGTTTTAATGAAACCCCCCAGAAGCCACTTAACTGCTTCTTTAGAAGTATTCCATGATATTTTTGTCCTTTTAAATTGAACACAGCTTTCAGCTGAAGTTTTTCTTTTTTTTTTTCCCCCTCAATTATTTGAAAGAACTTCTGGCATTTGTTAAAGAATCTTTAATATATTTTCCCAAATTTTTCTTAACTATTAGGCAACACAGTGTGTTCCGGAAGAAGTAAGCAGTGGGAACCCAACTAGCAGGAAGTGGTCTTGCTTCCATTGAGCCGCTTCAGGGGTGTGACCCCACAGTAGCATACAGAGCCGCCGTCCTCGCTCCCGGAGGTCCCTGACAGTGTCAGCCCAGTGCGTGTTGTGTCTGTGAAGCAAATTCTGTGCGGAGCCTGCGCATGCACACGCGGAAGGAGGGTGGGCAGGGCGTTGAGCTGTGTTCTCAGGTTAGACTCTGAAGGTTCCTGGCTTCCATGTGACTTGTAAGCGTGCCCAGTTTTTATTTAACTATGTCTGTAGTTGACAAATATGGCTTCATCACAAATTTTTTAAAATGTTTCCAATGTAGGATTCCCTTTAGGAGCTTTCTAGAAAGTTGAGGTGCTTTAAGCTTCCCTTCTATTTTAAGTTCCAGTTTGGCGTGGATCAGGTGGAGGGTAAGGAGATGGTCTTGGCGTCATGAGTTGAAGTCAGCGTTTGAATTACAGCACACATTACTGTGTGTCAAGAGGCAGTGTTGGAAAGAGTCTGATTTTCTAAAATATGCATCAGATGCATAAATTATAAATCAGAGCTGAGTGGTGAGGTACTTTAACAGGAAAGGGATCAATACTATTTCCACTAGGAAGAGACAGTAATTCAATCTGAACATGTGAAGGCCAAGGTTGATCAACTTAACCTTGTTTTTGTAATTTTAAAGCTGGTGTTGGTAGCTGGGAAGCTGTACCTGTGGAGAGGTGTGTGTCTACGTGTTAGCTCAGCCTCTTTTAAGTGTCTGTTTTTACTCTTGTCACTTCTTGCCGTTGGAAGCATGTTTGGGTTTTTTTGTGGTGTCTGATGTTGGCATTTGAGAAAAGCCAGCCTTCGGGGGCACTGCCTGTGGAATGGCCTTCCTCTCCAGTGCCTGAGGTCTCTGCTCATGGGTGACCTCTCACCCCTGCTGGAGAAACCTGACATTTACAATGGATTGTATTTGTTGGGCAAAAAGGGCGGATTCATTCATAGAGCAGAAAGAACCTGTTTGGCAAGTGGCAAGGTCTTCCACTAGTTAGTCGGTTTCTTTTGGGGAAATGTTTATATTTTGTAATTTCTAGAAAGCCAGAAAAATGGGCTCTGATTTCATAGCCAGCATTTTGATAAAATGCCACAAAATAAGGGCTATCGAGAGATTTTTACAAGTTGGATTTTTGTTCCCCAAATCTTTTAAATGAAGCCACTGATGCCTGGTTCTCGGCACAAGACCCCAGTTGAGATAGAACAACGCTGGGAAACCTTCTGCGTGCTGTGGCAGTCTGCACATTCTCCCGAAGGCGTTTCCTCTGCAGGCATAGTGTTACAGGAAGTACAGGGCAAAATGCAGCTTTTTATAAAACGCTTTTAAACCATGTAATAAAGCGGGTGTCTAGAACATCAGCGCCTTATTCTGAGACTTCATAAGGCTGAGTTTGCACACTTGGGCTTCAGTTTTGCTAGCATGTAAAGAACTGTGGACTTTAAAAACGTAAGAGGTATCATTACAAGTCACGTGGAAATGTCTCAAGGAGCAGGTTCTTTGGGCAGCAGAGAAAGAAGGTCTGCGCTGTCATGTGAATGTGTCTGTGCTGGGATTGCCGGTTAGTCTGGGACACTCTTGTGACTAACAATTGCTGTTTAAAGATGTGCGCTACAGGGGCACGGGCCCTGTCCTGACGTGCTCCACAGCGGCCAGTTCAACTGCTGTTTATTTTTTTATCCAGAGGCTTAATTAAGTGAATGACAAAATGATGTATGCACATTGAGACGAAGTTCTTTATTTCTAGGTGGCAAGATGTACCGACTTAGAGTTATCTGTTTAAAAAAAAAAAAAAAAGACAAAAGTTATCACCAAGACCCCCTTCCCCATCTTGCACTGTTGGTTTTGGATCGGGCGTGGGGGAGGAAATGTTTTTCTTAACTGTCTACTTTGTTTGAACACTTTTTTTGTGGTTCAAGTGCTATTTTGTGTGTTGGGACCAAACAGTTGTCAATAAACTTTACAAGCAAGCATCCAGCCTGGGGTTTCCGAGTGAGTGCTTCGTCTCTCTGTGGGAGAGATGTTGATCCTAAGTCTGACGACTTCATCTCGACTGCTCCGACTTCTCACCCCTCCTGAGCATCACGTCAGTGTGGGACGGAGAGCCCCGGAGGCTGGTGTGACGTTGGAACTTTTCCAGCTTTGGTTCCGGTTTTATATCAGGATGGAGAAACCCGACAGCCACACAGACCTTCCAGCTAGAAAACTGGGSCAGTTCCTAGGCTCTCGCTCCCAGAAGGAAGTCCGCCTTCTGTCTGCCTCAGCTTTTGGTCCCTGCTGAACCTGCTGTGGGAATCAGCCAGTTGAGAGGAGGCTTCTTCCTCAGATTCAGCAGGACAGCCTGCTGTCCCCCTGCCGCCCCCACCCCTGGTGACACTATGGAAGGACCTGGGGGAGGCCTGAGTAAATTACTTCTTGATAAGGTGCGATTTCTTTTTAAGTTCAATACTGAAATCTCCTGAAGACCGTCGGCAGTCTTTCCCACTACCACCCCTGAGACCATCCCCTCCCTCCACCTGAGGCGGTTCATGTAAGGCCTCTTCCCCTTGCACCTCTAGACGCTGGGTTTGAGCACAGAGGGACCCCCCACCCCTGCCACCCACCTCTCCTGCCCTCTCAAGAGTTTCTAGAGCTGCAGCTGTGTAGACGGAGGCTGCAGGGCCCTTGCCTTTTGCGGGTTAGAGCCCCTGCGTCTGTGTCTGAGCCAGACGTGAACTCGGGAAGGAAACGTCGGGGAGGAAGCTCCTGTTCTGCTTCCGTGCAGGGTGGGCCAGTGAGGTATTGCTCGTGGGCTCCGAGGCCTGAGCCCTGCAGCGCACCCCACTCTCCTCTCTGACCTGGCCTCCTCTCAGCCTCCTGGCTATGCGCTGCCTTCCCGCTAGGGAGCCTCCTGCTGCTGCCCCTGGGCCCAAGTCCATGCTGTGGCTAAGAGTCGGCCTGTTTTGAATCTCCACTTACCTCTTCCACGCCTCCCTCCCCACCTCCAAATGAGGCCAACAAGAACACTTCAGAGAGTCCTTTCCTGTCGTGAATGAGCTACTAGAAGTGAAGCATCCGAAGGACCACAGGACCTGTGACCCATGCCCGACTGTACCCACTGGTGCTCCCCTGGGCACTCGGGTCTGAGCACACACCTGGTTTTCTCAGGGAGATTCCTATGACCTGCTGTTCTCTCCGCAGACCAGGCAAGTTCGCCCGCTTCTCAGCACCAGCCCTGTCCAGCGCCACTCTCTGGAGTCTCCGAGACTGCCCTTGTCTTTTTTTTTTTTTTTTTTAAAGAGAGAGAGAGAGAGAGAATTTTAATATTTATTTTTTAGTTTTCAGCGGACACAACATCTTTCTTTGTATGTGATGCTGAGGATCGAACCCAGGCCGCACGCATGCCAGGTGAGCACGCTACCACTTAAGCCACATCCCCAGCCCTGCCCTTGTCTTTAATAGCATGTGAGAAGCAGGAACGCTCACAGTGTGCCACAGAATATGTCTTCTTGTTCCCCTTGACCAGGCAAGGAGGGTGGCGAGGGTCGGAACGGTCTGGTTTTTTATTCACCTGCCTCTCCCCAGGATCTGGGGTCTGGCTCACAGTATTAACAGGCCATGTTAGTTTTCTGCAGCTATGTGGCGAATCACCACCAGTGTGTGGCTACTGTCTCGTGGTTGGTGTGGGTCCGGGGGCAGGCACAGCTTAACTGCCGTCAGGAGGTGGCGAGCTGGTTTCTCATCTGGAGGCTTGACTGAGACAGAACACTCCATACTCCTTGAGGGGTCGACCAGATTCACTTTCTTGAGGCTCTGTGTGGCTCTGGGCTCCAGCTCTTTGCTGGCCTCTGTCGGAGGCCGCCCACAGTTCCCGCAGCAGGGACATCCTCAGAATGACCACTTGATTCACCAGGCCAGTGAGGAGAGCCTCCCCGCGGGGGCATAAAGCAACCTCGTCAGGGTGGTGACTTCCTCTGTCTTTGCCATGTCCCACTGGCTAGAAGAAAATCCCACATCCTGCCTCACAGACAGTCCTTAAGCATTTGAGGAATGAGCAACTGGCTGAATTTACAGGCCCAAGACATCCAATCCGGGTCCAGGAATGGGGCAGAAGGGTCCCGGCTACACCCAGGCTGAGAGCCAAGATGCAAAGCTGCAGGGCCGTGGACCAGCCGCTCTCCGCCCCACACAGGTTTACAGAGGGAGAAGGAGGCAAAGAGGTTAAGCCTTGGCCCAAGTCCCGGTTCAGTTGACTCCCTCTGGGTGCCAGGCATGAGCCAGATGTGGGACCCGGATGAGCAAGGCGGGCCCAGCTGTGCGGTTCTGGTTCCCTGATGGCAGCTGCACACCAGGGCCCTTGGCAGACGGGAAGACGCCTCCAGTGGTGGCCAAGTTGAAGAGGGGCCACCAGCATCACCAGGGCACTGTGATTAACACACAGGTTCTGTGGGCAAGGCCACGGGCCAGAGGTCTTCAAAAACGCCAGGGTCATGAGAGACAGGACCGCCTGGGGGTTGGGGATCCGTCAGACGGAAGGAGACTTTGGAAAAAGACTTAGCAGCTCCACACCAGATCACATCCTGGACTTGGGAGAGCGGAGTTGTCATGATGGAAAATACGGGGGCGACTGACCAAGTCTGAGTCCTGGGCAATTCTACCAATGGAATTTGATGATTATGAAAGAGAACAAGAACACCTGCGTTCTTTGGCACACTGAAGGATCTAAAGGTACAGTGACATTATGTTTGCAATTAGGTCAGATCATTCTGGAAAAGCAAAAGCAAGTGGGTATACAGAGAGCAAGGGAGGTGGTCAAATATGAAACACCAGCGCTCAGTGAGTCAGGCGGCCACGTGAGAAGTCCTCGTACTCTTTAAACACAGTCACACGTCACTAAAGGATGAGCCACGTTCCGAGAAGTGTGTCATCAGTGGATTTTGTCATCGTGCAAACATAAAAGTATTGACACCAAATACAGTGGCTACAGCATAGCCATCCTGTGTGTGTGGTCCCCAAGAGAAGCCAGGAGGAGAGGTCAAGAGACACAGGGTCCAGATGATAGCTCCTGAACCCAGTGCTATCCCTAATTTGGGGACATCCCAGGCTAGGAGCTAGGAAACACCTTTCTTTATTTTTTCCCCTGTTAGACATTTTTTTCTTTTTGGCTGTTCTTATTTGTGTGTGTGTGTGTGTGTGTGTGTGTGTGTGTGTGTGTGTGCTGGGGATGGAACCCAGGGCCTGTGCATGCGAGGCAAGCACTCTACCAACTGAGCTGTGTCCCCAGCCCGACTGTTCTTATTTTTTATTTTAATTTTTTAAATCATTTGTTTCATTTTTAATTAATTGTATTTCAGACTATTTTTAGTCTTTGCCTGTTCGGCAGTTCTCTGCATGAAGGTCCAGAAGGGATCACACCGCCCCCATGCTGAGGCTCAGGTGGGCAGCCCTGCCTCCATGGAGGCCCCGGTGGCCTTGCTGCCTCCACACAGCCCCCAGCTTCCCCTTCCCACGTCCCAATCCTGCAGTGTCTCATTCCCCAGAGGAGGAAGGGGGATGAGCCCCGTCGTCTTCCCTGCGGAGCCTGCGAGCCCTGGAGCTGGCGGCAGAAGAGCTGGGGCCTCTCCCCACCCTGTGTGGAGGCTGGGGTGGAGGTCTGGAGGGGTGCTGGAGGGCACTGGAGTTCCCAACAAGGCAGAGGAGATGTACAGTGAAGTGGGTGGGGACAGGGAGGGTCTGGGGTGGCAGAGCGGTGCAGACAGGAAAGGGGTTCCTCGTCACCTGGGTGGGTGGCCATGCTGGAAGTCCTCGCCACCCTCACAGACATCCTGGAAGAGTGGCCTCGTGGTGGGCGTGGTGCAGCTTGGTTTCTGGGGTGCACGGAGCAGAGGGGCCTAAGCACCATGTCAGGCTTCGCAAGAGTAGAGGGAGGGGACGAGTGGGGACAGAACAGTGAGGGATGTGGGAGTCTCACGGGGCAGGTGTGGAGAGTCACATGTGACAGTGGGACCAGAAAGAGTAGAAATCTTGGGGAAGCACAGGGACTGGGGCCTCAGCTGGCTTTAGGGTTCACCTGCGGTCCCTGAGCGTCTGCCCCGTGGGGACAGCCCGTGCGCCTCACCTTTTCCCACCCAGCCCCAGGCCCTCCAGGAAGCACAGCAAGGCCCGGCCCCTGCCCATCTCGAGTCTCCGGTTTCTGACTTGACCAGGAGTGACTTCTCCTGCGCCCTCTCTCCGAGTCCCCTCTGGTTCTCTGTCTTACAGGCCTGGACACTGAGGCAGGAGGGGAGTCGACGGCGCGTCCACACCCACAGGGCTGCATTGGGGTGTCAGCCTGAGCCGTCCAGCACCAGCTGAAGCCCTCGGTCCCTTTCTAGATGGCGGCCCCTGTTGCCACTGCTGCTGCTCAGGGCTGCAGTGGTTCAGATTTGACACCCTGTGACCTGCATGTCCCTCGCTGGAAGGCAGGTAGTGCCAAGGCCAGTCTCCACACGCCCCAGCGCCTGCCACCCCTGAGTTAACCAGGGGCTTAGCCGCTCAAGAAAGGGAAGGTGACCTGAGCCTCGCTCCTCAAGCCAGCTGTCCTGAGTGCTCTGCCTTCCCGTGATGTCCGTCCTGTGACCCTGTTGGTGGCAGGCCTCCAAGTCCTGGCCGGCAGCCTCCTTGTGGGAGGTGACACTGCAGCTTCTCAAGCTGCAGATGGCCAGCCACGTCCCCACAGCTCAGGGATCGGGGCCGTCCAGCCACCACCATGGAGCTGAGGTTCCTGTGGCTTCCACACCAATCACGGCACAGTCCTGAGGTCACCTGGCCCCTGGGTGATACTGGCCTCAGAGACAGRCCCCTCTGGACACTTCACTCTGCGTGAATTTTCTTCTTCCCCAGCTGCTCCTGCTCAGTTTGTTTGTCCCCTTGAGTGCTGGCCCCAGCCAAGGTGAGAAGGGCGGTGGGAGAGGCAGACAGGCTCCTGGGGCTGTGAGACCAGGCCCAGGGTCCCCAACCTGGCCACTGACCCCGTGGGAAACAGCGGATGGTTTCAAACAGGGAAGCAACACACCTGTCACATGAACGGTTCAGAAGGATCCCCTGGCTCCCCAGGGCAGCACGTGGGTGGTTTAGGGCAAGCTCCGTGGAAAGAAGGGCAGGTGGGAAGCTGAGTAGTTCTCGGCCGAGGGAACGATGTGGGGAAATCTGGGAGAGGTGCCCACAGGGAGCATGGCAGGAAGAGCCAGAGAACCCAGAGGAGAGCCAGTGTCCCAGCATCAAGAGGGGGGCAGAGAAGACTGACGTGTGGAAGAGCAGACCGGAGGGGACTTTTAACCACACGAAAGAGGCTGCGAGAATGACGTGGAGGAGGGACCAGAGGTTGGCATCATCCAGAGAATCCCGCGCAGCTGCAGAGAGCATGAACCTGGGAGGCCAGCGCCGGGGGCCACTCAGGACGCTGCTGCTGCTGCCGCTGACCGAGAAAAGCTGAAGGGTGGCCACCCGGAGCAGCCAGGTCCTAGGGAAGCGCAGGAGGTGGGCACTTCAGACCTGCAAGTGGAAGGGGCACCACGTGGAACAGAAGGGCCAAGGACTTAGGATAACCTTGGGGCTGGGTGGTGCCCTTTCCTGAAACGGAAAAAAATAAATAAAACGTGGCAGCTGAGGGCAGTTTAGGAGAGGAGTTGACTAACTTCATCTTCAAGCTCCAGAGAGGAAATATTCTAGAATCTAGGGGCCATGTATTCTCTATACTCCACTCCGCTGTCCTAGCGGCAAATATGCCACAGACAATAGGTGAGGGAATGCGCGTGACTTTTCCAATGAAACTTTATTTACAAACGCAGAAGGCAGGTGGGATTTGGCCCATGTTGCTGGTCCTTGAGTTAAGACACGTTACATTGAAGGTGTCTGTTCTAGATTCAAGTGGAGAGCCTTCAGAAGCAGTTGGAGAAATGYATCTGAGCTTCAGAGAGGGGTTTAGGCTACAGAAACTGTCCCGGATGCATCCGCATATTGATGGCTATCCAAGTGTGCAGGAGACCCTGGGAGAGGAGAGAGCAGGAGGCCAAGGGTCAGGCTTTGAGGACAAGGAAGCCTTAAAGGGGTCTGGAGAGAGGTTTTCTAGAGCAGGAGGAAGCACACCTAGAGAGTGGAGCCCCCGGGGGTCAAGTCAAGCACACATCCGGGTCACAGAGAGCCCCCATGGTGCAAGGGCCAATGTGTACCAGCTGCACCTAAACAAATGGCTGCTTCCTGGCACAAGGGGTCCAGTGCAGGAGAAGGACAAAATCCAGGTTAACATAGACCCTGGAGGGCTCTGGGCATTGGGGAGGTGCAGTGCAGGAGAAGGACAAAATCCAGGTTAACATAGACCCTGGAGGGCTCTGGTCATTGGGGAGGTGCAGATCGCAAGGCTGTGGTCAACTCTAAAAGGACTGTGAAGGAAAATGGAATGAAGGGTGTTTTTGTTTTTTAAGTGAGAGGTCTGTTTAAACACTGGTAGGGAGAGAAAGACCTGTCAGGGCCCCAGGAAAGAGAGGCATGGGTGATGGATGTCTCAACCACTAACTGCCACGTTCCCTGGGCCTTGGGTTTACTGCCACATCCTAATCCATACAGTGGAAATAATAATAGGACCCACCGCATCAGGCCAGCGTGAGACAACCCAGCTGACGTGTGTACATTGCTCAGTGCACAGCGATAAACTGCAATAAATATCAGCGTCCTTCCCCATGGCTCCCCACAGGAGCAAGTCTGAAGGGGTAGGAACCCCAGCTGAAGGATTCCCAGCTTCTCAGGCAGCCCTGGTGACCCAGGAGCATCATAAACTTTACTTTATCCTGCTCTTCTGTGAAGATCTAAATAATTGTTTGTTTTAAATCAGTGGAAAAGCAGGAAAATGAGGTCAGTCTACCCAGGGCTCAGTGGAAGCTCGAGAGGCAGGATTTTTATGAGAGTTCAATCCCCCTGGGTCTCTCCATCATTGAGTGACTGCCCTATGAGTGGCCTAAGGTGTCCCTGACCCACATTTTCCACAGGGGAGAGGAACCAACCCTTTGTAGCCTAATTAATTTTTTAGGGGGTACTACGATTGAACTTAGGGTTGTTTAAACCCTGACCAAGATCCTCATTCTCCCACTTTTTAAAAAATTTAAGATAGGGTCTCGCTGAGTGGCTTAGAGCCTTGCTAATTTGCTGAGGCTGGCTTCAAACTTGTAATCCTCCTGCCTCAGCCTCCTGAGCCACTGGGATTACAGGTGTGCGTCACTGTGCCTGGCTGCACCCTGAATTTTTATTGGGAGTTAGAGTGGGAAGGATTTACGGTGGTTTAATAGTATCCCCCACACCACTCCACCATATTCACGTCTCCCCGGGATCTTTAGAATGTGACCTTACTTGGAAATAAGGGTTAACAGAAGTAAGGGAGGATCAAGGAAAGGTCATATTGGATCAGAACAGGTCCTAAATCTGATGAATGTGTGCTCATAAKACCAGGAGAGGGCCCACAGAGAGACACATCCAGTAGAGAAAGCCATGTGAAGACAGAGGTAGAGATTGGAGCAAAGTAGTCAAGGAAAGCCAAGGATGGCCAGGAGCTCTAGGGAGCTGGAGAAAGGAAGGAAGGACTCTTCCCCACAGCCTTGGGAGGGAACACGGCAGACACCTCAGTTTCAGACTTCTGGCCTCCAGAAATGGGAGAGGATGGGTTTATCGTATAAGCCACCCAGTTAGAGGTAATTTTGTTACAGCAGCTGGAGAATACTCATACGTTCTATCTCCATGCTTAGTATAGGGCACCAAAGAAGGACATGGCGTCCCCTGATTCTGGTGACACTGAGTGGAGCCTCTTCAGCATCAGAATGGCAGGAAGAAGTGTGTGAGCAAAGCCTGGACTGAGGTAGAAACACATCTGAGACAGATTGGGAGGCCCAAGGTGGGAGGCCTGCAGGAGGGTCCATCAAACCAAAGACTTGAGGTCAACTCCAACGCTGCTGTGACTGGAAACCTACAGATTCACTTGTGAGTCCCAAATACTTTGAAAATGGTACCCATTCATGGCCCAAGAATGTTACTTCTAAGTGTTCCCCTTAAGGAAAAACCCCAAATTCAGACGATTTGTCTCCTCAGGATATTTATCGTTACATCATTTTACAACATCGAAAAAGCTGGAAACAGTCTAAATGCCCAAGGGTGAGGAAATGGTGAGATAAATGACGGTATATCCACGAAATGGATTACTAAGCGGCCAGTATAAATATGTATGAAGAGCATTTAATGTTTACAAAGAGCTTTCAATGAAGTGGGGGATCCGTCGCCACATAATGACCTGTGGCAAAAACACTGGTTCTAAAATGGTAGAATACGGTGCCGAGCATGAGAAAAAAGAAATACATAAAAAAGACAAGGAAACATGCCAAAATACTAGATGTCTCCATGGAGGGATCATGGATGCTTAAAACAAACAAACAAACAAACAAACAAAAAGGTCTTTATATTTTCTGTACTTTTAAAATGATTTACTATGTACATCAATCACTTCCATAATCAAGGAAAAAAAATTAAAGCGTTTAAAAAGCGGTGTACGTGGTTTCCATTTTATTTTCTCTGATGGATGACGGAACATCAGCGAACCTTGAGTTACACTAACTACTAAGGCCGGTCACGACACACATACACGGACAGAGAGGTCACACGGGCTGTGCCGGGCTGGCTATAGCAAATGTACATCAAGTTGGACAGGTGGAATTGTTAGGCTGGTTCAAATACGCCACCAGAGGATGGGACACGGCTGGGTCACGCTGTCTCTCCCGCCTGTCAGCGTTCTTGATGGAGGTCTGGGTGTTGGGCTGGTGTGGTGACATCCCACTGGCACTCCTGCAGTGGCCTCCGGTGGGTAACGAGCGTCTGGGTCGACGTCTGTTCTGGGTCCCCTTCCGTCTGTCCTGGCCTTGGCCTTGGCCTTGGATCCCCTCTTTCTTCCAAGCACTGGATCAGCTGCTGCCCAGACCTGTCCCCACTCAGCTCCATGCCCCTGGGCCAGACATGGCAAGTAAAAGAAGAGCCAAGAACACAGTGGACACCCTCCCGATGTGAACTGGGCCCGGACACAGGATGGGAGGAAGCAGGAGATGTGACCACAGCGTGGCACACAAGCTCAAGTCTTTACAGACAGGCCATCGGCCTCCAAGAACGTGACACTGATGGTGCCTGAGAGATGCATGGGCTACGTGGAGGGCCCCCCAGTGGGGGGCACGGTCCCTGGGAGAGGACAGACGGGGGATGGGACCTGTGCCTATTTGGGGCAGGCCTGACAGCAGAGCTGGGAGCGTGGAGGGGGAGGTGTCCAACACGGTGCTAGATTGTTGAGAAGTCACAACTATACACACCTGGGGACCGATGCCCCTCTCCCAGATGACTTGCACAGTGGGTTAGATACAGCTAAATAGAAGTGGAGATAAACTTTTCTGAGGGAGGACCTTCCTGGTGGTTGGATAATTGGTGAGGCAGACTCCTGGGTTCGGCATGCTCTGGGGAGGGCCATGCGACGGTGAGGGACTCCCTATTGCTACACTCTGTACAGGGCGGCCGGCCCGCCTGCCGCGCCCCATGGCCCCTGGCGGCAGTCACAGGCTTGYCTTCAACCCCTTCCGGAAGCCTTGGAGAGCTCTTAGGCCCCGGTGAAATGGGGGCTATGACGACAAGAGGGTGGGAGGGGGTCCCCGTGGCTCCGGGGCACCCCGTGTGGGGGCTACATGATGTTGCACTGGGTGGCCCCGCAGCAATCCTTGATGAGTGCCAGCCCAGTCTTGGCCACTGTGGGCTTGCTAGGTGGGGGCTCTGCTTTCTTCTCTGCCCGGGAGCCTGCAGCAAAGTAGAAGCACAGAGGGAGAGAGGGAGAGAGGGAGAGGTGAGGCAAGGAAAGCCCTGAGCACCGGCAGCCCCAACTCACCCCAAGCCCAGGCCAGGCCTTGCTCAGGTGACATGGAGAGCTGCTGTGCATTATATATGTCCAGTGACTGATCCCACTTCCCTCTGGGCCCGCTGGCTTCCAGCTCTCACCTTCCAACCACAGCCCTCTCCTAGCCACCATTGTAAATGCCAAGCCTCACACATGACCTGGCATTCGATCTGAGGGGGTCACATCTTTCAAATCTGGAAAATGATCCTATATTTTAAGATACCCACCCCCCACGTTAGCTGTTTCSTCTCCTTCTGGATTGCCTACTAGATAGAATTGGACCTTCTCATTCTATCCTCTCTGATTCATGGCCTCTCGTATTTTACAACTTTTTCTGTTTATGTTGAGTAATTTCCTCAGGTCTGCTTTCCAGTTTATAAGCTGTACCTTCAACTGTGTCTCTGTATTTAGTCCATTGAGTTTTTACTTTAGTGACAATTTTTTAAAAGGGTGATTTTTTTGTAAATCAATCAATTCTTTTTCATAGCATCCTGCTTTTGAGCTTTCGTTTCATTCCTCATCTCTAATTATTTAAATGTATGTATTGTCTCTTTAAAATAGTTGTTAGGTATGGTTCCTGAGAGAGAATTCTCTTTGTTGCATCCACTGATTTTCCTCACAGTGGTACAGTTTTATTTTATTTTATTTTGGGTGTGTGTATTTGTGTGTGTGTGTGTGTGTGTGTGTGTGTGTGTGTGTGTGTTTTGTACTGGAGATTGATCCCAGAGCAGTTAGCCATTGACTCATATCTCACCTTTCTTTATTTTTCATTTTGAGATCAGGTCTTTCTAAGTTACGTAGGGCCTCACTAAATTGCTGAGGCTGGCTTTGAACTTGTGATCCTCCAGCCTCAGCCTCCCAAACCACTGGGATTACAGGCGTGCACCACCACGCTTCATGGTGGTACAATTCTTGTTGTGTTTTGATATTTACTGAGCGCTCCTCTTGGTGGGAGTCGTTTTTCTCCAGGGTAGTGCTGTGTATCAGGGGATGCAGAAGACTCACTGATCAGTTCTGCATTTGCTCTTGCTAGGGCCTCAGAGATTTCACTGGTTTTCAATTCGCTTTTATTTTTCCATCTGGGATTTAAGCACCAGGATGAGTATTGTGGGCCCACACTTCACCTCTTGCTTATGGTATGGGCTGGGTGTTTCGATTTCTTACTGAGATCATTTCTTTCTTCTATCCCTAACCTCACACAGGAGGAAGGTTTTCTTGCTCCTTCTCCAAATTGTTGAGTGGAGTTTTTCTATTTTGCCTTTTTTTTAGAAGAGACTGTCCCTCGAGGATGCCGGCTTCAGGCAGGGATCATGTGCCTTGTGGTCTTAGGAATCAATAGAAGGCAAGACAGACTCCCTCCCTTCCCCTGCCTTTTTTTCTTATGGTGCTTGGAATTGAACCCACGGAGCTCTTTTCATTTTTATTTTTTATTTTTTGAGACGGGGTCTTGCTAAGTCACCCAGGCTGGCCTCCAACTTGTGATCCTCCTGCCTCAGCTTCCCAAGTAGCTGAGATTATAGGTGTGAGCCACCACAACCAGGAGGTAACAGATGTTCTCCCAGGAGGTAACAGATGGCAAAGTAAACTGGGTTTGTGTCTGTAAACACGGTGCAGCTTCTGGTTTTTGTATTCCCAATGAGATTCCAGCCCTGACCCTGGTAACAGCTCCTGTCTCTGTGGCTGCTGGAGGGGGAGGGCACGTGACACAGACCTGGCCAATCAGGGTACCCCAACCTCTCCCTAACAGTCCCGGGTCTCAGAGATGGGAACCGGATCGAAGGGAGACCAGAGTCTTCCCCTGAGATTTGTGTATTAAAATACCAGGAGAACAGACCTGGCATCGCCTGGGAGCTGCCAAGCCATGGTTCTGGGATTCTGACCCCTGGAGAAGGGGTGTGTCATGGGGGAGATGAAGTTAGCATGCCAAGAAGGGCAGAGGTGAGAGACGGAAGGAGAGTGGGGGAATGCTGATCATGTCCTGTCTCTGACACCCTGTTTCTTGTCCCCCTTCCTCCAACAAATCCTCTTTTTTTGCTGAGACCAGATGGAGCTGAGCATCGTTTCTTATAACTGAAGGAGGCCCTTGACTTCGGCAGTGGGACGAAGAAAGAGAAGACCGCTCCTGGACAGGAGGAGCCAGCCAGCATCACTTTAATTTCCTGGTGGACACTGGTTCCCCCAAATCGAGGGTCCACCTTGCGGCATTTCTCAGACTTTTTTTTAACCTTTTTGCTCTAGGTCTTTCGTTAAGGCTCGACTTCTGAGAAGTGCTTCTGGCCCTCCAGAGATCCCAGCCCGAGTTCCCCGGGGCCTCACCAAACCACGTGACCAGGGAAGGACCACTGCGGTGGTGGAACGTGGGCCTGGGGAACTGGATTGCAAGAAAGCCTTTTTGCTGCGCCCTCTGGTCCCAGATCTCTCTGAAACATCCCTCCCTCTCTCTGGTGGGGGAAGAGGAGGAACGGTGAAGGCACTCACTGGCTGGAGATTTGGCTACTTTGTCTAGAGGTTTCAACTTGATTCTCAGGAAATCGGCCATTTCCTTGTCTTCTTCTTGCTCCCTGGGAAGGCAGATGTGCAAAAGAGAGAGCAGGGTGAGCGAGGAAACGTCTAGGCGCCAAGGGAAGGGGGCGCGAGGTGCTAAACGCGTGGGACCGGGGGTAGGGCTTGGCGGACGGTACCCACGTGTTGTGTGTTCTGTGTGTGGCGCGTGGGGATCGTGCGCGTTGAACTGCTCTGAACCAGAGACGTGTGGACAGTGGGTGGATACAGATGCAGAGCTAGGGTGAGAGCCCAGAGCAGAGACGGACATGACAGGACCCAGCTCACCGGCTGGGGGTTCAGTGAGCTGGGCAACATCTCTCCTGACCCTGTACCTTCAAGCCACCCCTGTCACCTGTGCTCCCACAGATGTGTGGCCGGTCTTAGAAAGTCACCTCAGCTCATCAAGGTCACCAGCAATAAAGTTGATGGTCCCAGCCCAGCTGAGCAAGGCAAGGCCTATCCAGGGGCCTTGGAGAGGGACCTCAGGGGACACAGAATTAAGAGTTGCCCTCCACAAAGAGAGAGAATTCAAAGGCTTTGTTTGGAGACAAAAAATTATTAAGAATCAACATTCTCAGCGTTTTCTATGCCCAGACTCCTCAGGAACCTTCCAGAACCCTGGGCCTGTGGTCATCCGGGTCAAGCTGGCCAGTAGGGATGGGTATAAAAGGGCCTTGGAGCCACTGAGGAGAAGGGAAAGGAAGGAAGGAATTGGGGACACTGTGGGGGGGGGCAGGAGACAGAAACAAGGCGATATAGGGGCAGAGTTTCTGTAGATACTGACAAGAGAAGTTTCTAGAAGTTGCCTTGATGAGTTGGGAAACTATGTAGGGAGCTCTGTCATTTGTTATGTGAAGTCATCTCCCCACCCCAGGGCACCTCCCTAAATGACGTTCACTGAAGACACACAGGACTTTGCAACACGTTGGGGGACTGGCTTGGAGTTCTATTAAGTGGGAAGCAGGTCCTCAGGCCGAAGGCTGGGGTTCATTTGGGGTCAGTGACTGGGGAGCCTGGTGGAGGCCGTGTGTGTGCTGGGCAAGGCAGGGCCTCTCGGGAGCAGAGCGTGGGTTCTGTGGGGAAGGAGGAGGCTGGGGTCTGGTGGCCGCAGGCTTGAGGATGTGTCCCCACTCACCTTAGCCGCTCCACCTCCGCGTCGTCCACGAGGAAGTCTCTCTTCTGCACGAGTCTGTGGATCTTCTGGATGAGCTCCTCCTCTCTCTGCTTCTGCAGCTTGGTTTTTTCTTCTTCTGGGAAGAACAAAGCATCAGTCAAGAAACAGTTGAGGACAACCCCTGGAAGCCCTTGAGTCCGAGGGGCTGGGTCAGGGTCCTGGCTCTGCCCGTTCACTCGCTGTGTGAACCTCAAGAAGCCACGTGGCCTCTTCAAGTCTCGGTTTCCTCATCTGTAAAACACACACAGAATCAGGCTCGAAAAGGCAGCAGATATCAGTGTGTGACTCAGCCCGGCCTCGGAGAGCACTCAGAAAATGGTGGTGACCCCGCAAGGGGGATCTGCAGAAGACAGAGGGGGACCAAGCGCTGGCCGGGGTTTGGGTGGGGGGCTGTTCAGGAGGGACCTGCTGTGTGGYGTGGGTGAACCAGTTTCTCAGGGGGAAAAAAAGAAAAAAACGATTGTCCATGCCGATGACATTAGCCTGTCCCAAATACCCAGGGCCAAGAGGGCAAGGGAAGACGGGCTGAAGGTCAAAACAGAAGGAGCCCAGGGGCAAAAATCCTAAACCCACTTCCAGCTCTTTCGGCTCAAATCCGTACAGAATGAAAAAAAAAAAAGAAATGCAGGCAGCCTGTCCATCTGCCCACTTAGGGGCGCCGATGGCCTCCAGATCTGGACGCAGAACTGGAGGTGAGAAGAGAGTCATCCTTCGGAATCTCTGCGGGGTTGGTTTCAGTCACCCCCCTGCACACCCTCCCGTAGACTTTAAGCCATCTCTAGGTCACTTATAATACCCGATCCAATGTCGGTGCTGTGGAAATAGTTTTGTTACACTCTATTGTTTAGGAAATAACACCAAGAAAGAAGGTCTGTACAATGTTCAGTACAGAGACAATGTTTTCCGCCCCCAGTTTTAAAAATCTAGGGTTGGTTGAATCCATGGACCTGGAACCCACAGATCCATACGTCTGAATGGTGGGTTTGTCTCATTCACCAAAAGGCCACCAGCTCATGAAGAAGCGCAGTGGAATTGTGAGCAGTCCCCAGTTCCCGATGACCAGGACATGGCTCTGACCAAGGTGGGGCTTATGAGTCTGATTCCCTAAATCACTTCTCAGCACCACAATGTCCTCCTCCCTGCTACCTCGAAGCCAGGGCCAGTGGCTTCCCTCTCCCAGAAGTCACAGCATCTAAAAATGTCTCCAGACCTTGCCAAACATCCTTGGGGGAGCAAACCCCCGCCCCCCGCAATTGAGAACCACTTCCAACAACCCTGTGAAGGTGACACTATTTTCACATCCACAGCCACACCCCAGCATGCCCCGCTCTCAGGACGCAGGGGTGGCAGCAGAGGTGGTGTGAGACTTTGGACCTGGCTGTTGTCCAATCAGAGTGCCCCGACGATCAACACACTGGCAAATTATTTTCTAACCTTGGCTCAAAAAAAAGCATGATTTTATTGGCTGTTTACTCTCCACTGAATACTTTATGGTCACTGTGTTGCTAGGAACATTCATTTTTCTCCTCCTAAATGCAGCTACATCCATCTAGCAACCTGTCAGTGGCCCAGGGAAGACAGAGAAAGTCACCCAGGAAGAAGGATGGAGGGGAAGGGGGTGGGGGGGAGGAGGTTTGGGAAGGCAGGAGAGGAGGAGGCTCTGGATTTCTGCACAGAAGTCACAGGAAGAAGCAGTTTGCAGGGGAATCAGTGGGGCTGGGGTAGGGCCCGGGGCTCTGTGGCTCTTGAGCCCTGAGTTGTGTTCTCGGCGGGGACATAGGTGGCATGTCACTCCAGCAGGATGCGTTTTCCAGGGGTCCTGTGGTGTCTAGGTCCCGGGCTGCAGCCTCCCTGGCCTCTGCCCGTGGGATGTCACCGTGGGATGTCACCGCCGATCCTGCCTTTACACTTTGGGTATTTGGCTCATCGTGAATTTTTCTTGGCATGCATTTAAAACATTTATCCTGCCTGCTGAGTTTGGGGAGCTCCTCTGGGGTATCTTGTTCTCCTGGCCCTCCATCTGGCCCTGGTCGCCAACTGCCCCCGTCACTGTCAAACCAAAAAGTGCCAATTTCCATGCCTGCTCTGGAGGCCGCCACAGTCCCCGGTAGTCTTGGCGGACTCCGTGGTCACACACTCATGCCTCCTTGGCCTTGGTGGGATCCCAGGTGTCCTGCTGAGCTAACAATGGGCCCTGGGAGGACACGGTCACCCAAATGCATCTCCAGGGAGATGGACATTGGAACCCAGAAGCCCCGAGAGTCGGGCGGTGACATAGGGAGGTCAGGAAAGGGAGGTGGAGGGGCCTTGCATGGCTCGGGTGCTACGGGGGGAAAATTGAATGTGGACCCCAAATGGGAGTTGGTGGCCAAGAACGTTCCACCGGCTTCCGGGTTTCAGGCCCTCGTGAGGCTGGAGTGAGCAGAATATGCCCCCTCCCCGATGGGTAAGTTCATGTCGACTCTAATGGGAAGTAGGTCCTCTCACTGTTCCTATCCACCCTGTGCAGAAATAGCCCATTTCCAAAGTAATCTGAAAAATCACGTGGCAGATGGGATTAGTGAAGCTAAAATTAAGTTGCGCTCATTACAGCGGACTCTCTGTCGCCCAGTGACCGGGGTCCTCGGAAGAGCAGACGTCAGAGGCAGGCTGGGATGATACCGCTGTCAGCCAAGGACTGACCGGGACCTTCAGAAGGTGGAAGAGACGGAGACTCTCCTCTAAGCCTCTGGAGAGAGCACGGCCTGTMGGTATCTGGACGTCAGACTTCTGGCCTCCAGAAGTCTAAGAAAATTCACCTCTGGTTGTTGTAAGTCACCAGAGTAGTGRGGATTTGTTCTGGGGACCACACAACATAAATACACCTTTCCACCCAATTCCCCCTGGAAGAGCTAGAAGAGTGGAGCCAGCCTGGTGGCCCTCACCCCTGGCTGGTCATCACCATCATGTGGAAGGTATCCCCACGACCCCTAGTCCTTGGGGTGGAACCCAGGGGTGCTCCGCCACTGAGCCACATCCCCAACCCTTTGCATTTTATTTCCAGACGGGGTCYCACCAGGTTACTCAGGCTGGCTTAGGAACTTGTGACCCTCCTGCCTCAGCCTCCCCAGCCWCCAGGATTCCTGGCATGTGCCCCCTTGCCTGACTGGAAAGCTTTTCAAAATGACCAGGTCCCGCACCTGACCAAATGAATCCSAATTTCTAGTGGTGACTGGACTATAGTATTTTTTTTCCCCCATTTATTTATGGTTTAATTTTTTTAATGCTTAACTGGTTTTGGTGATTTTTATTGAGATATAATTCACCCACCATGGAGTTGGCCCCTTTCAATGAGGACAGTGGGCTCAGTGGTTTATCCCCAGAGCCTCACACATGCGAGGCAAGCGCTCTACCCCTGAGCCACAACCTCAGCCCATAACCACGATCTTCTCCTTGTTCCCGAGCAGAATAATGATGATAGTAATTGCTAATATTTATTGGACGGTTTGGGCCACATAYCAAGCTAAGTGTTGGGTCTGCCATGTACCTTTGTCACGGTGACATTTACAGTTAGTGAATCGGGTACTGTTACTGTTGTTATGTTCTATTTTCAGAGAGACACTGAGKCTCAGAGAGGTGACTTTCCCAGGGTCCAAACGTGGCCAGGCCTGGCCCGGCTTGAACTTGTTCTTGGACCCCGTGTTCAGGGTGCAAGAGAGAAGCCAGGCTCGGAGGAGAGATGAGCCCGTCTCCCAGACCCTGGGGTGYAGATGGAGCCGGCCGGGGGCCCCCAAGCAGCTGCTAGCAGGGAGTGAGGCCGCGCGTGGTTACCTGGGATGGCGACCAAGTTCTGCAGCTCCTGCTTGAGGTCCATGATGTCCTTGCAGAGCTGAATGTCATCCATCCTGGGGAAACAAGGCCACATCAACAGAACACGCCCCCAGCATCCCCCGCTTGAGCAAAGAGGGGCTGTGGGAGGGGGTCCTCCCGCACAGCCYGTGGGTGCTTGGGGGTCACTTTGGGTGTCAACCTGACTGGATTGAGGGATGCCTCAGGGGCTGGTGAAGCACAGTTTCTGGATGAGTCCAGGAGGGCTCTCCAGAGGAGCCTGGCCTGTCTGTCCGGGACTGTGTGGGAGGAACCGGCCTCAGTGTGGCTGGGAGCCCAGACGCAGAAGGACAAGGAGAAGGTTCTGGGGGGGGTGTTCTCCCTGCTTTTCTGTCGCCCTCCCTCGCTCCTTCCCAGCCCCCCTCTTGGAGCAGGACATCAGTCTCCACCTTTAGATTCTGGGACTTGTACTAACGTCCCCCGGGAGCGTGGGCTGGCTGCAGCTTCAGCTCCCCTGCTTTGGAGGCTTCAGGCCTGCACTGAGCCACACCACCAGGGTCTCTGGTTCCCCAGCTGGCCGACAGCCCACAGGGGACTCCTCAGCCTCTGCCGTCCTGTGAGCCAACTCCCCCAACAMGTCCTCTGTCCTGTGTCCTCTTGGTTCTGTCTCTCTGGAGAACCCAGACTGATACACACGGCCGTGGTAGAAGTTGGCCCTCACGAGGAGCCTTCCAAACACTCCCGTTATCCCACTGCTCAGCAACGATCGGTCCCTGTGAACGACACCGGGATCTGTGCTTCTGGTCTCCTTGTGCCTGTTGTGCTGTTGGGCAGGAGCTCCTCTGTTGCAGGCTCAGGTTGTTTTATACTTTTTTTTTTTTTTCTGTCGGTTTACGTTAAGCAATTCTAAGCAGGCCAGGTGTGTTGGTGCAGGTCTGTAATCCCAGCAACTCAGGAGGCTGAGGCAGGAGGATCACAAGTTCAAGGCCAGTGAGAGCAATTTAGTGAGGCCCTAAGCAATTTAGCAAGACCCTATCTTAAAATAATAATAATAATAATAATAATAATAATAATAATAATGGGCTGGGGGTGTAGCTCAGTGATAAAGGGCCTCTAGATTCAATCCTCATATCAAAGGGGGGAAAAATAAACCTTAGCATTACAAAAATTCACAGCACAGAGAAAATCTCGCTAATCCTTTAGCA